TGAAGCAGTTTGTATATTACCGCTTCACAAATACTGGGATCCACTCTTCAAAGTATATTATTTCGGTGCTGCTTTCAACTGCATATCTGACCACCTTTTTACACATGCCCTTAATAAGAGGAAGGCTGTCTTAAATTTGGCTCTCAAGTATATTTGTTCACCCGATGGTCTGAAAAGTAGGGCCTCGTCTATTGCTCTTATTCAGTCTGCCATAAAAACTTACCAAACATATGCTGGCGCTACAGAAGTGTGTGTAACAAGATGCTGAACCCCAACATGGTACACATACTATGTTCAGGCTTTGAACATAGCATCTTGGTACATGTACTTCGGGAGTACCCATATAGATAGATATTTTATTTTGAAAACTCCATAAACAAATTCAAAATGGAGAATTCTGGAGAGCAAGCAAAACCTATAAGAAAGTTAAAACTTGAGCAGTATCTCGTGTGCCTGCCTACCAGCACGCACACAAAAATACAAGCCCAGATAAATATGAGAGTAGTTAACAAACTGGTATTGCTAAAAAGAGCATTGTTACTGATGTATGATTCTTTTAGCCAGTGAAGTACATGTTGGACGTTGTAGATGAGTTTAATATTGTAGATATACACTGAGCACAAGCGATGAAGACATCACGACACCGATCCAGACGACTTGACTCCTAATACAAGACCTTTTAATACCTCCCCCCAATATCCAATTGAAACCTTATATACGTATGCGCGTATGGTGATATCGATTTCATTCGGGTTTGGAATACTAATTACCATATGTCATCGATTCAATTATATTTTTGGTTGTCATCTGTTTGTTTAATTACAACGGGAACTATATCGATCCAATTCATGAATTTGGAGAAATTACCAATTTCCTGTCTTTTTAATGAATTTTACCTGAAATAACGAATTTATGCCTAAATATATCTACGCCCTTTAGATTGGAAATCTGGGTTTTGGGCATATTTGTCACCTAACCTACGTAAAATTAAAAGAAACACCTTGAGAATGACAAAAAAACACAATTGAAAGATATACATAATAAATTTCAAAAATATGGGACGAGAAGATTTAATAATGAGAGGGAAGTAGGATTGTAGATTGGAAAAGAAAAGGCGATTTAGTGTTTTTTAAATTTGATTTTGACAGATAAAACTGATCTTTCAATCCAATATACTTCGTCACGCTGAATTACTGATCGCTCATGTGTTTGAATAAATAGCGCTTTGTAAGTTCGCTTGTTGCGATATATTGAGAATGCCATCTTCGGGCTTTGAAAAAAATAGCGCTTTGTTGTGAAAAAAATAAATTTGTCATATACTCGTTTTGTGACGAATATATTGATGAGCTCATTTAGGCACCGTTCTTATGACGATGGTATAAACTCTTAAAAGAGCGACTCGTTTGAATCATCTTTTAACAATAGTTCAGTGTTAATGAAATCTATCTAATCGAAATAGTTTGCATCCGTCAATGTTAATTATTATAAGTCGCAAGAATTCAACTCTGAATATTCACCTCTATTGCATAATCAATTGGCCATAAGATTAGTTGCAATTTGAGTAAACACCCAAAGTCTGTTTTCAAGCAATTCATAGAAATTGAGATACCTAATTAATATCGCCAAAGAAGGACTATACATTGAGAAAGGAAGTAGTACGATAAATGTCCCAGTTAGGAGAAAAATCTTATGTATATATAACAAGGTGAAACAAATTGATGAATAAAAATTTCATATTTCATTGATTGTCTTGCTCGATCATTTTTTGCTGTGATCTTTATGAATATCTAAAAGCGTGCGCTTCCTTCGTACGTTTATAAAAGATCATCGTTCGTTGTATTATACCATCAGTTTAATTTAGCCTGATACAATTTTTCACCTTGTATTTTTTAATTTAAACAAAAGTTCATTGTGTGGACTTTATCCGTCGTCTGATTCTTTTCCGATTCCGTACCTTTGTTCTCTCGTGCGGTGATACCTTCATTGCTGTACCATCTTTACCGTTGTTGTTGTTTTGTTGGGTCACCTTTATCGATTTCGACTCCACATCAGAAGGTTTGCTATTTTTTGTTCGGGATCGCCATTTTAGCCAGTGAAGTACACGTTGTAGATGAGTTTAATATTGTAGACATACACGGAGCAGAGGCGTAGCCAGCATATTTTGCGCCCGGGGCAAAATATAAAATTGGCGCCCCGACCCCCACGTTTGATCATGTTTTCTATTGCATTTAATTGTATATGTAAAAACAAATTATATATCGTCACGCTAACAACCTAATTGCGTAAGTCATTTTTAGCTGTTTTGAGAAAAACGTAAAAAAAACTTCCTGATGATATTGCTATGCCATTAATTTGCCATAGTTCAACTTTTTGATCGTAGCCGGATTTAAGTTAATTTGTATGACGCAGCCATGTGACGTCATAATGGCGCACTGTGACTTAGGCAAAAGTGTGTCTATGACTAGGGGACATACGCAATTTTGCAACTTGACTATATGTACCAGTCCTGAAAACAAAACAATTCAAAATCCCCAAAATAGCTAATCTGTTTCAATTACATTATTTTTTATGTTTAAAAATATTTATTTCATCAATATAACACGCTCTGCACATCACCGAAATAAGACTAAAGTTAAATATAAAGAATAAAACAGCAATGTACCCTTATATAAAAGTCAACCAAGGTGAATTGGACTCAGACAGTGAATATCACAAGTGCACGCCTTTCTATACAGTAGTATAAAATCAAAATTATTGACGCTAAGCTAGAATCTGAGATGCAAAAATTCGAAAATCCTTCGCCTAGGTTATTTTGCCTTTGTGACGTCACAATAGTCCTACGTTAACAATGATAATTCATTATGACGGAGCAATTGAACAAATATGCATATTATACAAAATCTCTATTTTTATGGGTTTCGGAATTCTTAAAATAAAATCTGAGTTAACAGACAGGTGCGCAGCATTATATAAATACCTATTTTATGAAAAACTCAAAACTGCCAAAAATGACTTACGCAATTCGGTTATTACCGTGACGATATGTGAATTCAAATTTATATGTATTTATATATTTTATTATTTATTCAAAAATATATGTATATGTAAATTCAAATTTTAATGGAACATTTTATTTAAAGAAGAAGCAAAGCTATACAAAAAAGAGCATATGTCCCACTCAGTTACTGTCAAAGATGATTTGCATAGTCTACAATAAATTCATTTTTTTCAATTTCACTGTCGTAAACTGGTTAACACGTCATCAAAATCTGTTTCTCTTTCAACACTTAGAAGTGCAAGATCACTGAGACGATCCTGTCCCGTTGATGCACGCGAATACGACAAAATAAGTTTCAATTTGCTGAAAGACCGTTCACAGCTTGCAATTGAAACTGGTATTGTTAACAAAATTTGTAGAGAAATTCGCAGATTGGGTAAAACGTCGTCTCCAGAAGACACAATAAAACCAAGAAGAGCCAAAGGAGTTTCTGGTTGACCTACAGTTCTGTTACTGAGCAGCATTCTGCAATCTCCAATTTCGGTGAAAAGTTCGCGGCCATTGATGTCCGTATCGTAGAAATTTGCAAAATCTGTGCAATCTCGACGAATTGTCGAAAACGGCATTGGGGTCTTTTAGCACAGTATAATATATTTTATGTAACTCTGCCGCAAAGTACGGTATTTTGACAACAACGAAATACAAAACCACGTATTACTCAAAACATGTATTAACATCAGTCAACCAAATTTCGTTTCCATTTGTCTCCAGCACAGAACTAATATCAACTTACATCGGAGTGCGCAGGCAAGAACCTAACGATCTTGCTTGTGACCGTTTTTTTACCCTTGTGAAATGTTTGCAAGCCCCATTTTGGCGCCCCTGTACCTTGGCGCCCGGGGGCATATGTACCCCACTGCCCCCCCTAAGCTACGCCTCTGACACGGAGCACAAACGATGACGACACGACACCGATCTAGACGACTTGACTCCTAATACAAGACCTTTTAATACCTCCCCCCAATATCCAATTGAAACCTTATATACGTATGCGCGTATGGTGATATCGATTTCATTAGGGTTATCGATTCGGGTTTGGAATACTAATTACCATATGTCATCGATTCAATTCTATTTTTGGTTGTCACTTGCTTGTCTAATTACAACGGGAACTATATCGATCCAATTCATGAATTTGGAGAAATTAGCAATTTCCAGTCTTTTTAATGAGTTTTACCTGAAATAACGAATTTATCCCCAAATTCTAACTGGACTGTGAGCGCACATATTATTTTGTTAGGCGAATGTTTGTATTTTCCATCTCGCTTATATGGCTGTGGTTAGTTGGACACTATCAGTGTATCCAGCTACCGCTTCCCAAGGCTCGCCCATTGTAAACGCTGTTCCAGAGATAAGTTTTTGATAGTTTCACCAATGGGTGCAGAAGGAATGGTAACGCACATTTTATTTGGGGAGTTCTAGACTGGGCATCGGCATGCATTCTGATAGGTCTGGGAAATACGTGTTCTTTTTTTAGGGTAGATCGGAATAAATTTATACTTCTAAATTTATAAAATATTACGCCATCTGCAAAACAATTTACATGACCCTTTAAAAGAATTCAAACACTGCAATGGCGCCTGATCTGAACACAGGGTTAGTTCTAATTAAGCACGTAAGTTAAAAAATATACAATGGCACAAGTGGACGAGCGTAAGACAAACGTATTACTTGTACACTTCTCGTCAATAAAATAACAGTCCGACTCGAAACACTTCATTGAAGTGAGAAAACGAATCCAAACCTTTGGTGACATTCTATCGTTTTCTAGTGCGGAGATAACAAATGAGAGTAGCCGTTCAGTCGTTTATTCAATGTTTTATATCTTTTTTTTCCGAAATTGTTTTATATATTTTGAATTGTTTCGGTGTCTCGTTTTCTGTTGTCATGGAAATAATTACCTTGTTTCCCTGGAAATGAGACGGTATCATATTTCAACTTTCTTTCGAAAATAACACTAGAGCTTATTCTGCGGGTATGTCTTTTATTTATCAAAAACAAAATTACAAAGTAGAGAGTTACGAATTTTTCAAATATACAAAATATGAAGACCGATATCCATTTACTTATAAATAACACGTTTTTATTTAAAAACAACTGCTAAACCTATATTAATATTCCTTTAAAACGAATATGAAAGATTTCTTGCTATCGACTGGATCAAAAAAAAAAAATTTTGCGTTATTGGCCAGGTCTTATTTCAAAAAGAAGGCTTATATTAAAATCATGTTTGAAATTCCTGCAATGTTTTTTTTTCAGGGTAGGTCTTAGTTTCGGGGAAACACGGTAGCTATGATAATTTTAGAAGCCTCTGCGATGTAAGGCTTTCTTGGTCCCTCGCGACTCGTGTCACACGATAAAAGTTAGTCTTTGTTATGACATTCGCCCTATTTTTTCACGATGTCTTTATACTCATATTGTGTTGACAAAAAGATGATGATTAATTGTTCATGAAATAGTCATGTTGTTTTTAAAACGAACTATTTTTGTCATGTCAACCCAATCTTCTTATTTTCATCTCAGCCCATTTCAGGCTGGCGTGGGTTGAGTGCCACTGGTACCAAGAGACTCCTTTTGCTTCCGCAGATGACCCATTGTAAACGCCGTTCAGGTTGCTATTGTGACACTTGTTATACCACCACGCCCCTGTGTACGATGTGGCACAGTGCTTCGTAGTGTAAGGGTCATTGTCCCTGTCCTTCGTGCTGAAAGGCATCTTGTTGTGATAGCTCAGACCGTCACCTAAAACGTTGAGCGGTAATTACAAATTGAAAAGTTTTTCTTGGATTGTAGTATAATATCGGCGGTTTTTACCAAGCAACCTGTCATGTTGATGTATATAGTTTGTATAGATACAAACAATGTATATATATATATATAGCGGTCAAACTCTTTGTAAAACTAGATAGCATATATACCTGCATTTCCAAAATATCCGGACACGGTGAGACGATAGTTGTCTGACGATCCAGCCACAGCGAATGAACTACAAAATGGAATGCTCATAAGCTCAACTGTCGCAGCATATTATTTAGAAATGCTCATTTTCAAGGCTGTTTTTAATTGGTCATTGCTTTAGCTTAAAGGACCTCTTCGATACAATAAACACATCAAAATAAAAGCGAAGAATTCTACTTTAATTATTACTATAACCACCAATGAAGATTTGATGTAACCTATTTTTGGCGCAGGTAATTATTATAATCTCTATATATTTTTATACTTTTCTTTATTAAAATTTTTCTCGAATCGATAATAACAGTATGTACCTGTATTTCGCAAATCCTGTATTTCCGTCAAATTCCTTCAAATCGACACGAAGTTCCCACGTTCCGCTATTTGTGAGTTGATGAATACTTTCCAATCCTATATAAAAAAGGAGCCAATATAGGCAAATCTTGCCTTTGCAAGTAATATACAATATTACATTATACATTTTTAGTACCAGCATCCAGGTTTTGGATCTTTTTTGGAAAGCCCATAGCAACTAACCCCCAAATGTACCCCATTTCATGTTAAAAATATGAAAACAAAGTTGGTTTTTCCCAAAATTCGAACAAAGACTTTCGTTTGAATCGAATTAATCCACTTTTAGGAAAATAACAAGTTTCGTCCGGCCATTATCAAATTGAAATTTATTTTATCATGGTATTTAAACACTAATTATATGTAAGTTCCTATCCGTACGATGTTCATAATTACCCATATTGAGATAATTGGAGTTTCTGTTTATAACGTGAATCACGAGCTCACGTTTACAGTATTTAATTAGATGTATGATCGACGTATAAATACGAATCCGATATTTACGATGTAAACCATTCTAAGCTAGTTTGGATACATGTTTTAAGATTTGTATTCTGTGTGTTGTGGAAATTTACGAATAAAAACATATAGAGATTTTTAACGTATCTTCATTCACGTGGGCGTTGAAGCTGAAGGGTGACTTGCAAGTCAGAGACAATCTACAAATTAGCAATATACGGTGAAATTACATTCATCTACCAATCATATATGCTATAAGCCTTCCACTGATGCAAAAATATGAGATTTCAGAAAAACGCCACCAACAAATTTTAAAATAAAAATTCGTAATTATCCAGTTAGGCTTCGGGTTGGGAAAGATTTGCATACCCATTGCAATCTGCATTTTTAAACCCAACCCTAACAGATTAGTTTTTTTGAGCGGTGGCGAGGGTGATTTTTGACAGAGGCATTCTCTAAAAGACTCCCGTTTTCTTTGAAATTTGTCGTCTGTGTAACTTGATTAATTTAAAAACAAATCCGAAACTTGTCAGGAAACAACAGTTGTGTTTCACATAATGTATAGTACATGTAAACTATTTATCCGCCAAATTGTATCTTACAGTGTCATTCATAGTATTCTTCATTTCAAATGATACCTTCTAATTATCATCAAATTGCTGATTTTTTTCCCTTTCTGAAATTTGATTTCCTACTGATATATATATAACGGACGCACCCAACCAAAAGTCCAGCTCTTTGCTGCCAAAACCAGTGACGTAGTCATCCCAACCTCGATAAAAATCTTCCGGACCTCCGACTCGTCGTTGAAATACCTGTAAATTCAATATTACCTTACTTTAACATGGAAACAAAATACAGAGTCAAATAATTATAGGCCAAAGCCTTATATGGAGGAGCCCGGGTGATGGTCTGTGTCAGAAATTGTGTCGCGTACTATCCGTTAAACTTTGTACCTTAAAGTAGCAATCCCGACCCATTCAACAGATATATTCAATATAGAAACGTAAATCGACAATTTTGTTTGAATTTTGAGTTTTGGTCGATTAATTAGTTTTGTGATTTAAGTTGCAAAAGCATGGAAAGCTAAGACATTATTACAATAAAACTATTTACAGTAAATCGATAGTCAAAAAATGTCGTTTCATTTTCCTTACAATCCATCCACCTCCATCTGTATCTTGATCACAGTAGACATGCACCCCACCATATTCATCTGAAGGAAAAATCACCGACACTCCACTTGTTCTTATAACAGATTTCACTTCAACGCAATCCCGAAAACGATTTTCTGAAATTGAATATTATATTATTGTTCTTGGCAGATGCTTGAGGAAATCAATCTCATTCGTATTCATTACGTGAGTTGGCTATCTCGCTCGATCTTAAACAAAGAGCACAGGGCGTGCAGACTAGATTGAAACCATGCCTATTCAAGTTACCGCGAAACTTGAGCGAGAGGATTTTTTAACGCTTGCTTACTCTTCCGTACGACCAAAAAATATCGAATCTTCACGGGAGTGAACAACACCATTCAAAATATCGTCTCATATTCCAACATACTCATGACCCTAGTTTACGTGTTCATGTACAAAGCCACAACTTATGAGTTCCAATATTATCAATATCAACCTTTCCGTCCCATTAAAAGATGTTTTTAAAGCCGTATTACATTACTTTTAACTACTCATTGCTAGTAGCGCGTGTTATTCGCCTGGAACAAGATCTTCGCCCGATTTTATTTCCTGTGCGATATTATGGGTATTCTCATGAAAAGAAAAACTTTTGTGGCGGTGAACAATTGCACAAGAAACGCTCTATGGTAGTATTTTATGTGGCACCCCATCCATTTTAGAGCTTCAAAGTATTTATTATATGCAGTAACAACGAATTAACTGTGTGCAAAATCACGAGAGAATTTGCGTCGTCCACCGGTAGAGCTGAAAGGCTCGCTTAATCATCGCAAAACGAATCGAATTGTTGCAAAACACAACGAATAAACTTTGGTCGGCGCTTGCCGCTATCACGAACTGCCTAACCTAGTCTCTAAATTAATTAGCTTCAAAACTCAAGATTATGTCGATCAGCCAACACATACATCAGGTAGCAATGGTAATACCTTTATGACGTATCAAGGCGCTATCAGGGTATCATGGACTCGCGTCGACCACTCCCGCCAAACGCTCGCTTCGTTGCCGATTTCTCAATGCAGATCCGTTGTGGACGTAACACGTAAAACGGGCGAAAGCATGCTCGTCTCGTTTAATTTTTAGGTGGGCAATAGCTGGCGAGGGCGAGCTATAAAGACACGGACTGGTAACGCTATGAACCTGTTCAGCTAATACATTTAGTATCTAAGATAAAGAGAAATCGTTTCTGCCATATTTTAGCTAACTCAAAAGTTAATTGTTGCAATAATTCGAAGCTGCTCGCTTACCACTTGAAAAGCTCCCGCGTACCACAGGTTGAGAACCACTGATCTATGCCTATGACGTTACAATGCCATAACAGTTATATTGTGCAAAGCGAACAAAACATGTCATAAGGAAAATAACCAAATTTTTTTTTTGTGCCTGCAACTACTTGAAGGTGCGGCCCGCGGTTCCACTGAGTTATTTGAATCCGGCCCTTCTGTATTAAAGGTTGCACAGCCGTTATACAGTACCGGTGCCGCCAAAAACGTTCGACATTTGCGTAGCGCGAGAGCTGTCGAAGAACCGCTACAAGTTATTTTTATTTCCTGCTTTGCCCGTTTGGAGTTTAGTTATTGAATATGCGTTTAAACGAAAATTGCGTCAATGTACAAAGTACGTGAATGAAGTAGTAAACTATATTGAAAGAATACCAAGGAAATGTTCTTGGCGATTGTCAACCTTGCAAATATATCGGAGGCCATTTTCAAATTAGAATACCATAATCAAAAAAATATAATTACACAAAATTTCTGATTATCGGATATTTCTTGAATTATAGATATAATACAATATTCCGACACCTCCTCTGTTCAAGCAAATTTATCAACATTCACTTACGTACTATCCTGCTGAGAACGTCGTCGTATTTTGTGCAATCACATGATTCTCCAATGGGACCTCTCACTCCGGGTGGTCCGGGACTGCCTGGCGGGCCAACAGGGCCTGTTTTTCCCGGTGGTCCTACTGCTAAACCCTGATTGACTTGTACCTGTGCATGATGGTCTTCATCGCATGAAAGATTGCATCTACCCAAGGAAATGCTCGGCTCCGCGCAGTTGAATAAAATTGCAAAAACACACAACTCCCAAAATAAACTTCCAAGTGTTACTTTCATATCAAGAATTACTGTTAAAAATTTATGTTAAATTGGCTAAATCGAATAGAATATAGAAGAGACTAAAATATGCAACATGACTGATATAAAAAGACAACGACGATCATACAAACAAGCTCATACGTCTTTAAACAACAAGCGATCATATTAAATAGTGCAATATAGTCTTTGAACGTACATTTGTGATGCATTTTTACACACGAAAAACTAAACGATTTCCAATTAAATGAGAGATACAGCAAAAATAGATAGTCACTGAATATTTCGAATACAATTCTGTAAATACTAGAAGCCGTAGGTTTTTCAAAAAATCTTCAAAATCCGTTGATATGTTAATTTTAACTGATAATTATGTCACTATACTGCAACATGCTTTGTTATTATATGCAATGAAAAACGAGTCACTCAACGCTGTTAGTTATGGATAATAATAATATTCCTGATCGGACATGAAAGTGAATTGATTCAAATTTTTGAACTCGCACTTGTGATGCATTTTTCATGTACAGTAAAGCTCAAAAATTTTCTCCCTCCGATTTTAATTATGTTAGTTTCAAATAATCATACCACGAGACTGGAACTGGTCGTGTCAAGTAATAAAAACGAGTCCCGCGGGAATGTTACTTATATATATTATATTAACTTGACAACCCAACGAAAAAATTTCATGCTCAACTGCTGAAGTTTCTTTTTGTTTTGCCGTTTGTATGATTATACTTTAACCCGCGTTTCCCAACCTTTCTTTGTCGCGGACTATTTCTCACCGGCGAAAACCTTTTCGGACTCAAGGTGCGTTTATTGCAACCGTACTCTTTACCGTATATCTTTCTATTTTATTTTAATTGTGTTCACGGTAACTCGCGGTTGCGCCGACTTACGACACAATACGTCTCAAAAATCTGCAAACATAATAATGTGAGAATATATTGCCCGATTGTATTTAATTTTGATACATATTTTTGCGATCTTGCGAATTTGTTATCGCCGTTAGAAATCCTACTATCTGCTATAACTTTCCAGAAAGTCTAACTTGATTTAGTTAGTACTTATTAAAAATATATTAGTAAATCAAAAATACATATATATTCATCGCCTTGCTTTATTATTAATTAATTTAATTGTTATCGGTTGTGTTGACAAAACGAAAACAATACTGAATACTACTCAGAAAATATCATGACAATCCGCGGACACAAAAATGCCTGGTAAAGTGTCCAAATATATCTTGTTTTGATTCGTATTTTTGGGAATTCGACAAATCTGAGCTGTTCGTACAACATTTACGGTGCTCCAGTACTGTACGTATCAATGTGGAGGCAGCAAAGCAGAGTATACTAAGGGAAAATGCCCTGGTACGTATACTACGGTAGCACCCGAAATTCTAATTTAGAAAATTTGGGTTGTCGCCATTGACACCTACTAAAAAAAATTATTCCTCGTTGTTCGAACTCGCGAGAAACACCACTTATGTATCTATCGAACCGTTTGCAGACTCGTGTTATCGTCGGAAATCCGCAAGTGAGTTGTGAAATCCAATTGACCTGTTGCGTCACCTGTTACCAAATTTTCGAATAGTAAATTGCTATTCTAATAGTTGAATATTCGAATATATGCCCAGCCCTACTCAGTATCCAGTAATTATTGATTCGATTAATGTTATGTGAATAATGTTATATGTAAATTCTAACGTAAATCGTAACTTGGCTGATAGTTGAGTTTCGCACAAACGTTTGCGGCCCACATTGAATTTCTGGCTCGTTGCGGACTCATTCAAACGCTCAGCGGACTCATTTGAGACCGCGGACTTGGGTTGAGAAACACTGCTTTAACCATTGAATCGGAATCATTGCCGAGAATTTAGCTTATTGCGCTTTTGCAGTCACGCTCTCGTATATATAGGCATTCGTCATCTGATGTATCAGCCATCCACAAGTAAGCGCCCGTCCACTGAAACAGTGAAAACAAAAGGTAAAATTAAACATTTAATTGAAGTGAGAAATCGAATCCAAACGTTTGGTGACATTGTATCGTTTTCTAATTTGGTGATATCAAATGAGAGTAGTCCAATTGTTTATTCAATATTATTTCTCATAACTGTATCTGTGCTACTATTTCTATTATTTTGGAAATAATTAAAAATGGTCTTAGATGCATCTGCGCTGTAGATGTCGCTGCTTGAAAGCATTTCGAGGTTCCTCACGACTCCTGTCACACAATTATAGTTTTTATTTCGTGATATTCTTCTTATTTTCTTGATATTGATCAGTTTTACATTATGTTGACAAATAAATGATAATTGATTGTTAATGAAATAATAATAGTGTTTTTAAACCGAAATGTATTTGAATATTTTTGTGTCAATCCAATCTTCTTATTTTCATCTCCGCCCGTTTCAGGCTAATGTGGCTTGAATGCCAATAGTACCAAGAGACTCCTTTCGCTTCCGAAGATGACCCATTGTAAACGCCGTTCAGGTTGCTATTGTGACCGTTTTCATACCACCACGCCCCTGTGTGCGAGGTGGCACAATTCCCGGTAGTGTAAAGGTCATTGTCCCTGTCCTTCGTGCTAAAAGGCATCTGGTTGTGATATTTCAGACTGTCACCTAAAATGTTCAGCGGTAATTATGAATGGCGAATTGAAAAGTTTTTGTTGGATTGTAGTATAATATTGGCAGTTTATACGAAGCAAAAACACGGAGGAACAGTTAAAAGTGTAAAACAGCGGTTCCCAACCGTGGGCCCGGGGCCCGCAGGGCCGATGGCGCGGGACAACAGTGCTAGGTGGAAAACTGATTTTACTTTTCCCTTCACAGGAAACTCCCCGTTATTTCTAGTTTCATTTCTTAAACAGGTTATTTCACAGGGTGTTTTCAATTTGTTGAGCATGACATGTTTGAACATATTGGTATTTGGAATCAATCAATCAAATTAGCACTATAAATACTACTAGAATGATAAACGGGGGGCAACGACTGCCAAAAAGTCCTCGGAAGGGGCCAAGAGTGCTGAATGCCCTCGGAAGAGGCCACGAGCCTTGAAAGTTTGGGAACCACTAGTGTAAAACATAGCGGTGATGAGAGGCTGCATAAACACTAAGAAATATCTATATAGCCTACGTTTACGTGAATATTATTTGAAATGAGAATTGAAGCAATTTAAATCAATTACATCAGATGAACTACTTCAGCAGATTGGAATTTCTAAGACAAAAGTTCTTGATACTTCACTGACAAGCCGAGGTTCGTAAAAATGTTATAGAATATTAAACAGCGAAGAGGCACCAAGATTGCTGGAATCCTCGCCGCCGCAAGGTGGTTCACGTAACCGCTGGTCGGTTACGACTTCCTACATCATCAAGACCATGCATCTGAAAACGAATAACTTTCTAACTAATCCCATTCCCGTCCGATATGGACTGGTAAGTGGTAACCGGGCAAAAGGCAATGGTTCTCCATATGATTAACCGTCTTACGGGATAAATATGATATGTAAATCCTATCCTACTAAAGCTTTTAAAAATTCTTTCGGGAGATAAATTGATGTATTAGAAATCTAACTGCATGCTGATGTATATAGTTTGTATAGATCAAACTATATATATATATAAATATATTGGTCAAACTTTTAGCTATACTAGATCGCATACCTGCATTTCCAGAATATCCTGACACGTAGAGACGATAGTTGTCTGACGACCCAGCCACAGCAAATAAACTAAACAATGAAATGCTTATAAGCTCAACTGTCACAACATATTATTTAGAAATGCGCATTTTCAAGGTTATTCTTATTTGGTCGTTGCGTTAGCTTAAAGGACCACTTTGACTTTGATACAAAAACACAGCAAGAAGGAAAGCGCTGGAATGTGGTTTAATTATCGGATAATTTTAATGTTTTTTATAACCATCAATGAATTTAGGCTACAATGTAGCCTATTTTTGGCACGACTATTTTTTTAATATCTCTATATATTTTTATACTTTTCTTTTTTTAATTTTTCTTGAATCAATAATAACAGTGTGTACCTGTATTTTGCAAATGCCGTGTTTCCTTCAAAATCGTTCAAATCTACTCGAAGTTCCCACGTGCCGTTGTTTGTGAGTATATGAATAGTTTCCAATCCTGTATAGAAAAAGAGTCAATGTAGGTTACATCTGTCAGCTTTTGTAAACAATGTATTACATTGGACATTTTTATATAACAAGAGCATTCACTTTTCTTCGATAACTATTGTCGGTTAACTTGATCACTTTAAAAATAATTTCCAAAATTTCTGAATTTTCTCGCTCTCTGGAATTTGAATCAAAACGTTTTAGATTACATACCTAACCAAAAATCCAGCTCTTTGCTGCCGAAACCAGCGACGTAGTCGTCCCAACCACGATAAAAATCTTCTGGACCTCCGACCCTTCGTTGAAATACCTGAAAATTCAATGTATATATTATAGGATGTCCAACAAGTTTCGCCCGATTTTATATCAATAACAATTGTAGTTTTAAAAATTTTTTATGTAAGAATTAATGAGAACTGCAACTTCCAACATCTATAACATCCAATTCAATACAGGTTGACTATATATCTTTTTACAATTCAAAAAAAAAATGTAATATAAAGACTTTATAATATAGAGAGCTGAGATTCTTTTGCAACGAAATTATTGTCGATATTTACAGTGAAAGAACAGAAAAAAAAGTCTAAAACATATCGTTATATTTTCCTTACAATCCATCCGCCTCCATCTGTATCTTGATCACAGTAGACATGCACCCCACCATATTCATCTGAAGGAAAAATCACCGACACTCCACTTGTTCTTATAACAGATTTCACTTCAACGCAATCCCGAAAACGATTTTCTGAAATATGAAAAAAATATATTATCGTATTTTCCGAAACATAATGCGACGGGTTGTAAGACGAAACCGATACTGGTTCTGAGCGTAGGCATTAAAGCAAAAAGCACTACCTGATTCATACATTAATCATATAGGCTTACATAGCGCACGATTGCTTTTTGAAAAAAGAAAAAATTTAAAGTGCAACCTATACGTCAATTAACATTTTCGCTCTATACCTTACAGTACAAAACATGCTGTATACAGTCACCGCAAAATTTGAGTCAGCGAATTATTTTAACGCATGCTTACCCTACCGTACTATCGAAAAATATCAAGTTTGCACAGCAGTGAACAACAACATTGTTTGTATCTTCCCAAGTTTCAACTCTGCCATACCTATGACGTTGATTGAACCCCTGGTTCACGTGTTCATGCAATTACGTGTTCTCAAAATTGTGGATGTAACAAAATATTATCAAGTCATCAATCGATGGCCCGTAAGATTTTCGCTGCGTTTATTCTGCTGTTGATATAACAAACTATGTGATACTGAACTTCTTGACCTTCTCCCTCTTAGAAATGTTTTCACTTTCTTTGGTTATCATGTATCTTATGAATCCTATAACGATATCATATCGTTACTTCAACCTCAATTAAAATTTTGCTTCCATTCGTGTAAATTTATCAACAATCACTTACGAACTATCCTGCTGAAATCGTATTTTGTGCAATCACATGATTCTCCAATGCGTCCTCTCACTCCGGGTGGTCCGGGACTGCCTGGCGGGCCAACAGGGCCTGCTTTTCCAGGGGGTCCTACTGCTAAACCCTGATTGACTTGTACCTGTGCATGATGGTCTTCATCGCATGACAGCTTGCATCTACCCAAGGAAATGCTCTGCTCCGTGCAATTAAATAAAATAGCAAAAACACACAATTCCAAAAATAAATGTCCAAGTGTTCCTATCATCTCGAGAATTACTGTTAAAAATTAATAACATTGGCTAAGTCGCATAGAATATAGAAAATCCTAAAATATGCAACATGACTGATATAAAAACAAAACGACCATACAAACAGGCCCATACGTATTTAAAAACACGCAGCCGTATTAAATGGTGCAATATAGTTATTGAACGTAAATTTGTGATGCTTTTTCTTATTTATGAAAAGCTGAAAGTTTGTTATAGTTACGCTCTTAGTTATAAAGAATATTATTCCCGATCTGACAAAAAAGTGATTCAAATCTTTGAACTCGCCTTTTTCATGTACAGTAGAGCTAAAAATATTCTTTCTCTGATTCTAATTATGTTAGTTCCAAATAATCATACCACGCGACTGGAACCGGTCGTGTCAAGAAACAAAAACGAGCCGCTCGGGGTTGTTACTTATGTATTACAACGACAACCCAACGAAAAAATTTCATGCTCAACTGCTGGCTGAAGGTTTTTTTGTTTTGCCGTTCGTATGATCTTACTTCAACCACTGGACTGGAGTCATTGCCTGGAAATTCGCTCATTGCGCTTTTGCAGTCACGCTCTTGTATAGATAGGAATTCGTCACCTGATGTATCCGCCATCTGAAGTACATGCTATATTCGATGAATAAATTTTAACTAAATAGAGAATTATTTCATTTGATAGCATCTGGATTCATCCTAATAATGAATATATAATAAACCAAATATTTCACTCCTACAAAATCTGCTCATTTCGATACTGCAGGGACCGTTGTTTTTTAATAATCTATCGGATCAAATATTAGTGCTTGTGATTGTCCAAGCAGGCTGGGAGTTTCCGATGCAAGTAAGCGCCTGATGCAAGTAATAGTGAAAACGAAAGCTAAGATTAAACTCCTAATTGAAGTGAGAAAACGAATCTAAACGTTTGTTTTGTGACATTGTATCGTTTACTAATTTGGTGATAGCAAATGAGAGTAGCCGTCCGCCATCGTATATTCAATATTATTTCTCATATTTCTTTCGGTTCTTCGTTTTTTATTATCTTAGAAATAATTACAAATTGTCTTAAATGCATCTGTGCTATAGGTGTCGCTGCTTGAAAGCCTTTTGAGGTCGATTAAAGTTTTTAGGATAGGATTTTAGGATACTCGCCATATTTTTCATGTTCAAATATTGTGTTGACAAATAAATGATGATTAATTGTTCATGAAATAATCATGTTCTTTTAAAAACCGAACTTTATTTAAATCTTTTTCCAATGTCAATCTAATCTTCTTATTTTCGTCTCCGCCCGTTTCAAACTGGCGTGGGTTGAGTGCCAAAGGTACCAAGAGACCCCTTTTGCGTCCACGGAGGACCCATTGTAAACGCCGTTCAGGTTGCTTTCGTGACACATGTTATACCACCACGCTCCTGTGTACAAGGTGGCACAAGATCTGGTATCGGGGTCATTGTCTCTCTCCTTCGTGCTGAAAGGCATCTTATTGTGATAGCTCAGACTGTCACCTAGAACGTTCAGCGGTAATTACGAATGGCGAATTGAAAATGTTTTGTTGGATTGTAGTATAATATTGGCAGTTTATACCAAGCAACAACACGGAGAAACAGTTGAAAGTGTGAAACATATTATAGAATAAGAGGCTGCATAAACATCAAGAAATATCTATATAGCCTACATGGTCGTGAATATTGTTCAAAACGAGAATTGAGGCAATTTAAATCAATGATATCAGATAAAATACTTGAGCAGATTGGAACTTCTAAGACAAAAAATTTTAATATTCCGCTGACAAGTCAAGGGTTGTAAAATGGAATAGAATATTAAACAGTGTTGAGACGCACCAAGATTGATGGAATCCTTGCTGGCCCAAGGTGTTTCACGTAACCGCTGGTCGCCTACGGCTTCCTTTATCATCAAGACCATGCATCTGAAAACGAATAACTTTCTAACTAATTCCATACCCGATATTGGTAAGTGGTAACCGGGCAAGAGGCAGTGGTTCTCCATATGATTAAACCGTCTCACGGGATAAATATTATTCGTAAATCTTATCCTATTGGCCAAACGTTTAGCTAAATTAGATCGCATACCTGCATTTCCAGAATATCCGGACACGGTGACGCGATAGTTGTCTGACGATCCAGTCACAGCAAATAAACTGCAAAATAAATGGAAGCTCAACTATTGCAACTTATTGCAGTATTTAAAATGCTCATTTTCAAGTTTGTTCTTAATTGGCCATTGCTTCACTTCAGAGTGACCACTTTAATACGATAAACACAACGATATTGTTTAATTATCGGATAATTTTCCAAGTTGCAATAACGATACAATGTAATTTTGACGTGGGCGGTCGTTAATAAGTCTATATACTTTTCTTTATCAACATTTTTTTTTTCGAATTAATATTGCGTACCTGTATTTAGCAAATGCTGAATTTCCGTCAAAATCTTTCAAATCGACTCGAAGTTCCCACGTACCGTTGTTTGTGAGTTGATGAATAGTTTTCAATCCTGCATAAAAAATGATTTGATATAGGTTAATTGTGATACTCTTAGTAAGTAATATATAGTATTACATTGGACATTTTTTCACATAGCATCCAGTTTTTGAATATTTCGTGGGAAGCCACTAATGCAAAAATATGAGATTCCAGAAAAATGCCTCCACCATGTTTTAAAATAAAAATGAGCAATTATCCAGTCGGAGTTCGGGTTGGGAAAAATTCGAATTACCATCGCAATCTGAATTCGAAGCCTCAATTCAACCAGATATTTACTGACTGGGGTTTCACCCAAAAGATCCCAGTTTTCAATATCTGCCGTATATGTGTAACTCGAATAATTTGAGAAAAAGCTTCCAAAAACTTCCTAGAAAACAAAAGTTGAGTTTCGAATAATATTAATATGAATAATATATTCTCACTGAATTAGATACTACAGTAGCATACACAGTATTCTTTGTTTCAAATGATACTTGCGGATTTTTTTCACTTTATGAAATTCGATTTCTTACTGATATATAAATGACGCACCCAACCAAAAGTCTTGCTCTTTGCTGCCGAAACCAGTGACGTAGTCATCCCAACCTCGATAAAAATCTTCCGGACTTCCGACTCGTCGTTGAAATAACTGTAAATAGAATATTACTTTTACACGCTGGAAACAGGCTTCAGAGCCAAATGATTCGGCCAAAGCTATATACGGAGGAGCCCGCGTGATTGTCTGTGTCAGAAATTGTGTCGCGTCCTATCAGTTAAACTTTGTATTATATTGTAGCAATCCAGACTCATCAACGGATACAATATAAAAACGTAAACCGACAGTTTAATTAGACTTTATTTGTTTTGGCCGATTAATTTTGTTTTGTTTGCGAGTTGCATAAGTTTTTTTGCTCCTAATCATATAATTTTTATTGTTTATTTTTAGAAAACTTACCAAGGTGAACTTGTGCTAATAATTCAGATTATGTGATACAGGGATAGTTATGTGCGAGAGGATTGCTGAACTCCTCGCCGCCGTAGGGTGTGTTTCACGTAACCTCTGATAGATTACGGCTTCTTCCATCATCAAGTTAATGCTTCCGAAAACAAATAACTGGCCAACTAATCCCATACCCGACATGGAATGGTAACCGGATGAGAGGCCGTGGTTCGCCATATGATAAAGGCGTTTTATCGACTCTCCTCGACCACGGGATTAATATGTAGATCTTATCCTATCACCTTTTTTACTTTTTGAAAATTTTGTTTGGATTTAGTCAAGAAATCTAAGCTTAGAAGCGGGGAAGGATAAGACATTATTGCAGTAAAACTATTTACAGTGAATCGGTAGTTAAAATGGCGCTCCAGAAGCATGGGTACCAATATTGAGATAACTAATTTCGTTTGCCTACTTTACATCAAGTTGTGTAATGGACGGAAGCTTATGGGCAGGGGGTCAATTTACTTTGCTAACACAGACAGTTCCCGAAATCGTAATAGAACTAAAATAAGGAGAATTGGAATAAAATTATGGCCTGACCCAAACTTGGCACACATACTACGGGATCACCGCGAAAGGTTTAAAAATGTCATTAGATTTTCCTTACAATCCATCCACCTCCATCTGTATCTTGATCACAGTAGACATGCACCCCGCCATATTCATCTGAAGGAAAAATCACCGACACTCCACTTGTTTTTATAACAGATTTCACTTCAACGCAATCCCGAAAACGATTTTCTGAAATTGAGTATTATTGTTCTTGTAAGACGCTCGGGGAAATCAGTCCTACTTGTATTCATTACGTTACTAAACATTTTGTTGTTGTTGTTGTTGTTATATGTTTAATGGCGCTTATAACCTCAGTGGTCTTTTGCGCTATTGATCAATTCAAGTTTAAAAATACTATACTAACATATAATACAATATTTACGAATATATAATTATACAGTTGAATCAATAACAATGAGTAATTATTTCTAAACATATCTGCCCGGAGACAAAACAAATTCGATAACAGTGTCATTGATACTAAACATTTTCGCTCGACCTTTAAATAAAGCATATGCGTGCGGACTAGATTCAAAACATGCCTATACAGTTACCGCAAAATTTGAGTCAGAGGATTATTTTAACGAATGTTCGCCCTACCGTACGATCGGAAAATGTCAAATCGGCACAGGAGTGAACAACACCATTGTTAATATCGTCTCATATATCAACTTTGCGGCCCGCATTAACTTTTCCCACAAGTGATTCTCTTAATTCTGAATTAGTTCGTGTGAATTTCCTTTGCGGTGAGCACATATGGAAAGATACTGTGGATTCATTTTAATTACTTATTGCTAATAGGGCATGTTACTCGCCTGAAACAAGATCGTAGCCCGATTTTATTTCCAGTACGATAATCTGGGTATTCTCATGCAGCGTCATATGCAAAAAAGTTGATGACGTTTTTCATGTCCTCGTTATTAACAGTTAAAAATTTGGGTTTCGTCGCGTATACTGACATTAAAAAGGTTTTAAGTTTATTTCATAACTTTCTATTTGATTGATTCAATTTGATTGTGCAATATAGGAACATTTGGCAATATAGAAAATAATGCGTGCTTATTGACCTCTGAATAAATCAGTGGGGTTTATAAGGTAGGGATACAAGATAGGACCCATTTCGTTATAGCTGAACAAATGTAATCTCTTTGAAAACAAGAGGAAGATGCTCAGATCTATGGACACAAAGACCAAAGCGAATCAGTAGTCTATGTTACGTTATAGAGCCCACAGAATGCTTTAAAATATGTAAAGTAATATCCTTCTAAGTAGTAGACAGGCTATTTTTTTCATAACAACAAGAACAAAAATACCAACAAGAATGATAACGACTAAACGATACATAGGTCTATTTTGGAGTTCAATAATGAATTGCTTCAAAGCAATTAAATACAGCAGCAATCAATTTGAGTTGGGTTATTCCAAATACAGCAGCGTTGCCATTCTCGCAAATCAAAGCTTTTCTGTGCACCCCTGCTTTGCCAGTTTAGAGTTCACTTTTTGCATATGTGTTTAAATGAAAATTGCATCACTGTAAATGATACAAAAATGAGGTTCCAAACTATATTGAAAACTGAAAAGATACCATGGGAATTTCTTTGACAATTGTCAGCCCTATAATTATAGCGAAGACCATTTCCAAACCAAAATACCATGAATAAAAATTTTTAATTATATACACAAAGTTTCTGATTATTTCTTGAATTATAGATAAAATTGCAATAATACGACGCCCCCTCTGTTCAAGCAAATTTATCAACATTCACTTACGAACTATCCTGCTGAGAACGTCGTCGTATTTTGTGCAATCACATGATTCTCCAATGGGACCTCTTACTCCGGGTGGTCCGGGACTGCCTGGCGGGCCAACAGGGCCTGCTTTTCCCGGTGGTCCTACTGCTAAACCCTGATTGACTTGCACCTGTGCATGATGGTCTTCATCGCATGAAAGATTGCATCTACCCAAGGAAATGCTCGGCTCCGCGCAATTAAATAAAATTGCAAAAACACACAACTCCCAAAATAAATGTCCAAGTGTTACTTTCATATCGAGAATTACTGTTAAAATTAATAACATTGGTTAAATTGAATAGAATATAGAAGGGACTAAAATATGCAACATGACTGATATAAAAAGACAGCGACGACCATACAAACAAGCCCATAAGTGATACTAAAACACAAGCAACCATATCAAATGGTGCAATGCAGTGTTTGAACGTACATTTGTGATGCTTTCTAAAAGTTTTTAATTAATGTGAGATGCAGCAAAAATAGATGGTCATTGAATATCTCGAATACTGTAAATACCAGAAACCGTAAGTTTTTCTATCAAAAGCTTTATTTCAACTGGTAATTATGCCACTAGACTGCAACATGGTGCTTTGCCACTTTATGAACTTAAAAACGAGTCACTCAACGCTGTTATTTATAAATAATAATATTCACAATCTTACATGAAAGTGAATTAATTCAAATCATTGAATTTGTATTTTTGATGCCTTTTCATGTACAGTGAAGCTAACAATATTCTCCCTCTGATTTTAATTATGTTAGTTCGAAATAATCATACCACGAGACTGGAACCGGTCGTGTCAGGAAATAAAAACGAGCCACTCGGGGATGTTACTTATATATATATATAATATATTAACCTGACAACCTAGCGAAAAAAGTTTCATGCTCAACTACTGAAGGAAGGTTCTTTTGTTTTGTCGTTTGTATGATCATATGCCTAGAATTTTTGCAGTCACGCTCTTGCAAAGGCATTTGTCATCTGATGTACCCGCCATCGTAAGTACATGCTATTTTTGATGAATAAATTTTAACTAAATACAGAATTCTTTCATTTGATATCATCTGGAACTAAGACTTTTTTCATCGTGATAATGAATATATAATAAACCAAATATTTCACTCTTCCAACATCTGCTCATATCGATACTGCAGGCACTGTTGTTTTTATTAAACTATCGGACCCAGCAATAGTGCTTGTGATTATTCAAGCAAGTTGAGAGTTTCCGATGCAAGTAAGCGCCCGTCCACTGAAACAGTGAAAACGAAAGCTAAAATTAAACACCTAATTGAAGTGAGAAAATTAATAGAGAGTAGCCGTCCAATCGTATATTCAATGTTGTTTCTCGTAATAATTTCGGTTCCTCCTTTCCTATCATCTTGAAAATAATTAAAAATGGTCATAGATGCATCTGCGCTGTAGATGTCGCTGCTTGAAAGCTTTTCGAGGTTCCTCACGACTCCTGTCACACAATTAAAGTTTTTATTTCGTGAGATTCGTCATATTTTCTTGATATTGATCAGGTTTATATTATGTTGATGAATGATAATTGATTGTTCATGAAATATTAATGGTGTTTTTAAACCGAACTGTATTTGAATATTTTGGTGTCAATCCAATCTTCTTATTTTCATCTCCGCCCGTTTCAGGCTGACGTGGCTTGAGTGCCAATGGTACCAGGAGACTCCTTTCGCTTCCGAAGATGACCCACTGTAAACGCCATTCAGGTTGCTATAGTGACAATGATTATACCACCACGCCCCTGTGTACGAAGTGGCACAATGCTTGGTAGTGAAAGGGTCATTGTCTCTGTCCTTCGTGCTGAAAGGCATCTTGTTGTGATATTTCAGACTGTCACCTAAAACGTTCAGCGGTAATTACGAATGGCGAATTGAAATGTTTTTGTCGGATTGTAGTATAATATCGGCAGTTTATAACAAGCAACAACACGGAGGAACGGTTGAAAGTTAAACATATAAGAGAATAAGGGGCTGCATAAACACCAAGAAATATCTTTAAAGCTACGTGGTCGTGAATATTATTCAAAACGAGAATTGAAGCAGTTTAAATCAATGATATCAGATGAAATACCTGAGCAGATTGGAATTTCTAAGGCAAAAGTTCCTGATATTCCTCTGACAAGTCAAAGGTCGTAAATTGGAATAGAATATTAAACAGCGTTAAGAGGCTGACGCAAGGTGTTTCACGTAACCGCTGGTCGGCTACGGCTTCCTTTATCATCAAGACCATGTATTTGAAAACGAATAACTTTCTAACTAATTCCATACCCGATACTGGTAAGTGGTAACCGGGCAAGAGGCAGTGGTTCTCCATATGATTGAACCGTCTCACGGGATAAATACTATACGTAAATCCTATCTTATTGGCCAATCATTTAGCTAAATTAGATCGCATACCTGCATTTCCAGAATATCCGGACACGGTGAGGCGATAGTTACCTGACGATCCAGCCACAGCAAATAAACTGCAAAACAAATGGAAGCTCAACTATCGCAACTTATTGCAGTATTTAAAAATGCTCATTTCCAAGTTTGTTCTTAATTGGCCATTGCTTCACTTCAGAGTGACCACTTTAATACGATAAACACAACGATATTGTTTAATTATCGGATAATTTTCCAAGTTCTATTAACGATACAATGTAATTTTGACGTGGGCGATCGTTAATAAGTCTATATACTTTTCTATATACTTTTCTTTATCAAAAATTTTTTTTTTATCAATATTGCGTACCTGTATTTAGCGAATGCTGAATTTCCGTCAAAATCTCTCAAATCGACTTGAAGTTCCCACGTACCGTTGTTTGTGAGTTGATGAATAGTTTCCAATCCTGCATAAAAAATGATTTAATATAGGTTAGTTGTGATACCCTTAGTAAGTAATATACAGTATTACATTGGACATTTTTTCACATAGCATTCAGTTTTTGGGTATTTTGTGGGAATTAGCAATTATCCAGTCGGAGTTCGGGTAGGGAAAAATTCGAATTCCCATCGCAAGCTGAATTCGAAGCCCCAATTCTAACCAGATATTTACTTACTGGGGTTTTACCCAAAAAATCCCATTTTTCTTCAATATCTGCCGTATATGTGTAACTCGAATAATTTGAGAAAAAGCTTCCAAAAACTTCCTAGAAAACAACAGTTGAGTTTCGAATAATATTTATATGAATAATATATTTTCACTGGATTGGATACTACAGTAGCATTCTTTATTTCAAATGATACTTGCTAATTTTTTTCACATTATGAAATTTGATTTCCTGATATATATACTGATATATAACGGACGCACCCAACCAAAAGTCCAGCTCTTTGCTGCCAAAACCAGTGACGTAGTCATCCCAACCTCGATAAAAATCTTCCGGACCTCCGACTCGTCGTTGAAATACCTGTAAATAGAATATTACTTTTACACGCTGGAAACAGGCTTCAGAGTCAAATGATTCGGCCAAAGCTATATACGGAGGAGCCCGGGTGATTGTCTGTGTCAGAAATTGTGTCGCGTCCTATCAGTTAAACTTTGTATTATATTGTAGCAATCCAGACTCATCAACGGATACAATAAAAAAACGTAAATCGACAGTTTAATTAGACTTTATTTGTTTTGGCCGATTAATTTTGTTTTGTTTGCGAGTTGCATAAGTTTTTTTGCTTCTAATCTTATGATTTTTATTGTTTATTTTTAGAAAACTTACCAAGGTGAACTTGTGCTAATAATTCAGCTTATCTGATACAGGGATAGTTATGTGCGAGAGGATTGCTGAACTCCTCGCCGCCGTAGGGTGTGTTTCACGTAACCTCTGATAGATTACGGCTTCTTCCACCATCAAGTCAATGCTTCCGAAAACAAATAACTGGCCAACTAATCCCATACCCGACATGGAAGGGTAACCAGATGAGAGGCCGTGGTTCGCCATATGATGAAGCCGTTTTATCGGCTTTCCTCGACCCCGGGATTAATACGTAGATCCTATTCTATCACCTATTTTACTTTTTGAAAATCTTGTTTGGATTTAGTCAAGAAATCTAAGCTTAGAAGCGGGGAAAGATAAGACATTATTGCAGTTAAACTATTTACAGTAAATCGGTAGTGAAAATGGCGCTCCAGAAGCATGGATTCCAATATGGAGGTAACTAATTTCGTTCGCCTACTCTACATCAAGTTGTGTAAATGGACGGAAGCTTATGGGCAGGGGGTCAATTTACTTGGCTAACACAGACAGTTACCGAACTCGTCATGGAACTGAGATAAGGAAAATCGGAATAAAATTATGGCCTGACCCAAACTTGGCACACATACTACGGGAGCACCGCGAAAAATTTAAAAATGTCATTAGATTTTCCTTACAATCCATCCACCTCCATCTGTATCTTGATCACAGTAGACATGCACCCCACCATATTCATCTGAAGGAAAAATCACCGACACTCCACTTGTTCTTATAACAGATTTCACTTCAACGCAATCCCGAAAACGATTTTCTGAAATTGAATATTATATTATTGTTTTTGTCAGACGCTTGAGGAAATCAGTCTTACTTGTATTCATTACGTTACTAAACATTTTGGCTCGACCTTTAAGTAAAGCATATGCGTGCGGACTATATTCAAAAAATACCTATACCGTTACCGCAAAATTTAGGTCAGAGGATTATTTTAACGCATGTTCGCTCTACCGTACGATCGGAAAATGTCAAATCTGCTCAGGAGTAAACAACACCATTGTTGATAGCGTCCCATATCTTAACTTTGCGATACCCATGATGTTGATTGAACCCTGGTTTACGTGTGCTTAACCACAACCTATGAATTCCACGAACTCTTCAATCCCAATTTTACTGTTATTATAACGAACCAGGATATTCGAAACTTCCCAACCTTGTCCCATTAAAGATTTTCTAACAGCCGTACTAGACCGGCTGTAAGCTCTCATTCGCTGTAGATCTCGAGAAAAATATTTTTGTTTTGAAGTTCCCGAGAACCTCATCAGTGTGGAATTTAGTGATCATCTATCTGTAACTTTGCTTAGGAGTCTCTTTCTCTTTTAAGTGAACTTGGAAAAAAAGATACTCTTGGTAATGGTCGCCCGCCTTAACTTTTCCCACAAGTGAATCTCCTAATTCTGAATTAGTTCATGCGAATTTACTTTGCGGTGAGCACATATGGATAGATAGGTTCCATTACATTTGAACCCGCGTACATTTGAACCCATGACAATTGCACCTGTATGCTATTGCACCTATGGAATTTTTTTTGTTTCACGGATAGTTAAACCCATACTAACCCTAACCCATGGGTTTTAGCACCCGCATATAGATTGAACCCGTGGATATACGCATGGGTTCAAATGTACATGGGTTCAAATGTAAGGTCACCGGATAGATACTGTGCATTCCATTTTAACCACTTATTGCTAATAGCGCATGTTACTCGCCTGAAACAAGATCGTAGCCCGATTTTATTTCCTGTACGATATTCTGGGTATTCTCATGCAGCGTCATATGCAAAAAAGTTGATGACGTTTTTCATGTCCTCGTTATTAACAGTTAAAAATTTGGGTTCGTCGCGTATACTGACATTAAAAAGGTTTTAAGTTTATTCCATAACTTTCTATTTGATTGATTCAATTTGATTGTGCAATATATGAACATTTGACAATACAGAAGATATAGCGTGCTTATTGACCTCTGAATAAATCAGTGGGGTTTATAAGGTAGGTATACAAGATAGGACCCATTTCCGTATAGCTGAACAAATGAAAGCAATTAAATACAGCAGCAATAAATTTGAGTTGGGTTATACAGCAGCGTTGCCATTCTCGCAATTCAAAGTTTTTCTATGCACCCCTGCTTTGCCAGTATAGAGTTCAGTTGTTGCATATGTGTTTAAATGAAAATTGCATCACTGTAAATGATACAAAAATGAGGTTCCAAATTATATTGAAAAAATATACCATTGGAATTTCTTTGACAATGGTCAGCCTTGTAATTATAGCGAAGACCATTTCCAAATCAAAATACCATGAATAAAAAAATTTAAATACCCAAAGTTTCTGATTATCGGATATTTCTTGAATTATAGATAAAATTGCAATAATACGACGCCCCCTCTGTTCAAGCAAATTTATCCACATTCACTTACGAACTATCCTGCTGAGAACGTTGTCGTATTTTGTGCAATCACATGATTCTCCAATGGGACCTCTCACTCCGGGTGGTCCGGGACTGCCTGGCGGACCAACAGGGCCTGCTTTTCCCGGTGGTCCCACTGATAAACCCTGATTGACTTGTACCTGTGCATGATGGTCTTCATCGCATGAAAGATTGCATCTACCCAAGGAAATGCTCGGCTCCGCGCAATTAAATAAAATTGCAAAAACACACAACTCTCAAAATAAATGTCCAAGTGTTACTTTCATATCGAGAATTACTGTTAAAATTAATAACATTGGCTAAATTGAATATAGAAGAGACTAAAATATGAAACATGACTCATATAAAAACACAGCGATGACCATACAAACAAGCACACACGTGATACTGAAACACAAACAGCCATATCAAATGGTGCAATACAGTGTTTGAACGTACATTTGTGATGCTTTCTAAAAGTTTTCAATTAAATATAAGATACAGCAAAAATAGATAGTCACTGAATATCTCGAATACTGTAAATACCAGAAACCGTTGGGTTTTCAATCAATAGCTTTATTTCAACTGATAATTATTCCACTAGACTGCAACATGGTACTTTGTCACTTTATGAAATGAAAAACGAGTCACTCAACGCTGTTAGTTATAAATAATAATATTCACGATCTGACATGAAAGTGAATTAATTCAAATCTTTGAACTCGTATTTGTGATGCCTTTTTCATGTACTGTAGAGCCAAAAATATTCTCCCTCTGATTCTAATTATGTTAGTTCCAAATAATCATACCACGAGACTGGAACCGGTGCTGTCAAGAAATAAAAACGCTCGGGGATGTTACTTATATATATATATATTAACTTGACAACCCAACGAAAAAATTTCATGCTCAACTGCTGAAGGTTTTTTCGTTTTGCCGTTTATATGATCTTACTTCAACCACTGGATTGATATCATTGCCAGGAATTTCGCTCATTGCGCTTTTGCAGTCACGCTCTTGTATAGATAGGCATTTGTCATCTGATGTATTCGCCATCTGAATAAATTGACTAAATAGAGAATTATTTCATTTGGTATCATATGGACCTTAGACTGTATTCACCCTAATAATGAATATATCTTAAACCAAATATTTCAATCCTCCAAAATCTGCTGATATCGATACTGCAGTTACCATTATTTTTTAATAATCTATCCGTATCGGACCCAGCAATACTGCTTGGCTGTGATGGCTGTTTTCCGAGCATCGATTTCCTTGGGTATATCCGTAACAATGAACAATCAACATAAAGTGAACTATGTCGTAACAATTCAAATTTTTGCATCCGCGCAGACAGATCTTTATAAACTTGTTTTGAAAAGAACAATTTTATAGATTTTCTCGTTTTCATTAACGCTCAGACACTTCGTTCGCCCAGACAATATATTCAAGCATGATTGTAAACATTGCCCCGCTTTCGTGGTTTTGTATGTTATTTGTCAGTTTTCCGTTATGTTTTCAAAAATTAGTTGAAAATGAAGCATTCTAATTGTCATTATTTCTTTCGGCGAGCTTTAGTCTAGTTGCAATAATGAAAAAATTCGTCCCGGAAAGGTGCATTAGACTAGGCTAAAAGTGGCTATTAGTAAGTGTAAGAGCCACGTTGCGCGGCGGTGTGGCTCATCGTGCTAAGCGTTAAGAATACGCTCGACACCGCACCTCTGATTACTCTCCGTAGGTTCGGGATAGTTATTTGAGAGTGGATTGCTAGATTCCTCGCCGCCGCGGGGTGGCTCACGTAACCGCTGGTCGTTTACGGCTTCTTCCACCATCAAGTCCATGCCCCCGAAAACAAAAAACTAACTAATTCCATACTCGACATCGAATGTGAACGGACGAGAGGCCGTGGTTCGCCATATGATTAGGCCACTTTATCGGCTTTCCTCTCCCTCTAGATAGATATGTAAATCCTATATTGGTTTTAAACATGTAAATAAGTTTGTAAGTGTCAATTCTCCAAACGCTCGTAGAATAGGCATCCAAAATTTTGCTATAGTAAACAGAGCTATAGAGATAACTTTTCTTGGGTCAAGGGTCGCGGAAACACCCATTATCTAAACAGGTTGAAAGTTTTTAATGTAAGTAAGTGCCCGTCCACTAAAACAGTGAAAACAAAAGGGAAAATTGAACACACGAAATCTTTCGGCAAAACGTTCCAACTCAACTTCTGTATGCTATAGGTAGGCTCATCATACGCCCGCTTTAGGCGGGACAGTTCCGCTTTTTAGCGTCTTGTCCCGCCGTCCCGACGAGTCAGCCAAATATCCCGCTTTGGCGTTCAGCCATCCAGTACAATACACGAACATGTTCTCGTTACTGTTGTTGCTGTGTAGGTGAATACTGAAGGTGAATGCGTTATTTTGTTTGTTCCGTTGTTTCACGCTAACATTGTTAGCCAACGTATCACATGTAAAATCAAGTCTAATTTGTCCTGTTCGGACGTTTAGGTGAATGTAACATTGAATAACGTCTTTTTGAAGGTGTTATCTACAGAAAACCATGCTTGGGCGAATAAATAAATTCTCAATGCTCGGAAACGGCAGTCTATTTCATTATTCTTTATTCCTTCTGCTGTACATAAAAATCTAAATCCAAATTCGAATCATTTGTATCGTTAGCGTCTATTCCTTTCTATTTTTCGAACTGAACCCGATATTTGAACGGAGAATATGCGCATGAACTCTCGATGACAAAATGGTCAATGAAGACAGCCGGGATGGCTTTAAATGTAGACCCATGTAGTAAAATCGGAAACTGTTAAGTTACAGGATCACAGCTGAGGGGTCGTGTCATCGAGGGCGTCCCGCTTTGAAGTCGAAAAAACATGGTAACCCTTGCTATAGGTCTTACTTAAAGTTTTGTTTGTTATTGAAACAAGAGAGCAATGCTCAAATATATGGACACGAAAACTATTTGCAATAATTGCATCACGCTGTTAAACCGGCAAATATTTTTTGCATTGGTGAAACCGCGACCACCATATTTCATAACATGTTGAACACTATTGGAAAGATTGTAATGCTTCTCCCATACAGCCATACCAGACTTGGAATGGTACCTTACCGGTAACCAAACAAGAGGCAGTGGTTCGCAATATGGTTAAGCCGTTCTATAGGCTTTCCTCTCCATCGGGATAATTATGTAAATCTTATCCTTTTTGTAAAGTCTCTTCCTCTGCATATTTCTGTATTTACTGATTTATGTACACTAACCTGCTGCACATGTTGAAATTTTTGTGAAGTTTCTTCCTCTGCACACGGTACCATACGTATTTATGCAAATGTTGTTTCCAAAAAAATGTAACGAAACAGCGAAAAATTAGAAAGGCATAGCAGCTGTGCAGACATGCTGGCTCATTACAAAAACTTAATTTCAATGCAGGCACACACTCTAAACAAATATAATTAATGCAACTAGTACAGTAATACTGTACTAGTCTACCGATATCGTACCTGTACAGGTACGTACCGTAACGGACTACGGTACCGGTATCGGTAAGACGGTACGTAAACCTGTAAACGGTACCGGTACGTGCCGTACAGGCCACAGGGACTGTCATAGCTTTTCCAGCTATCGTACCGGTACCGGTATCACTTTCGCTTAACACGGGAACCACAGTCTACAAATACTGATATATATAGTTAAGTGAACATTGATTGATTGAACACCGAGCAAAACAGTACCGGTAGTTTAACTTAACCTCAAAAACCTTTCGAGTTTATTGAAATCGAAAACCGTTGCATTGCTGCATTGCGGGTACCGGTAACCCCAAACATCTCGATTCCCCATAAACAACTCTTAGCGGAGCAAGAATTACGATCGCATCTCAGTTGATATGCCTTCGCGCAATCGCCACAAGGTGTCACTATTTTTTATTCTGATCACTTCTTCGAACACAAAAAACGAATCTCTCGAAGTCCACAGGTAATTTTAAAATAAACAAAAGTAATAGCCTTCTGGAGAAAAATTTTATCTCCAACCACTGAAAATTTCAAGGCAATTGGTCCAGTATTCGAAGAGAAAAGCGACTTTTTAAAAACGTGTCAAAGAACAAGAACAAGAACAACAACAACAACAACAACAACAACAACAACAACAACAACATAATATTGAAACGATCGTTATGTCCATTTCGTGTCCAATTATCAAAATTTGACAACTGACTAACTCCCTCAGGCGGAAAAGTAGAACGAGTTGATTGCCAGGGCCCGGCGACTTGGCGAGTAGTTTCAATCTATCGATTTACAAATCTGCAAATGGGCTCAACTAGATGCATGCAGACATGGGGATTTATGTAACATTTGGCCATATTCACCGCGACCTACCGGCGGCGGTATACTAAAATTAATCAATTAAATTATCAAGTCCTACAGAACCAAATAACAGGCCTATCCTGCCCTATAAACTTATTTATACCAGTATACGGTACCGTACCGGTATTTCGTATTTGCAGATCCGTACCGGTACCGTACGGTACGGTACCGGTACCGGTACCCACACAATTGTAGGACCAGGTGATGCACTGACTAATGCTGCGGTAGGCTACGGTACCGTAGTGTAGGCCTTTCGTACTTGTGTACAGGTTTATTTCCAGATTTCAGTACCGGTAGGTAGGTACCTAGCCTATTTGTTTGTATTAGTGCTGTAGACTAGGTATCGGGATGCGGACAACTCGACTACACCTGTACACGGACAACTCACCAGTAATTTAACACCAGCATTAATTGTGTCTAGTATAGTTTAGTACCACAAGTAGCTACAGGAGTGGTGATTTCTCTACGGCCCATGGGCCGGGGCCACGGCCCATCTAATTGGGCCACATGGGCCGTGGCCCATAGCTTGATGGGCTGCGGCCCATAGCTTGATGGGCCGCTGCCCCATCAGGAAAAATTCAATTATCTTAACAAAATTTTCAATTTTTACCAAATTGTCAATATTCGAACCAAAAAAATATACTCCTGTAGTATGTGTACCAGGTTAGGGTTAGGACAAAAAAAATTCAGATTTTTTACATTATAGTTCTATTATGAGTTCGGGGACTGTCTGTGTTAGCCAAGTGAATAGTTTCTTTACACAACTTGATGGGCCGCGGCCCATAGCCTGATGGGCCGTAGCCCCGGCCCATGGGCTGCAGAGGAGTCACCACTCCCACTCCTACAGGGGTGGTGACTCCTCTACGACCCATGGGCCGGGGCCACGGCCCATCTAATTGTGCCACATGGGCCGTGGCCCATCAAGCTATGGGCCGCGGCCCCGTCAGGAAAAATTCAATTATCTCACCAAAATTTCCTATTTTTACAAAATTGTCAATATTCGAACCAAAAATAAACTCCTGTAGTATGTGTACCAGGTTAGGGTTAGGGCAAATTTTGTTCAGATTTTTTACATTATAGTTCTATTATGAGTTTGGGGACTGTTTGTGTTAGCCAAGTGTATAGTTTCTTTACACAACTTGATGAGCCGCGGCCCATAGCCTGATGGGCCGAGGCCCAATTTGATGGGCCGTGGCCCCGGCCCATGGGCCGAAGAGGAGTCACCACTTCCACTCAAAAATTACGTCACTACGACGTCACCATCACGTCATATGGCTTCCAAAGTATAATTGCAATCGCCCGAAATGGCATCTGCGCCGCCGATAACAAACTCGCTAACGCCGACGATCTCTCTCCTGTGGTGATTGTTGTGACGAAAAAAGGAGAGAAATAGCTTGCTCGATTTCGGGTGATCGTCTGCGCGTTTTGGACGACCATCCGCATACTTCGGTGGGTCTTATTACGCCACTGTGACGTCCAAATGATGTAATTTTTCGGTGACGTAGTCAGGTGGGGGTTAGGATTGACATATACAAAAATTGTTGAGCCAGGCCAACTAGAAGTATATGTGGTACTAAACTATACCAGACCCCATTAATTTAGCTCGAAACTTATACAGCTGAACACTTTATTACTGTATTACAACATAATCATTATTATGTTATGTTATTACAATTTACAGTATTATAGAAACTGGGATTGAATACGGTAGTCATGGAATCTTCTCTTTCGGAAGATGAATTTCATCGAATGCAATTGCAAATATTGGATTTACGAACTGAGAATTATCAACTCAGAGATGAAAATAAGAAACTCGTTGCAAATTTTACCAAATCATCAGAAAATGAAAAACGTCTTGAAAGAGAGGTAGAGTCCGAATTTTGTCTTATTTTTTTTATTAATGTTTAAATACTGACATTCTATTTAATGATGATTGTAAAATTTAATTGGACAGAAACTGAGAAATAATGATTCCAATTTGATTGTGTTGAATCTGGCTTTCATCTTGAATATGATCCTTATTTAAAACAATTAATAAAAAATATTGGAGTTCTGTGGCGGAGGAAATTCTCAAAAAAGAATAGATTATTACACTTCCAAAATGATTTCAATATGATGGTAGTTTAGTAAGACACAGTTCTCCGATTCCAAGAATAATCTCGACATTAAGGATAGGATTTACATATTTATCCCGGGAGAGGAAAGCCGATAAGACGACTTAATCATATGGCGAACCACGGCGTCTCGTCCGGTTACCAGTCCAGGTCGGGTATGGGATTAGTTAGCCAGGTATTTGTTTTCGGAAGCGTGGACTTGATGGTGGAGGAAGCCGTGACCGACCAGCGGTTACGTGAACCACCCTACGGCGGCGAGGAGTCCAGCAATCCTCTCGCACATGATCATCCCCACATTCGAACATGCGATCCCACGAAGGGTAATCAGAGATGTGGTGGCGAGCGTATTCCTAACGCTTAGCACGATGCGCCACACCGCCGAGCCATAAACAACATCAATTATAACAGTGAGTGCAAACCCCTCCTTTATGGTACAGTCTGGAAGCCCATATCGGCACTACGCAAAAACTAAAAAGAAACGCAATCTATAAATGTCACCATTGGATTCCCTGAAAAAGTAAATACAATAGGCTATACAGAAAGAAAAAAATTTTACCGTACTTTCAGCGTTTTTAACAAAAAAAAAACGCAATTTTGATCAAGTGACAACAAACGCATGCCGTGGTTGTTCGAAAATGTTATCGAAAGAAGCATGGTGCATCTGCCTTTCTTGCAGACGTTTTAGAGACAGAAAGGGTGTTTGTTTTATTGAACCAAATATCGGGACATCTTTGAATCAGAGAACTGCGCCCTGCTGCATTACAGGAATAAATGTAAACAACTGACAGAATAGACAAGTTGGATGGTTTCTTTCGCTGATTCGACAGTCGTTATCATTGAGGGTTTTCGTCGATCGAAAAATAAATATCGTATTTTTGAGGCCGCATTCTTCCGATTTTTTCACAAATCCTCCTCAACATGAGTAGGCCCCTATTGAATGTGTAAGTAACATATTTCAATTACGGAAAGAAGAAAAGTAGAGCCGGTATCAGCCCTAACTAATAGAAATAAGTTATCTTATACACGATTAAAAGTCTGTAGGTAATGCTTGTATTAAACCATCATACTGTAAACAGAAATTTTGCGGGTACTGCAAAAGCCCAGATAGCTTTATCTCCCATGTCTGCACCACATAGACTATAATTTCTGCAAATATCGTCATGTTATACAAAATTGGGTTACAAAATTATCACACACTGTTTATTTGTCAACATTGTACTCAAAAGGCAAATTATTTGTCCACTTTCAAAAATGAAAAAAAATACGATTTTGCAGTCTCTAAAAATAATAATAGGAAATACTGATTGAGTTAATCGTCTCTCTTGTATTGGTGATTATTTTTTGTGGGTTCTCAGTTTTTATTCCTATTGATGTAATTATGTTGAGAAAGTATTTCCCGAATCGTGCAAAATTCTTGTATGTTTTAATTATTTGTTATATAATGGGAAAATTTCTATCATTTCATTAAATGGGTGATGGCGTCAATCAACGTATTCTTTCTCAACTTCAATGTTTTTCACACATTCAATAAAAGCATAGGAATAAACTTGCGAATGTGTATTTTATGCATCATTGTAACTCCACACCTCAACTTTATCCCATTCAATTTGAAAGTACAATGATAAGAGTCATTCCCAGCAGCTTTTGTTTCAACTGCTCTCCAGGGAGTCTGTATCCACCATATTATAAAGTGCAAGTTGCTGTTAGGAAAAATCAATAATTGAAATGTTCCTGAACAAATACTAATCGATAAACTACAAAACTTAATTTGCGTCAACTTGCCCAGTACGTTGAATTATAGATTTGAAATATGCATGTCATCTAACTATTTACCAATATGAATAAGTTTTCTAAAAATTGAAATTTATTGATTATATTTATCTACATCGTATAATATGGGCATGCTTTTTGTGAATTGCTTGAGTGTGCTTACCTTCCTATACCTATATCTCTCTGAATAGTTTTCCATATGATGGCTCGTAAAAACTGGGTGAGATGTTTTGATTTTAATAATATTCATGTGAATCATGTGCATTTCCAAACACTGCAACTCAATACAGTACAATGTGATTGATTGTGTATCTAGGACCAATGGTTCTCAAACTTCTTGAAAAAAATTCCATGACAGACCCCTTGCTATTTTTTTTATAATTTCCAAAAATCAATGCGCCGTATAGTGAAACAAACAAAAGAATATAAAGTGTATCTCTAATGACATGTGTGCCATCCAATCTGTTTCGATATTTGGTAAACGTGCAAAAGGGCAGCGTCAGCTACAGCGCTGCAGTTAGTAAACATGTAGTGGCGTGGATTAAACTGGAATGAATTGAATCACAGGCCCACAGCTCTGTGACATCACAATGTGGCAGCGTGATCGAAACAGAAGAATTAGTGTTTCCAGCGGTGCTTGTAAAGCAGCAAAACGCAACAGATGTGTATATCGAAATTTGAACACTTGATTTTTGTATCATCGAGCTATTAGCCATATTACAGATTTTTTTCGCGGACCCTCCGAAAATGCTTCACAGGCCCCAAAAGGTCCGCGGACCTCAGTTTGGGAACCGCTGACCTACCCAGTTTGAAGCAAATGCTAAATTAAATATTATTTTTTTTTAATCTTTTTGTCAATGTAATATCTGAGTTTAATCAAAGCAATTCTGATGCATGGTAATTAATCAAGGAAGTTAATATAAATCTGAGCTGTTGAGTTGACTGCTATGTTGGCTACTGAGCTGAGTTGAATCATATATTAGTTCAATGTTCCATCTACCAAATATTTCTCTTGGTTTGGTGTATCGCTGTTGTGATCGTTCAATCACTTGATTGATAATTAATCAATATCAACCACCTACTTTCAAGATAATGTATTTGAGGGTTGGTCTACTCAACTAATTTGTATATTTTGAACTCATTAAGCAACTTTAGAATATTGAACATTTTTTAATAAGGTCAACAAGGCTAATGGGGGTAAACCCTTGGCAATTTGAACGAATTTGGTTTCTTATTTTAAGTTACGTGCTCGGTTTTTTTAAATTTTATTTCAGTGTGATAATATTTTAATAAAACTGGTTTGATTTCATCTTCATAGTCTTCAAAAATTGAATAAAACAGTTCTTGGGTATACTGTGAAACTTACATTGCTTAAAATAATATTTATTTAGATGAAATTATTTCTATAATTGAAAATTCAATATAATAAATATTGAATTTATTTGAATATTGATATTGGATAATCCCGATGAAGAGAAATTTTGTGCAACTTGTTGAAAAATGAAATTCTAATCTACAGCTTTTATGATATAACTATTTGACAATTAGGTGGGCACATTTTTAGGCATTTGAAAAAAAAAAAATAAATAGGATAAATATAAAAAAGGAAAATATATCACAAGTGGAAGTGTAATCTATTGTTATCTTGTTTTCTTATTTTTTAACAAAGTAATTTGTTTCCTAGGTCTCCAAGCAGACCAAACTTCGGAAAGCTTTCACCACATTGAATAAGTCAAAACAAGCATTAGAATTTGAAGAATTGATGCAACAAAATGAACAAGCTTTCATTTTACAAAATCAAACTCTTGCGGAAGAATTAAGTACTTTACAAACTACAATCAAAACACTTGAAAATGAAAATCGGCAATTTAAACGACAAATAAGTCTCGCTCCTCAGGACAAAGCTCGTGATGCAGAGTTACGGAAATTACAGGCTGCAAATGCAGCATTGAAACAGTCGCTGGCGTCAATGCGAGAAGGTCAGTGCACTGATTCTGGGGATGCAACTCAACCACAAGACTCAACAGAAAAGGTTTTCAAAACTGTGGATGGGAAACAAAAAAATGACAACGAAGTTAATGGAACTGGAGTTAGTGATGAAAAAATTGACAAAGTTGGTGAAGACATAAGTGTGAGTGCAGGAAATATTGCAGCAAAGATCTCAAATAAAGATTTAATTCGCCCAGGACGAAGTGACAGTGACACCGACTTGCAAGTTCAAGTGCTGACATTGCAAGAAGAAAAAAGACTTCTCGAATTTGAGCTTGATAATGCGGTGAAAAAACATGACGCGAAAATCAACGAAATGTCAGGCGCGATGAAAGAGCTCCAAGAAAAACTTGACCAAAAACAAAAAACGTGCAATAGTTTACAAAAAGAACTTGGCCAGTTGCAAATATTTAAAAAAGAAGCTAGTGAAACTGTCACAAAATTAACTCTGGAGAATGAAAAGTTAAAAACCGATTTAGAACAGTCAACATCTGACACTTCCTCATTGCATAAAGCATTGCAGGAGTCTCACACTATTCTTGAACAACAACAAAGTTCTCTCTTACACTGGCAAAAGCAAGTCGATATAAAAGATGACGAATACAAAGCTGTGAAATCTGAACATACAGAAAATTCTGACAAATTGTCATCAATTTCAAAGGAACTTGAATCCACTTTGTCAAGTTTGGAACTTTTGCAAAAAGAAAAGGACGAACTGCAATCTAGATATGAAAAAAGTGCCAACATCGGTGAAGCACTTTTAAATAAACATACTGAATTAGAAAAAAAGTTAGAACAAGTGCAGCATGAGCATCAACAAGCCTTAAACCTTGCAGAAAAGCATAAATCAGAACTAGCTGGTACAAAACAGTTAGAAAAACAGATTGAAGAGTTGAAAGAAGAACTTCGTCAAGCTCTTGATCTCGCTGAGAAGCGGAAACTCACTGCAAATAATCAATCCATGGAAGCCCAAGATATGGTGACTAAATTGAATGAGCGAGCTTCCTCTCTGCAAACTACCTATGAAGATAAAATCAAATCATTAACTGATACTTACGATACTAAAATTAGAACTCTAGAAGGAACAAACAAATCCCAAGAGGAAGAATTAATTAGAGTACATCATCAGGAACGATTGAAAACAAGGGAAATAGACGGTCTTCAACAGAAATTAAATGATCTAAATGCTGCAACTGCGTCACTCGAAAATTCTAAAGGGTGGTTCGAACGGGCACTACAAGATGCTGAAAAGTTAGCTGAAGAAACTAAGGCTTCACATACAGAGGTTATTGAAAAGTTAAAGGAAGAACATTCAGCAGAATTAGAAAAAGCACTTCTCGCTGTTCAAGCGAAAGACGATGATGTTGCAGCTATCGAAAAAAAGATGCAAGAAATAGAAGAAGAATCTGAGAAAAAGGATGAATTAATTGAGAGGTTGAAACGCGACGTGAAAGATGAAATGCAAAAACAAAAATTAGTTGAAAAGAAGGTTCACTCAACTCTCAAAGATTTGAAGAAGCAGCTTGTTGCTGAGCGTAAAAAGAAGGAACATCTACAGGAGAAATTGACGCAACAATCAGATGGTGAAAGCAACATAGATGAGTTATTAACAGTTGTTGATACTTCTAATAAATCGAAACCTTCTTCAGGTGGGGCTGATGGTGCAAGTTCTGTAAGTTCTTTCAGTTTCAGGGATTTTATTAACCCTACTAGGACATCTGGTCCTGGATCTACAAGTCCAGTAATGAAAAGGACGGTAACGAGTTCGCCGTCTTCAAATTCAACACAGTTGAGTCACAACGAAGCTGCAGATTTATTGTCACGCATCACTGACCTCCAGAATGACAAATGGGCACTTGAGGAAAAAGTTCGACACTTGGAAGAAAGCGGTGGAGCTATGGCGAATGAATTAGTGGAAAAGACAGAATTGGTACAACGATATGTACAACATACACGGACAGACAGTGTGAAAAGAACATACAATGAAGAGCATTCTTCACCAAAGACATTGAAAGATAAAGTACGGTCATTTGTGACAGGACAAGAAGAACAATCGTCGCCTTCTGGTATTGGTAACATCTATGAACTTAATAAAAAGCTAACTAGAATGTTAGAAGAAGAGATGACTAAAAATATGGCTCTCAAAAAGGATATGGAATTAATGGCCCAACAAATGGTGCCAAGGTAGTTAAGGTATTAGGGTATGTAGAATTATATCACTTAATTTGTTTGTGACGCAATTTACAAACACATCGTCAATTATAAACTTGAATAATAATTTCCATTGCCAATTTAAACTTTTTTTGTTGCACGATAGAACTTTGGATTCTGAATAGGGTTCGTAATTGGATGAAAAATTATAAAAGCTGTTAAGTATATATGTAACTTCGCAGATTCATTGGGTCAGGGTAAATGTTTGAATTAGTATCAGAGTAGAAAATTACTGAATTCTGTTCACTGCATTCATATTTCACCATAATTTTTATAACTTCCTAAAAGTTTCTGATACTTTCCAAAATTGAATTGAATTTGCAATTGCTTTGTTGCAAATGCCTACTTCTTAACTTGCTTTTATAAAGTACATACAATACGGTATTTTGAATAATGATTACAATCAAAATAATTGTTTTCATAAAGGTGAAATGATGCTTTGTCATATTTTTGATATCTTTTCATAGCAGTCATGAATTTTCCTTCTGCACACCAAATATACATGGGCAATATGTATGTTAAATTGCATGGGCTATAATTAGCTTTCTTACTATGATGCTCATTTTACAATATGTCTCGCTTATTTTTACATAGGTAGGGGGGTCTATATTAAAATAGTTTAGATTCTGAAATTTTGCAAGAGTAGGGGGCCGCACAAAACGTATTGGCAGGTCACAGTTTGCCTATCCCTGCACTAGGATGTCGCCATAAAAAGGGACTAATGAAAACTGCGATTCGAAATCTGATCCAAACAGTTATAGTTTTACGTGTTTTAAATTAAATTTTATGGACATCCCTATAAGTATATATAGCTAATTCTGACTGTTAAGAGGTATGATTTTCACCTATGATGCTTAGTTTACTTTCTTTTTCTATCTGTATATTATACAATTTGATCAGATTATTGATTTATTTTAAATGTGTCAATATTATTGACTCAAGTTCCTTTATCCATGATCAATTTGTTCTAAACCGTACAAGTGGGCAATCAAGTGGGTGACTTCAATATATGATTTCATATTTGAACACAGAAATCTTGTCCTCTGCACAATCATACCCAGGACAATCTAAAATAAATGCCTTGTGTAGTTACATCTTCTGAAATTTCTTAGTTGCAAAGCCCAGTGAATACAAATCGTTTGTGCATCTGATCAAATCAAATATGAATTCTCTTTTATATAGGCAGAGGAAAAAACTGAACTGACTGGAAAAACAAAATTTTTTTTTGACTTACTAAAATATTTTTTTATATGAAAGCTTGATGATTTCCAAATTCTTCTGTCTGTAAAATGTTCTGAATATACTAAAATCAAAAAGGCTGTTTCTGTGTTTTGGCCAGGTTTGACTAAAGCCAAATACTTTGTTATTTTGAATACCTACATTTTTAAAATTAGTTTAGATATCATGTATGTTTAGTGCGCAGCGCAAGCGCACATATATAAGAAATATTTTTGATTTGGAAAACATCATACCGGTAAATTATTTCTAAAATCAACTTGGGATCACATCTTTGTATTTGTTCCATATTTTTCATGGTGTAATGGTGAAATCACACATGTCACTGTGATGCAATAATCTATGACTAAGAAGAAGTTAATCTCCTTTGTAATTGGCAATTTCCCTTTGTTATGACTTCCCTACATGACTTAAACTTCTATTTCCTCTCTTACAAATCTGATCAATGAGACTTAAGAAGTTCATGATTTGCAAAACTTTCAGCTTGTTGAAGTCCCGTAACAATAATACATTATAGATATGTAGTTCAATGAAACTTGTCAAGCCATGTGCAAAAACTGGTGTCCTGAATTATGAAGTTATAAAATACTATATTGTCAGTCTTTCCATGATTTGTTACTTTATTGTATCTTACTTCTATACATCTGGGTATGTATTTCAGAGATGATCATTCATTTTGCGCTTATTATTAATGGTACGGATTACCTTATGATTTCAACACGACTATAATAACATTGATTTATTTGTAATTTTTTGAGCATTACGTAGCTTGGTGCTTGATTTTTTTATTGTTTCTATATTCTGATGCTCTGATGTTGTATTATGCTTGATTTCATTTTATAGAAAGGTTACATCTTCACCCTTGTATATGCGGTTGAAATTTAATTTGTGGTTATTAAGGTTGAAAATGTTATTTACCGCAACATTTTCAAGATGATTTTTATTGAATTCAGTTCGAAATTTGTGTTTTCCAAAAACGTTCCTTATTGAAAATTCAGGTAATTGAAATTAATATATTTTTTGTAGGGAGTGCCATTTCCGCTTGCGATATCTGGATATTTGCAAAATTCTTTGGAAGTTTTGCGGCATACTATGGTATATTGATTCCTAATAAAGTAGGTCACTCTTGAAATAGTGTTTTCTGTATCCAACAATGCACTTTTGAATTTTAGTTTGATATTGAATTTTGTCATGAATGATCAAATAAACAAAACTGATGATAAAAACAAGTTGAATACCACAGATTCATCAGAAAAACAGTATTTGTACAACAGAGCATTATACAATTAATTAATAAAAAAATTGTAATTAATTGTGGAGTGTTCTATGGTTGATACTGACTGATTTCTCAATTTTCTTATTGCGTGAGTGCTTTTAACCTTGCCTGCAGTAATGAAATGAGAGTGGAATTTTATTATACTGCGAATGGTATTATTGTATGCTGCATACCTAATTCTTTTTTCATGATTTAATTGTTTTGCTGATTTATGGCTTCTTCAAATCCTCAAATATATGTATTAGCAAGGACGTGGGTTTCAAAATTCTTCAGCTTAACTGAAACTATTGTTTTCTATTTTGGATGAATTGCTAAAAATGATGTATTTGAGAAATGTGCCCAAGGATATTGTGTTTTTATGAATATGTTGTTCCAATTAAAGTTGGTATATTCCCTATAAAACAGTGGTTTTCAAACTTTTTAAGCCGCTCCCCTTTTAGAATTTGTCTCATGTCCCACCTCAAAAATAAATAGCTAACATCCTAACAATAAGCAACAAATAACAGTAAGACGCAAGTATGTTTTATTTAAAAAACATGTTGAAAACACATGGCTGGAATCGCAATCTCTAAACAATAAAGAAATGTAAATATCCAAAATGAAGCGGGAAGATCAAATCTAACAAATCTTTTTATTTTTAATTTGCTTCATGCCCCCTCAACAAATTGTCTACGGCCCTCTTGTGGGGCGCTCCCTACCGTTTGACAACCACTGCTATGAAATGTGAGTAGTAATTTTATAAAAAAAAAAAAATTTTCACAGCAAATGCACCCTTTCACATTTACTCCCTTGGTTCGAATTTTTGAAATTCACATTCCCCACTTTTACTACGACTATCAGATATTTTATAATTTCTCTTCTATTCCATATATTGTTATTAATATTATGTTTGCTGATGCTCCAAATCTAACATTCGTATATATATTATATTTATGTCAATTAAGAAAATAATATAATGATGTCATAGGATTATTCAAAACGAGGATGTATATCGAGAAAGGGGCAAAGGTCAAGGTACTTGTACTGGGAGATTCTGGTGTTGGAAAATCTTCACTTACTCATCTTCTTTGTCATAATGAAGCAAATAGAAATCCAGGATACACGATCGGATGTTCCATTGAAATTAAAGTTAGTTGAATTTAGTTAATATTCTGTTGTATCTTTGTTTGTGAAAACTATAGGAATGATGGCATTGATGAGTATGGATTATGGATTTAAACTCCATCCCGAATCGGGAAGATCTCGTTCTTATTCAAAATCATTGTTGGATGGTTTATCAGAGATTTGTTTGAAGCAAACATGAAAATAGTCCATTTTAACTGACTGGTGCAGTCAGCCTTGAATACCTGAATGAATCCTTGGGACTTTCTGTCAATTTCCAATTTAAAATATTACTATTGTGTAATAACTTGAGGTATCATGTCAGATTAATTATTCCTAGGATTTATTAAAAATATGGTATTCTTGTCTGATCAATCAAATTGAAAATTTCATATTTTGAAATATTCTGAATTTTCAATTAGGTATATTGAACTTGAATTTAGTGAATTAATCTATTTGATATTCACCACAATGCTAGGCCTGTTTTTACACATTTTCACATGAATTAAAAGCCTTGTTACACTCTAACGCCTCTTCAAATTTTCACAAAGTTGTGGTAAAATGCTATTAGGAAGTGATGTTTATTTTTATTGAATCTGTCTATAAATTTTTAGCTTCATGACTACAAGGTTGGAACACCTTCTGAGCAAACATATTGTCTAGAGATTTGGGATATTGGTGCATCAAGCAGTCACACTAGTGGTAGGTAGGTATTATAAATTCTACCTCTTCTTTCGTCAATTCAGTACTTATCAATTACATTGTATTATTATTTCAGTGGTGGCAGAGGCAGTCAAATTTTTTATTTAATAATTGTTTTCATGGCTTAGCCTTTTGTTCAATAAATTCCTGTAAGTCTGGATGAGATGTGTGTAATAGCGGCTGCAAAAATTTCAATTGTTACATCACCGTTGACTTATTACTGATTGGTCATTGCCACAAAAATAAGAAAAACGATACTCTGGGAAACTTCTATTGGTTGAATAAGCATTCTATATGCAGGATTGCTTAGAAGGTTTACGCAATCACCCCCATGTATCTAGAAATAACGTCTAGTTATCTATTACATATCTGGTAGCATTTTTCTATAATTATGGTATGTCATCTCACTGACTTTTTTGTGACCCAGACAAAATTAATTATACCCGTACTTAAACCTGTGCATCAGGAACAATTGAATGAAAATTGAAAAACACGCCGTAACGCACCTATCACAGCAAATGGTTGCAGGAATAGTTATTCGAATTAATTTGCATAATGTCATTAATCATTATGTTCGAGTGCGATCAGAGTTATGCACGTGTAAGCCGACCCCTTAGTTTGGCAAATTTTTTTTTTGAGTTTCATACAATAAGTCGGCTTTGCTCTCCCCGTTGGTAACAAGACGGGAGGTCTTTGCTTTCTATATGATTAAGTCAACTTTTCGGTTTTGCTATTTTTTTGATAGATATTAAAAACACTGTCTTTCTTCTTCAGATTCATATTCTACTCTGGAGTAAACGGAATCATCCTGGTCCATGATTTAACAAACAGAAAATCCTTGCAAAACTTGAACAAATGGATGAATGAAGTTATAAACCAGGATCCTAATCTGTCAGGAGTTACAGTTGGAAGTGGCAACGTTGGGTTAGTGTCGATCAGTGTATTTAAAACTGGGGGATGTCCATAATGAATCAAAGAGGCAAGCGTGGCGCTGTGGTGCATCGTGCTAAGCGTTAGGATTGGGAATATGCTCGCCACTGCACCTCTAATTACCCTGCGTGGGTTCGCAGGTGTGAATCCCATGCAGGAATAGTTATGTGCGAGAGGATTGCTGGACTCCTCCCCACTGCAGTGTGGTTAACATAACTGCTGGGCGGTTGGACTTTGTCCACCATCAAGTCCATGCTTCGGAAAACAAAAAAAACTGGCTAATTAATCCCATATTCGACATGGACTGGTAACCGGACGAGAGGCCGTGGTTTGCCATTCGATTAAGCCGTCTTATCGGCTTTCAGTTTCTCCAGGATAAATATGTACTCGTAAATCATATTGTATCCAATTATTTGATTTGCAATACAATATTAAAATGTTTAGCAGGAATTTCATATTAAACTGGGTGGTGGAAACAGAATTAATATTTCCACAATCAATGTTAACATTAGCCAAATTACGTTTTATGTTAATGACCTAATGATACGAAAAACCACAATCATACGAAGAACCACAATCCTATGAAAAACCACAATCGTGAGCCACTTAAACCCCATTTCCTGTATGGAAATAATTTGCAGTTATTCATTACGAATGCTGAAGCTACTGGTAAATGTGAACCACCCTGCAAGGAGTCCAGAAATCCTCTCACACATAATTTTTCCTACAAGATTTGAATCTGTAAAATGTAAATCCACGCATGGTTGTGCATTGGCAAATATGTGTTCGATATTTTTCACTTTTGTTCATGATCAACGTTCAGTACAAGCAGATAGGCAATAGTCGACAGTCGCCAACTTTTTATAATAAAACTGGGATCATTCTGATTGGACATATCCCAGTCGATTTTTTTAGGCAAGATGGTGAACCCTTGAATCCTTGAACTCACGATGTGTATCCTTGTATGCATTTTCTGTGAATTCTGTTACACATTATATGAGTTTCACCTAAAAAATGCACTTTCACTTTATTGGATTACCAGTTGATGTTAAAATTTTCACATCATCAGGGCAAATATTATTTTTTGAATGGAGTCAAAATTATTGATTCGAGACTTGAGTGGAAATTGGCTCAACTTGGAACTAAAAGTAAAGTCATATCACAATCACAAGTTTACATGAATTCTGGCCCGCCATATGGTTTTGAATTGAATTGTCTCATTAACTCCAGGGAAAAGAAAAGCCAATAAGGCGGCTTAATCGTATGATGTACAGTAGATCCTCCTCTCCTCACCAGTTCATGCTAGGTATGAGATTAGTTGGCCAATTATTATTTGTTTCAGATGCCTTGCATGGTTTATATACATTATGATGGGATCTTTGTTTTTGTCCAGATCTTACGATTCTGCTCAAAATTATGGGGCGTTTTCCATTCCTGTTATTATGGTAGGAACCAAACTTGACCTGATTGCCGACAGCAAGAGAAGAGATATTGCCAGGAGATCTGCTATGGTGGCTGATGATTTTGGATGTTCAGAAATATATTTGGTAGGTTTTAGCAAAAATAAATGTACATTGTACACTATGATAATGACATTATTTTTTTTATACATTTTCACACCTATACGGTGCCTTCTTGTCCAAGTGCCACTGATATGTTAAGGGCTACTTTCGACCCCTTTATCGTTGTCTCCAAATATTTTCGTCCAGCACTGGCCATATGTAAAAAGTTAATCCTGTTAAGTTGACATTGATAATCGGTTGTCAAATTTGGTGTTAGTTAGTGTACATAGTGTTTTAGATGCATTTTTATGACATAAATGATGCCAAACAATAGAAAAGCTATGATTTTATTGACTGGAAAATTAAATACAATTTAATTAAATACCAAATTGCCGATGGGGTTAATAATGAGAGGGATATTTCCTGCCCAATTTATTATTTAACTATGTGAACAGGTAGGCATGCAATCTGAATCTTAGATGCCATCATAGTCAAGGTTATCTTCCCCACCACTGTTACGTATTACAAGGTATCTGGAATTTTGTCAAAACTGTATCTCGTTCAAAAATCTTGGCTATGCATGACATGAATTTGAGCTATGGAAAAGAACACAGGATATGATTTTTATTTTTATCCTGGGAAGTAAGATATGGGGCGTCTTATAGAACTAATTGTCATCAGCTGATTTTTCTGAATTCTGTTTCATCCATCTTACTTTTTCCACCTGATTTGGTTACTCTGATAGAGCTGTAAAATTTGTGGTCAAATAGTTTCTAAATGTTGTGACTTAATAGCTTCATTAATATATACAAGAAAGATCCAGGTGATAAAAAAAGAACAGTACATTGCTCCAAACCACAGCGCCTAGTACATATTTCCTATTCTTTTTTCGGTTAGCCATAATAGGACATTGCGAAATATTTGGAATTGGAAATTATTTTCAAAATAGTTACTAAAGTGAATTGTTTTTTTTTGCAGGATTCTGCTCAGTGGCAGTTTTTGGCCCCTGGTTCAGGAAATGCTGTCAAACTAACAAGGTTTTTTGACAAGGTAATTATGGCATCTCATATTCAATTTTGGAAATCAGTCGCTTATGGAAACCTTTTAGGTGAAGCTAAGAGTTTTATTAATGATTAAAATTTGCACCTGCATAAGGTAAGTTCACTCGCTATATAAAAAATACATCGTTGATTATATTGCAGTCTTTAAAAATGCGATAGCGTGAAAAAGCTGACAATTTATCATCATTTTTAGTTATTCTTCAGGTTTGTGTCGATACGTACTATGCTATGGTTAAAACTATATATGTTGTTCAATAGACTCATATCTGATGACTTATACCGCTATATTCAGGTTGTTGAAGATGCCAAGCAGAAGAGAGTCACCAGTCGAGGTGATATGACTCCTCAAAGAGCAGAAAGAACAGGCTCATTTGGGGGATCTGATAGAAGACGATTTCCTGTTAGTAAAATGGGAGGATACACACCAACTAAGTCTGGTGCACATCAAGACTGAATGGGTGAATGAATACTGGGAATAGTAGGCAGATTGATGATTATCAATCGGGATTATGCGAGAGTAGCGAGACTATCTTCTTTTCATTCATTCAATGGTGCTGTAGCAGGAATGAAAAGGACTATTCTATGTTATTCAAGTATCTTGCTGCTTACTAAGTAACAAAAAATTATTAATGTAACACTGTCTATCTTCACTATGTTTGCCTGAAGAATTGTACCTCAGTCATAGGAAATGTACAGAAATTCATTCGTGTTGTATGTAGCAAGATTCTTGAATCACAAACGTAAGCCTGAAATGTGATGGCTTCATGTCCATTATACCTGCCAAGCGGTATGTAGTATATTATGGTAAAGCTTGTTCGTTCTTGAGAGAATTTTGCAAGCCTTTTTAGCAGAATTATTTCACAAATCTAATAATCGGTATTGAAGAAATTGATAGTCTGAAATACCATTGATTTCGAGAAATTCCACAGGTACTGTTTGCTAATACTTGCTAGCTGCCACATTGTGCAATCTTCCATGTTAATAAATAAAATTTATTCATTGCTATTATGTCCAATCATTGGCTTTTTTGCTGGATGGTCTCGATGAAGCACGATTAGTAAGTAAGCTCAGCTTGGACTTTTTAACAAGTCAGCAAATCGCATGGGAGTTTTGAAATTCTGGAATCGTTTTTTTTTAACTCTAAATCAGATGTCACATGATATGCCAGAAACTGATTTTTAGTGGTCCTAAAGGATCAACCACAACGGGATGTGGCCAAGGAAAATGTTATGAAAAACATAGGTAGGGTCATACTTTAAACATGTCTCTCGTAAATCAAAGCAAAAGAGATAAGTATGACAAGTCTAATGGCTATGTTTATTTGAATTTAGCCTTATTATGCAGTGATAGACGAGACTTAAGACTATTGAACTTGGTAGCTTAAATTCGATAAGCTTTTTAGTCTATCCCAAAAAGGTCCATCCATGTACAGTTTTCTTCATAGGCTTTTCAATAATACATATCGTTACGGAGACACAGATTTACGTTCATTTTAGAAACTCGAACAGATACTTTATCAAATTTTTACGTTTTTTGTCGAAGGTGACAACTTAATCTCAAGCCTGACCAACCTTTTTCGTCTCGCCGCAAACGTTTGTAGCAAAATTTAATACCAGCTAAGTCCCGATTTCAGTGTGATTTACATAAAATTAATCAAATTATTAATTATTTACTGGTTACTGAGTAGGGCCGGCAAAATATTTGAATAGCAGTTTACTATTCATTGACCAAACAAAGAATCAATCATTACGCAACCCACTTGCGGATTTCTGACGACCACACGGCAATCTACACACAGTTTTCACTAACAAAAAATTGAAACATAAATACAAGTATCTAATGAAGTAACATGACCCTTCTAACATGCCCCCTACAGTTATAGAAATTTTCTGTAATTATAATATTAGTATCGAATTATACTGCAATACACATTTATGTTTCAATCCAAATTCGGCCATTTCGGCAGAAAACTGGTATTATCGCTTCTGGAATTAATGATGATTCAAGTAGTTATAAGAAAAGTAGTTATGAACAAACCTCGAGGTTTAGTAATATTCGAACATATTTAAACCAGGAAAGTATTAGATTAGAGACTACTAAATTGAACAATTGACTTGCATTTAGCACCATCCGATAGTTTTAAAAACAAGACGTGTATTATTTGTTAAAATACTTTTCCCACAGTGCACCTAAAATCGATAAAAATCTTATGTAACCTAATGTGCCCACAGTACGTAATGAACACACGCTACAACAATTCTTTTTATTCTTATTCTCCTTTTGTGTCAAAGCATAATTTTTTATCAAAACTACTCGTTAAAGAACAAAAATGAATAAAATAGTCTATTATTTTTAATACGTTTTCAAATAATATGCATTTTATAATGAATGTTTTACTGTATGAAGCAAATGATGAACTTGCTCAATATTAACGGAATAAATTACGAAATATACATGCTATATATCGCAATATTAATATCATTCCTACCCAACAAAATAGTGTATCTCTCTAATTTCATATATTTAGTTTTCATTTTGTATATCGTGTATAAGTTAACTATTTCCCAAAGAAAGAATCGGTTCAATAAAGTACATACATCCAGGCTGAGCCTAACTAAAACATTGTTCAGCTTAAGTAAGATGACATCTATTTGTTGCTTATTTTATTACCAACTTTCTTACGTAATCTGAAGAACGTTGCCTACCTTATCACGCAATTTAATTTCTCTTTGTATACTTTCTAATCTTGCAAACAAAAACAAATTTGAATTCCTAATTTTTGCCAGTAGCCTACATTTTATTCAAACATTTACTTGTACGTTTTTTTTTAACTTTATTTTAAGTTAAGCCTTCCAGGTATCTCAGTATTTGCTTTTACGTATTGTTCCGTTTTAGTCAGAGAGCCGAAATAAAATGAAATGATTTGCACTTTAAAAGCTTGAATCACAGCTAAGTGGGTCAGTTTTAAAATTGCAACAGTTTAAATAATTTCAACTCAACGATAGAATATCATGACAACAGATGTGATCATATTCTCTGATGATGACTATCCACTTTAGAACCAATATTTTGCTGCAAAATCACCGCAGTATTCTTCTGCACGCTTATGACTGATGTTTCTGCTTGTTCTTCCGATGCATAAAGGTTCTACGTTGCACTCATTTTTTTGGGTACTCCCGTGATATGTGAATCAAGATGGCGGACACCGGAACGTAGTATGTGTACCAGGTTAGGGTCAGGCCATAATTTCATTCCAATTTTCCTTCTTTTAGTTCTATTACGAGTTCGAGAACTAGCCAAGTGACTCCCGTAGTATTTGTATATATTTAAAATTATGGAATGACCACAACCTGGTACACATAATACGTTCCGGTGTCCGCCATCTTGGTACGCATACTACAGGAGTACAGATCAAAGTGCTGTAATATAAAAGCGAGTTAAATCCTCGTTTTGCTAACCTTTTTAAACTATAAATTATTAAATATTTGGCCATTTAAAACTTTATTTTAACATATTACATCTCTAGTTAACAAAATTTTTCGTAATCTGCTTCTGCTTTAATCATTTCATATTTTCTGTGAAATATTCGAGTACGAGTTGTGAGCTATTTCATTTGCCCCATAATCTGAATATTTGAACACTTCAATCATACTATAATGCATTATTTCAAACTTTTTATGTGTCTAAAGTACTGCGATAGAAATGGGGAAACTATTATTTGAACTGATTACTAATGCAGAGAATATTTTGTAAAAATACTAATTCCTTTCAAACGTTCTGAGAAACACGTCTGTTGTAATGGATACTTAATCGTTCATTTTCAAGGCCGGGCAAAAATATTAGACTCGTTGTCTTGAGAATTCAAATTGAATTTAGTGACCATTTTATATTATTTCCAATGAAAAGCTCAGTAACATCAAATTTACCGATATAAAATTTTAAGATAAAATTTCCAATGCTTATGGATTGTAGTTTTTATTAAAATGTATATATTTATAGGACAACTGATTCGTTATTTTACATGTTCCATTATATAATGTTGTGAAGTTCCAAGTAGTTATGCTGATAAAATACAAGAAGTGAATTTATTCTTCATGACCTAACCCAACCTATTGCACCTGACTTTTAAATAACAACACTCAGCATCTGACAGGAATTTACTCAATTCTCGTTACTAAACAGACCACATATCATTTCTATTCTCCGACTACACATTAGAGATGTACCGATGTATCGGTATCAGTATCGGCAAAATCGGCCGTTTTTTCGGTATCGGTTAGATTAAGGGCGATATTTCCGATATATATATTTACCATTTTGATATGGTCCAGAATGTTTTAGAAGATAAGTTGGATCACTACTTTTTAATTCATTTTTTTGTCTGGAGAGATCGTGAGCTATGAGCCATACATTCCGACACAATTATCCCTCTACGCAGGTAATAATTTTGTTTAACTACACACATTACTTTATAGATATATTGACATGACCGCCTAGCCCTAGACTGTCTCAAAAGATATGATAGCAATTGTGAAATATTATAAAATAGTAAAGTAAAAAAACATCCGCGACGGTTATAGGTAGGCCTTCTTTTTGTCGGTGCTGATTGATATTCTTTCATGTTGGCTTTGACTTATTGCGTCGACGATTACGATTAGCCACAAAATAAAATATTTGTAAAATGCCTTTAATTTGAACGTAGGAAGGCGGCGCTAGAATGTGTTCTTTTAAACACAAGCCTCCAATTTAATCTTCATTTTCGTAAAAACAGAAGGTATACAATTGTACTTCGAGCGAATCTACAAAGCTTTCGGCTCCACCTCGAAAAATTCGTAGAAGAAATTTAAACATTGGTTTGCATTCGCACCGTGAACCCCATACAGCAGGGTCTCCAACTCAAAACATGTCGCGGGCCACTTTTTTTGAAATTTATTGGCCACGCGGGCCGCAAACCAAGAAATTAGATACTCTAAAAAATGTAATGTGTTGAAATTACACTTGAATCTTACAGCAAAGGAGACATGAAACATATTCATTTACTTGTGCCGGATATTTGGTTTCTTTCATAGTTGAAAAAAATTGCTCGCAAATATTAGAACTGTCAAATATCGCAGGTATGCAACGTGAATGTGCAATTAGCTTCGCAAACCTTTCTTCGGGCATAATGAACTGACCGAAACTCGTTTATTTCGTTACAATGAACATGCGAAATGAAATTATTGTATTAATTATTGAATTGTAACAATAGAATAAAACATGAACGTGGTAAAGTGGAATAACAGTGGGAAATTTTTGCTCCACTTCTTACAGTTTGTCGGACCGGACTCTTGATGATAAATGACACGATAAAACTTACTTAAAGTTGAAATCGTACTATTTTAGTTTTTTGTAGAAAAATCCCAATTATGACGCGGGCCACAAAAAAAATGCCTGGCGGGCCGCATGCGGCCCGCGTGTTGGAGACCCCTGCTTTAGGGGCGCGGCGGTGTGGCTCAACGGGCTAAGCGTTAGGAATACGCTCGCCACCGCACCTCTAATTACTCTGCGTGGGTTCGCAGGTTCGAATCCCATGCAGGGATGGTTATGTGCGAGAGGATTGCTGGACTCCTCGCCGTCGTTGGGTGGTTCACGTAACCGCTGGTCGGTTACGGCTTCCTCCACCACCAAGTCCATGCTTCCGAAAAACAAACAATACAGTAAAAACTAATCCCATACCCGACTTGGAATGGTAACCGGACGAGAGGCCGTGGTTCGCCATATGGATAAGCCGTCTTATCGGCTTTCCTCTCCCCCGGGATAAATATGTAAATCCTATCCTATCCTATCCTTTACACGAAAGCTTTGGGCTCTTCTACCACTATTTCGTTTTTGTAAAAATATTCTTGTAAATAATTCAACAATACGTTTGCGTTTGTCCTGTGAGTGGTGCCACGACGCGTTGGGCTAACAAATAATTGGCAGAATAAAAACCGAAAATAGGTTTGCAGTTGTACTGTTAACGCTATTTCGTAAAAAACTCAACAATAGGTTTGCATTTGTCATGTGAGTGCAGCCACAAATCGTTGGGCTCTTTAACAAATAATTCGTAGAAAATAATCAAATATAGGTTTGCGTGTGTACAGTTAACGCTACCACAAAGCTTCACGCTTTTCGTAGAAAAAATTCGAAAACCAGCTTGCCGTTTGCCGTTGAAAAACATTCAAACATGCTTTGGGCTCTTCCAACACTATTCGAAAAAAATGGTACACTACCAACAAAGCTTTCTCGTTTTCACCGTGGCACTAAAAATTAACAACCAGACCTTGGCACGGAAAGTGCTCGCAAACATAACAAAGGGACAACGAGTCCACGAGCCTGTAGCAAAGATATTGTTGACTTTTTATTCTACGTTGGCAATAAAGAGAATCAAAGCCGACACGAAAAACGGCAGTCAGAATAAGATATATATGCAAATTTAGGCTTCAAATTAATTCCTATAATTGCGCCCATCGTTCGTCCCCGATGGTCGCACAATATCTTTCGAGTTCGTCGAACTGAACGCACAGTTCTGCGAGAAATAAAAAAAAAAACGTTGATGTCCACCAGGTCGCAGGATTTGACACATACGTAATGACAAGAACCTACATTTTGATGTATATAGATGGCAGGAATAATCCCGCCAAAAATACTTAAGCCTATATAACATGGTAATAATTTGAAGCCTAGCCTGCCTACAAACTTTACAGGGCGGGCCGCGGTTGGGGAGCCTTGGTCTATCTCTAAAATTTCTAAATTAGATTGCGACTGTTAGTGTAAAACCAGTCAATGGCTCATTTGAATCCTCGAGAGCAAGGATAACTCAATAATTTCGGAAAGTAGTTTTAATTTACAAAAAAGGGTTTTTTAATAATTGAAATTCTACGAAACATGGAACAAGGTCTTTTTCGCTAGTAACATCTACCATAGATAAGAATGTTATACACGGCAATGAAACGCGGCTCATGATTTCAAGCATAAGAATATCCTAGTATTTAATTATCAAACCCATTTTGACAACTTCAAATGGAATCAGTAAGCATAATTAAGATGTGCACGAAGTTGATGAGCCTTGGCTTCCTTTGAAGTTTCTTTTTTCAACCAGCAAAACTCCCTGTTTTTCACATAATTTGAATGTGCATGGTTGATTTTTACTGGTTAAAAAAAAATTGAATTGGTCAAAAAAGGGCCGATAACATAACTTAACAAAACCACCTGCAAAACGAATAGGCATGAAACCATGGATAGTTGCATTTCCATGACAGCTCAAGCAGTGAATCAGGTATATATACACACAACGCATCATAGCTGTAATATTTTGCTATTCACTTTCGATGGATACAAAAATAAGACCATAAACTTCAATATGATTTATGCCAAAGAAAAGCATTTGTTTTTTGGGCTTGATCATATCTAAGGACATAGAATCACTTTTCTCTATAAAAAAAAAGATTTCAACTTGGTGCAAGATAAAATTTTGCATCATAGACCCAAGCCACTTCTCTTTGTTTCTCACCATTTAAATCGATGTTCGTTCCCAACCAGTAAAAAGATTAATTTCAATTTCACGCTCAACTGAATTGTACAAATCTGATGTTTACATTTGCACGATCAGAAAATATTTTGTGCCAAGGTTAGGCAGCAATTATTGTCATATTGCCTATCATTGTAGCAAAATATATATGTACGCAATGGCAGTTTAATTTCTTATTTCTTCCTTCCTCCTCTCTCCTTCACTTGTAGATTTATAACTGACCCATTTGTCATGTTATAAAATGCCAGAGAATTTGAGTCTTTAATAAAAAGTCCATCAAGTTGTAGTTTTTGTTTTCCACCTGGCATTCCAGTTGCTTCATGAATCTTCGCTTTTATCACAGACACTTCATCAGTTAATGGGAGTGTGAATGTCAACATTTGGCCCTTTAGGTTCCAGTCAGCTCTATCAGCAGTCGGACATGCGACTCTAAACATAACAGGTCCATGGTTATGTGCAAGGAACTGTCCTTCTGGAATCAGATTAGCTTCAGTGCGTTGCCGTTTTGAAGGTGGACCCTCAGGTTCTGGTTGGGAGAACTGCTGTTGTGGTTGATGCATTTGTTGCATCATTTGTGGTGGATTCTGCTGAACTAACATCTGTGGAGGGGGTTGCTGGACTACATGTTGGACTGTCATTGGCTGTTGAACAACAAGTACTTGTTGTTGTTGAGGCACCACATTGATCATTGGCCGCACAACAACCGGAGTTAAAACTTGACGTTGAGGCACTTGCTGTATCTGGACCATTTGAACTGGTTGTCGATGCTGCGTAACTTGTACTATACTCGGCTGTGGTTTCGGAACAGGTTTTGGTGCATTGTTTGGTTTTGTTGTTGATGGACCAATTGAAGACTTACTTTCGTCCATGATGATTCCCTGTGCTTTTTTAATAGCTTCAATCTGATCATCAACAGTAACGCCTTGAGCAGCTTTTCGTTGTGTACTTTCTGCACTGCCGGAATGTCCATCCCACATGACTCTGTCTTCCGGCGCTGCTTCCTCCTCACCGACCTTCTTACCAATAGCGGTTTCTTCCACGCCAAAAATATCTGTACGACGCTCGGCAAGGCCTTTCAAAGCGTGCTCAATATCAGTACCACCAGCAAAGACTTCTTCATCCTGTTGCTTTTCAGCAATTTGTCGTTTTCTTTGTTCTTTCCAGTTTGGATCTAGAAGACCGTACCTCATATGTTCCTGGAATTTTTCAGCTGGAACACGTTCTCCAGTAAGAGGTGAAATCATCCATTTTCCATCTGAGGACGTTTCAAGATGATCAGGTTGCCTCTGTTTCGGGTCATAACCTCTGCGAATGATGACATCTCCAGATGTTGGTGGAAGAGGTTGAGGCTTCTCTACATCTTCTTCATCTGAACTCTCTTCCATGTCCATATCAACAAGTTGTGGCTGCTCAGCTTGAGGTTCATCCCGTTTTCTACTCACTGTTTCCATTTCCTCCTCGCTTTCGTCTTCGCTTTCACTCTCATTTTGAGTAGGTTCTCGTTGAGGGGCTGGTTTTTCTTCGTCGTCTGAAACATCCTTATCTCCCTCCTCCCCATATTTTTCATATCGTTCTTGTTGCAGCAATCGAGCGCCGAGTTCGTTAATTGTGACCGGTGAAGGGAAGTTCCCCATTTCTGTTGGTTGAAAATCAACAGTCTCTACCACCACAAAATCATGCCAACCGATTTGTGAATACGCTAAACGTTCTTTTTCAATCGCTTCTTTCTCACGAGCTTTAATTCTGTCTTCATGTTTCGTCCATTCAACACGATATTTGACATCATCCAGAATTTTTTTTGGATTTTCACCCTCAATTTTCAATTTTGCCATCAAATTTTTTGGGGGGATTAAAATTTTTGTGTATTGCTCAACTAGTTTTGTGAAATACTGGAATAAAGCATGTTGAGGACGCAGAAAATCAAACTGATAATTTTTGGTTTCCTTTTGCATGAGCTGGGTTAGAAAACTCCGCCCATTTCGAGCTACAAATTGTGCAGTCAAGCGTACAACATCTAAATCATAGGCAGAAATCGAAGGCGGTTCAGCAATGAATTCAAACGATGCTGGAGGGTCCTTTGGAATGAATTGATCCTGGACGGCAGCAACAGCCGGCTTAACGGTGCCTTTGATAGGTGCTTTAGGCACAGCTGGTTCCTGCCCTTTGCCTTCTAAAAATTCTTTTACTTTGTGGCGGTAGTACGCATGGTATGGATCAGTGGGGCTCAAGAAATTGAATTTAGAGTTATTAGCCTCATTTTGACGAATTCTTGCTTCAAATTCAGGTCCATTTCTTGCGACAAAACTTGCAGTTTTGTCTACAATGTTTCTAACTTCGGGAGGTGGGTATATGATGCCAATGATTGGTTTTGATGCTGTCACTTCTTCCTCTACTGGCTCAGGAGCATCTCCTTGGATACGAATTCCTTGTTCATCAGCTCCTTTTTGTTGCACTTGCACAATTGGAGCCATGTTTTTAGATTAGAGTTACTTATGTTTGCTGCATTTTGAAATGAAAAGGTTGTATTAATGTGATGAAAACATCTAGTTCAGTGGTTCTCAAACTTTGTAAGCCCTTCTTAGAAATTGCCTCGCACCCCACCTCAAAAACCACTAGCTAACAATAAACTACAAATAAGAGATAATAAGGCGAATAACAGTACGTTCATTCCAAAAACATGTTGAAAATACGGGGACTATTTTTATTTTCAATTACCGGTAGCTCCACGCCCCCTCAAAAATTTTATCTACGGCCTACTGTTTGAGACAACATACTGATCTAGATTATTGCGATTTTTTTGTTTTGTATTCTTCTGAAGCTATCACCAGCAAGCAGCAATATACAGATATACAACTAAACTAATATGATAAAAAAAAACAGAAAAGCGGGCAAAATCATGTTTCAACGTAGGCTACCAATACAAAATAGGGTCTAGTATAGTTTAGTACCACAAGTTCTTCCAGTGGGCGTAGCATAACGATTTTTGCATATGTTATTCCTAACCCTCACCAGACCAAGTGCAGTTTCAAGTATTTTGTGGCGTCTACAGCTGCCGCAAAACCATGGCGGGATTTCCAAACCACGGCCACTAAGACCAAACCCACGGCGACTGACTTTTTAGCTGCCACAAACCAATAGCGAGCTGCCGTGGTTACGGCAGCAAATCGAATACCACCAATTTTAATGCCGTAACCACGGCAGGTCGGCTGTAATAGCAGGGCTGCCCCTAATCTGCTGATGGTGATAAATATTTGGTGAGTTGGAATGTTTTTCTTATGGATACAGTTTGGATGGATTTGGGGTTAGGGTTAGGGTTTAAGTAGATATAATTTCGCATGATAAACTAAAATATGGTACATGAATTTGTAAATATACCCGTAATACCGCCATAAAACCATGGCAGGAGACGGCGTGGTACGTTCGTGGCAGGAGCTGCCATGAAGTGGTAAGAACTGCGCCTCCACCAGACTATGCCATCCAAAAATTACGTCACCATCACGTCATAGGGATTGCCAAAGTATAATTACGATCGCCCAAAATGGGATCTGCGCCGCTGATAAGCACTTGCTGAAAAGCCGGCGATCTCTCTCCTATCGTGATCGTTGCGACGAGAAAACGAGAGAAATAGCTTGCTCGATTTCGGGTTATCGTCTGCGCGTTTTGGACGACCATCCGCATACTTCGGTGAGCCTTATTACGCCACTGTGACGTCGGAATGACATAATTTTTCGGTGACGTAGTCAGGTGGGGGTTAGGATTGACATATGCAAAAATTGTTGAGCCAGGCCAACTAGAAGTGGATGTGGTACTAAACTTTTCCCGGACCCTACAAAATACAATTCGCCGCAGTAAATTTCGCCGAATAGAAAAAAGGAATACTGGAATAGGAAAAAGAGCCTACCGTACCCTATCGTACAGTCGTAACTCTGCATACTGTTTTTATCAGAAATACTTGTTTTACAGCAAAATGCTCTTGCGGCGATTTTTCATGCTATCACAAATAACTGTTTTAATTGCTCTTGCGGCAAATTTTCCTATGTCTGTATACAGGAATATGGAGAAATACGGTACCGTATCTTGCGACGAGATTTCCTATCTGCCTATGGCGAAATTTCAAGCGCAAATTTTTCGTGAAAAATTAATACCGCCTGCCGGTACCGTACCATACTTCAAAGTCTGAAAGTGAGCTACCAAACTAAAATACGACAGAAACGCATTAGAAACGTTTCACATAAAACTTTCAATTAATCGCTAGATGGGACTAGTGAGCAATAATGTATCACCTGACACGTCAAACCACTCAAGCATAAAAGTCAATATGATGTAATAATTAATTTACAAATCAGTTTAGAAATTTTGGGACTTCCCCGTTCAAGTGTAAACAAAAACAAACTACTTTACTGTTATTGAGTTGCCATTGAAAAATTCAGTTTTACCATCACACAAAATGCAAGTCCCTTCATTTTCTCGTGCATTGAACCGTAACATTCGTACTAAATCCCAATCACCATGGATCCCACGCGCAATTGAGCTTATAATCCATTAGAAGTTAGAATTATTTAGACGCTTAGATTAAAGTTAGAATTTATAATATTTTATGCAATCAAGAGTAATGCTGTACGTTACAGAAATACATTTGTCTGTTTGTGTTAGTGTGCAGCAGTGATATGATCTTATTGTGATTGTATAAATGATGGTGATTATGGAAATCACGGAAAAATGGATGATGACGATAACGAATTTTTCCTTGGATGTAGACTATAACTTGGTATTTTTTTATTATGTAACGAAAAAAATTATTTAGGCACAATATCGCGAAGTAGTCATGATAATACAGTAATATACTTTTTGTTGTCTAATGGTTGTTCACATACCTGCTTATAGACATAACTGCTAGTTGGTGACGCGGCGGTGTGGCTCATTGTGCTAAGCGTTAGGAATTCACTCGCCACCGCACCTTTAATTACTCTGTGTGGGTTCGCAGGTTCGAATCCCATGCGGGATGGTTATGTGCAAGAGGATTGCTGGACTTCTCGCCACCGTTGGGTGGTTCACGTAACCGCTGGTCGGTTACGGCTTCCTCCACCATCAAGTCCAGGCTTCGGAAAAACAACCAGTGTCCATATGGTTAAGCCGTCAAATCGGCTTTCCTTTCCCTGGGATAAATATGTAAATCTTATCCTTATCTTATCCTGGTTACAGCTTCCTCCGCCATCAAGTCCATGCATCTGCAACAAGTAACTGGCTAACCTTTACGATTGGGCCGTCCTATCCACTTTGCTCTCTACTGGGATAAATATTGGAATTCTATCCTGAAAATTTCAAGATGACATACAGAACATAGCTCATTTGCTAAAACACAAATAGTCCAGTAGTCATAGATAACTTGTTTTTGGTCTCTACTTGATGTTAACAGTTTGCTATTTTAAAAAGATTTTTGATTCTATCAACTATTTGTTTACAACCAATATCGTTATTTATTTTGCATTTGAAAATAATTTTTAATCTTCTGGCAGCATACTTGACTTTGAATTTCGGCATCCAGGTTAAAAGTAGTAAAATTGCTGACTTTATACAGTCATCCATCAGACTATGACTAAACTATAGCACTCGCAATCAGCAGTGAAAATCTTTTTGTGATTACTCTTGTAAATTTTTCACAAATAACTTAATCGTGAGATACGAAATGGGGAATTCACTTCCAAGAACAAAAATTTTTATGAAAAGGCCGACAAATACGGAAGGAGTAGAAGCTGGCAGAAATGTTGATCGGCAAGCTCAAGCCACAGAAGAAATGTACAAGGTAATGAGAAAACTGTAAAAAATTTTCCAATAGCCTACATAGCTGGCCAAAGTGAGATCTCATCTAAAAATAAAAAGAGCCCGCTTCCATGCTAAGAGCTCAATATAGATTCATGCTTGCAATAAAATATCTATAGATTTAGGTTAAAATAATATAGTTATTTATATATAACTGACATAGTATATGAACTTTCTTTTCTTCTGCATTGTATCAGTGTCTTGTACCATTGTTCTCTTCTTAGGGGTCTGTCGACCTTGTTGATCTTGAAGTCTTACCCGCCCCATTCCGATTATATTTCATGATTGATGTTTGTTTATTCTTACTGCAATATGTACTTATATGTAATGAAATATTCAGAAATAAATCATTATCTATGGTATATATCATGAGACCATATTCCAGTAACTGAATCATTGTTTTAATATTTCACTGATAATTTATGTTGCTCACATTAAAACGTTTTTTATTCTTGTCAAAACAATCATTAGGCTTCATTGTGCGAAACTTATTCATGTATAAAATTTTGAGTTTTTCTTGATATTTGACGAAACATGTAATAACTGAATAAAATAAAACTAATTGCTTTTTATTTGAATTCTTAAAATATTGCAGCTTGTGAAGCCTCCTAATGATGCTGCTGGTCAAAAACGTGGAACTCTTGTTGAAGCAACAGCTAAAGCATTTAATGAGAAAAACTTTGAAGGTCTTGATAATTTAATCAAGTATGGTTTGATTAATACTTATAATCATATTAAATAGAGCATAGGATAGGAGGATAGGATGTACATATTGACATGGGGAGAGGAAAGCCTAATCATATATCGTACCATGAACTCTCGTTCGGTTACCAGTCCATGTGGGAATAGTAAGCCAGTTATTTTTTTTTTAAATACATAGAATTAATGGTGGAGGAAGTCATAATCGACCAGGGGTAACGTGAACAACCCTATGGCGGCCAGGAGTCCAGTAATCCGCTCGCACATATATTTAATCTTGCATGAGATTCAAATTTGCGAAATCACGTATGGTAATCAGAGGTGCGATAGCGTGCATATTCCTAACGCTTAGCACGATGTGCCACGCCACTGAGCCAAGTATGTAAAATGTTTTTTTTTTTAAATTAATAAAAAGTTGGGTGCGATGGCCTGGTGGTAAAATCTTTAGACTTAACTATGTTAACTATGCATTACAGGTTACATGGTTTAAATCCAATGCCCACCACCTCGCCCAAGGTGTGATGAATTGAGTGAGCAATTCCGAAACAAAAAGATTACTGTAATAAATGGTATCTTCTTACATATCATTCCATATTATTGGATACTTGTTCAGGGCCTGTTTCAAAGCATGTGTGAATAAGCATCATATAAATAAATAGAGGATTGTAACTTCTTTACTGTGCTATGTCATTATGCTTTCATCAAGCAGTCGAGGATGGACTGTCTAACATAGCACCACTTTTTTATATATTTGATTCATACCTGGTGATAATATGATATTGTATAATATTGCTATGGTTCTGCCGGGTTTTAAGAGGTTTCAGAATATCGAAATTAAAAAAAAAGTATTGTAAGTCTGAGGTGGCCTCCACTAATTTGTTATCATTTTTTCTACTTTATACAACTCAATGACACATACACATAGGCTATACAGCTTGCTATTATTATGTTTCCCTCCATATGGGTTGTAATTATTTATTTTTATTCATAACCTTCATGTATAGAGAGGAACTAGAAGACTATTTGTATAATGATGGAGAAGGATTTGAATTTCCAATCAGTAGACTTGTGGAAATGCGAAACGCAGAACGAGGAAAACAAATTGTTGCAAAAAAGCAAAAAGAACGACAAATATCATTAAGATCATCTATCAGACAATCAATTACTCACGAGGAAGAGGAAGTTAGTAAGGATTTCAAGTCATCAAGTAAGATTTGGTAGATTGGATAAAATTTATATTAATTACCAAGGATAAAAAAAATGGACCACGATCGTCACATTCAGTCCTCCATTATAGGTTTGAAATCCTATACTGTTTTTTTTTGCAATATCTTAGGCTCATATATTGTATGTTTGTATAAGGTACGGTAGTTTTTCTCAGCATAAAAAACATAATATAAAAGGTTCCATAAGACATTTGGATATTGAAGATAAAAATTTAGAATTTATTTTGAACCTTCTGCCATGTTACAAAACATACAATACAATTTTCTACTATTTAATTTAATGATTTATGTTTGTAGTTTGTACCAATTGGCTGTTTGCATATCACACTAAGTCTTTGAGAAAATTTACTCAGAAGCACTCACTCAGGAAGTAAACTGGTCTATGTGAGAAATTTTTGATAACCACTTAGTTAGCAAAAGACACAGAGACTTCAAAGAATTATAGCGTAAAATTACATTTTTGTGTCTTAATTTTTAGGCAAGGATACAAGGTTCTGTTGTTGGAGAGTTGACAAGCGGGGTGCAGTTGGTGAAACTATTTTACATTTATGTTTTCTCAACAACACAAGAGTGCATTACATTCTTGCTGAGCATTTAATAAGGATTTATCCTAACTCATGTAAGTTTCATCATTTATAAGGTTTTAAGCTATTTGTCAAAAATAATACAATTTTATGTTGTGAAACGTCAATACAAATGAACCTGATTTGAAGGTCAATCATTGACGCTAAAAGTGGAAAGAATAAATATATTATTTTGAGACAATATCATATATTTTGCATCTCATAGTTCATCATTGTAAGCATTTGACTTGATTGACCAAACTATTCTGCATTGCAAACGTTGATTTCTATCAAATTACATTGATTTCTGCAAATTTTAAATATGACTTAATTTTATTCAATATTCTGTTAAATTGGAACATCTGTATTCCAAGAAATTTTATTTAGAATATATTCGTAATAGTAAATTATTCATTTTTGTTCATCCCCTTCTTAAAATGTACATTTTGGATTACAACCAACTTAGAAATTTTTTTCTTTTTTATTCAATTCTTCTTTGGTATAAATGCAATCCTCTTTATATGGCCTATATTGTTATTTTAGTGCATGATATATACCACAGTGAAGAATATTATGGGGAGTCTGTTCTCCACATGGCAATTGCTAATGAGAATATACCAATTCTGAAACAAATGTTGGAATATGGGAAAAAGGTATTTTTTATTGTTTTTGTGTTTAGTATGCTTTTTGAGGAATGTTTGACTTTGGTAAGGTTGAATAGGGTAATATATGATTTCCTTTGTATTAATCTTGAGGAAGGAAATCTGGTGATAAACCTGGCTAAACCTGTTGTGAACCTGAGCTTCCTATTGAACTTACCATTCCAAGATGGGCAGGGTAATTTTCATTCACCAGCTAAGATGTGTAGACATGAATTGGGTTGTGGGGCAAGCTGAAACACACTCAGTTAAGGAACTATAAGAACAACCCCTATTTCCACATTATCATTTCAGAGATTCAAACCTTTGATTAGTATTGCGGCGACATTGCATGATCAAGCCATCTTTCCTTTTCCTAGAAAAAATTTACCTTTATGTCAGTAAAAACTGCTTTAGAATAAAATTAATGAGTTGTTTATATGCACATATTGTTTGAGACTGCATAACTGCATTCACTTCTTTAGATGAATAAATTTCGTGAAACCTAGTTTTACAACCAAGTAAAAGCAATATGAATCCTGGGATATACTCTTGCTTTCTGTTTTTTTTTTTAATTTTGGCTTCTTTACAGGTTGGTTTGAATCTGCAAGAACGTTGCTATGGTAACTTCTTTTGTCCTGACGATCAGAAAGCAACTCGATGTGACGATATTAACAGTGAAGTTGTGGTGGTTGATTATGATACGGATTATAAAGGGTATGGAACATAACTAGGCCTACTGTATGTTTTTAGATTCTATCGTACCTGGTATCTAACTTTGCTCTGAAATCTGAATCATTTTACTAAAACAGTATATTTTGTCAAAGGTTACATTGATATTATACTTGTTTAATGTAGCATAAAATATTGAAATATTGAAAAGTGAAAATTTGTGGTGTCCTTTTATGATATCATATTTTGTATTTTACACAAAGTGGGAAAATGAACTGTGATATCATATTGTCGTTCCGAGGAAATGCACTATGACCCTAGGATTAATTTTCCATGTTTTCCAGATATGTATTTTGACATCCTAAATACATCGGCTATAAAAAATATGAATAGGCTATAAAATTGCAGTTGTAAGTGTACTTGGTAATAAATCCTCAATTTAAAACACATTTAGAAGCTCAAAGCAGTAATCGAACTTCACCGTACCAGAAAAATGATATAATACTCATTTCTAGTTCAAGAGGCAAAACCTTAGTACACTGGGCGTTTTTACAAAATAATATCACTAATTCTTAATAGCAATCGATTGAACTTTGTTACTTATTGCTTTTGGATCAATCAATCACTTTTGATGCTTTTCAGGCACACATACTGGGGAGAATTGCCCTTATCATTTGCTGCATGTCTTGGTCAGCCTGAAGCAGTCAAACTACTAGTTGAATATGGAGTTGATATATTTGCTTTTGACAGTAATGGAAATAATGTTCTTCATATGCTGGTTATTCATAATAAGAAGGTACTGGGAATAAACTTGGATAATGGAAATGGATGTTGACTGGGGCAGTTTCATTTCATTGTTAAGATAGGATTTTATCCCGGGGAAAGCAAAGGTGATAAGAGTAACATGTGGGATTAGTTAGCCAGTTATCAGTTTCAGATGCACAGACTCAATCAATGGTGGAGGAAGCTGTAACTGGTCAGCAGTTATGTGAACCCAACAATGTAGTGAAGATTCCAGCAATCCTCTGACACATAATTGTCCTGCGAACCCACACAGGATAATCAAAGGTGGAATGGTAAGTGTTTTTCTAACGTTTATTGCAATGCACCAACTGACAGTGATGAGCAGCCACATAGCCAAGTGCTGGCCGGTGGAACCTCATGACCGGGCCGTATGTTTTTTTAAAGTTAATGTTGTTTCAAATAACACATTTTAGTATATGTTACATCTTTTTCATAAGAGTTTAATACGCTCTTTCTCTATCTAGGATATGTTCAATCTTGCATATCGTCTCAGCAAAGAAAATCCACAACCAGGAAAGAATTTACTAGAGAGCAGAAACAGGTCAGTGTTTTCATAATTTTTTAGAATTTTTGATCAAATTTTCCGCATTCTGTTCAAGCAGTTGAATATTATGTTGGTTGTTTGTTTGAAAGCTGTCAGATATTTATTCTAGAAATTGGTAACTAGTAGCAACAATGATAGGATAGGATTTACATGTTTATCTCAGCATTGAGAAAAGCCTATAAAACACTCCAATTATATGTCTAACAACGGCCTGTCGTCCGGTTACCTATCCATAGGTTTTGGAATTCGTATGGGATTCGGAATCCATAACTGACCAGAGGCAGCGATGAGTCCAGCAATCTTCTTGCACATAACTATCCCCACATGGGATTCAAACCCTCAAACCCTCGTAGGGTAATCAGAAGTGCGGTGGCAAGCGCATTCCTAAACGTAGCAGGGCGAGGCTCCACACCGCAAAGAATATGGCTTATGAGCCATAGTCTGTGATGTTGGTTGTTTTTCATTTTATAATATTTTGATATAATAAGTGCCCCTTTGACTAATCACCCTTGAGGCCTATTTCTATGATTTTTATCTTCCACACTGTATTATTATTATTGAACATAATAATACACTTGTGATCATCTTCCCAAATACAATAGAATTGGAATGCTGGCTTCTATTGTCACCATGAATTGGTCAATTTCTCCTTGCTTTTACCGGATAAGAGTGGCTTTATGTGGGCTCCATTAAATTTTGTGGTTTTATGTACTTCAGGAATTTATTCTTGGGGATTGGTATTGTGGTTTATAGGGAGTATTCCTGTTACAAAGAAAGAATAATTTTAAATTTTTTCAATTGAATTCTTTTTAGATCCACAGCCACATATATGATTTGTCATAAAATGAATTTAAATCATCATAATTTGAAATGTTTTGTTAACTTTTTCATTTATTTTGTAATTTGGCTACGAATCCAAGTGAAATGAACTACTGAAACAGATATTAATATAATAAACACTCAGTCATCTTTAACCATAGGCAAGGCTTCACTCCATTAACACTGGCAGCCAAACTTGCAAATAAGGATTTATTTGATCACATATTGGAACTGAAGAGCAGCACACTGTGGGCGTATGGTCCAGTTACTTGCAAAGAATACAATCTATGTGATCTTGATACAGTATGTTACTTGTATTATAGATGGTAGTGTCCCACTTTATGGTGGAAACTAGAAATTTAAAAAATGATCCGCTAATTCAGGCTAAATTAAAAATTTCCGTACTTGTCTGCCAAACTATTTAGGAAAACAGCATTTGAAATAATTTTATTTCAGATTACTTGAAAAAATGTTCATTTGAAAATCAGAACATTGGTGACATCGTTCTTTGGACAGATTATCAGGCTGTAAAAAAATATGAGACATTTTAGTACACACATGGCTGAATAATGTTTGAGAAAACTGATCTTGCTTACTTATTTATTATATGATAATTGGGTTGAACCTATTACTGGAAAAAACTTGAAGAAATTGAAGAATATTTGCCATTGTTTCATATAACATTTAAGAAGCATTAGCATTGTAATTTAATGACAAAATTCTTCCAAATCTCTTTCATTTCATAATAAATCAGTGTCTTAGAAGAACACTAATGACTCTTTTGAAAAATTCTGATTTTTTTTGTATGAGATACAGCACAGGTTTAAAAATGTTAAAGTCAATCCATTTTTTGTATCATTTCTACTTTTATTTGAAGATAAAAATTGAAAAAAAATTTTTATTCTGATGTTGGCAAGAAAAAAGTGCTGTATTAACTCCAAGTTGTCCATATAAAGACGATTGTGAACTTTTCCTTTTCAAATAATAAACATTCAGATTGATTCAAAAGATGGCTCAATCAACAGTATGTCAGCTCTGAACATTGTTTTGGCGCAAGACAGCAGGCATCATTTGGATATGTTGGACGGACTACTATATCAGCTGTTACACGACAAGTGGAAATCTTACGCAAAAATCCGTTTTTATAGAAGGGCTGGTGGATTCTTTATTTACATGGTGTTGTTGATAACAGCAGTGTACCTGCAACCAGGAAATGTCAGTTTCCTTATGTTTTCTGTTTTTCATTGTTCTGTCAGTAAACCTACCGTACGTTATTCAGCTATTATATTGTATTAAAAAGAGTGCATGCGTCACAAGTTTGTAATGTTTCAAGCTACTCAAAATGGGATCTCCATATGGTTCCTATAATACCAAAGTTCCATAAAGCATGTTTGCTTATATAGTATAAACTGAACTGTTTCACCGTGTGGATTCCTAGTCATTTTCATAGTCTTGATTTTTATTCTCTGTAGCCCTATTTTTCTCTTTTACTGCGTTTAAATTGACACTTCATTTCAATTTTTGAGAGGTTTTGTTAAATATGTAATTAGGAATCTGGAATCAGATTTACATGAGTATCTGGGATTGTTATACGTGGATTGAATTGATTAAAAGAGGTTCGTTTCGATGTTAAATGGGTCTACTTAAACATCTACAAAATTCGCTGGGTTGACAACAAAACACGATTGTTTGAATTCTCGAACTGTAAAAACATACAAATTTACCCAGGTTGTGTCGATCTAATATTCTGGGGATTTATGTATTCTCAGCTGATACCAATTGGACCACTTGGCTGATACCACTCAGCTGTGGACAATTGTATCAGGGTTACACTTTTTGCATTCCTGATCAGAACCACTCATTTTTATTCCTCCAGGGCAAACTTTATTTACTTGAGAGTGATGAGATTTTCATTTTTAAACTTTTCTCTCACAGACTGTGCCCATAACAAGTCCGGGTCTCAATATTTACAACCAGAACTGTTCAATACAAACATTTGCAACAGCAACAGATTATGCAAGGACAGTGATTGAAATCATTGTTTATTTTCTTGCTGGTGTCTTCATCTATTTTGCTATATCAGAAATCAGGTTTCAGGTAGGAAGCTAAATTTAATATCAAAATTGAATATTGGATTTTTGTAATTATCTTTGGGTGAAGAAAGGGGATATGTCGACTCAATCATAGGGTGAAGCCTCTCATCCAGTTACTAGTCCATGTTGCGCATGGAAATAGTTGCACTTATTTTTTCCAATATAGATACTATGGCCACCCTGTATAAAATAACCATAATTTTTCCACTTCTGCATTGCCTATCTAATTTCTTACACTCTATGTGAGTTGATTGGTATAGGATTTGGGGTCAATATTTTTTCAACACAGTTAAGTCTATTGTTCAACCACCAAGCAGTCACGTGCTACTTTTGATAATATTTTCAATATTGTGTAAGCCTTCATAATAATGAATTTCTATTTTTTCACAGTTTGTATTATAGTGTCACTTTCCTCATTTTGGTGTCATAGTTTCTGGTTGTATTTGATCCAATATAATGCAATGCATAATGTTTGGCTAAATTTAGGGTTAACATAATATTACTTCTAGCAACATTATTCAAACCAAGTCCATGGATCTTGAACAAATAACTTTTAACTATTCCCAGACCTGACATAGATCGGTAACCGGATGAGACGCTGTGATCTACCATATGATTAATCCATCTTATCAGTTTTCCGCTCACTTGGCATAAATATGAAAATCCTATCTTATGCGTAATAGAAACCCATCTAAATATCTCTTTTAAAATTATATTTTATTAAAGGGTCTCAGGTTATTTGGATGGACATTATACAATGCACCAACAAAAGCAGGATTTCTATTTTCATGTGTCTTGGTTATCATCGTGTTGCCATGCCGACTGACATGCTCTGTTGCTGCCGAAGATATTTTGATATCTTTAGTTATCTGTACTTGCATTCCATATTGTCTCTTCTTCTGCAGGTATGGCATTTTGTTTAGGTGCAATTTTAGGTGATTTTACACTTTATGTTTGTTTTCTAATCCATAGATTTTCAAACTTTTCAAAACCTCCACGTAAATACGACCCGGAGTCAGGGATTATTAAGATCTTACCCATCTAAATATTTTTTCACATTCATAATTTTCTGATACTTTATACGAATAATATATTTATAATCTTCCACCTAATTTTAATTTCTAAAATCAATTCAAAAGTTCAATAATATTAAGTTTAGTTAAATTGTTGGATTTGGGCCTGAAAGTTTTGAGATATGCTTTTGCAAAACAGCATTCGGCCCAATGTTTCATGATATTTTTCAAACTAATAACCAGAATTGCTATGGAGCCGCAGCTGGGGTTGAACGATGATGTAGAAAAATAATACTCCTTAGATGAAGCTGGGTTCACTAAGATTCCAAACCAGGAAAACACAACTGCTGAATGGTTACTTTTTCTTTCACTATCAAAGTCCAGGCATATTGAGTTTGTCGTATCCAATCTGGATTGGTGACTGTATAACAAACTGGTATCCACCACATGTATAAGCCACCCTATAGGCTTTCCTCATTCTTCACTAACCCAACACCTTATTGGATAGAAATATACTTGCCTTGAGAGGTCTGATCTTGGTTATAAAAAGCCTTACATTGTGTAGCAAAAATGATGCAAAAATGAGTGATGCGAATATTCAAGAAAATTTTGTATTAAGAAATTTACTCATTTTTCCATTTTAGAGGATTCAAGCTTGTTGGACCATTTATTGTGATGATTTATAAGATGATTGTTGGAGATTTGCTTATATTTCTCATCATTTACTCCATATTTTTACTTGGTTTTTCACAAGGTAGGATATGTGAACTGTATAATATGTGTTTGCAGAGCTTGGTTTGTAAAAGGTGCTTCTTTTTGGCTGGGGTGGAGGCTACAGGTCATAGAAAATCCTTGGGATTCACAGCAAATAATTTTTGGTAGCTCAGAACGATGATATTATTAGTGATCTTGACTCTTGATTACCCGCTGCAAATGAATGTTTTTGACATATGCTCAGTATGCTTTCTGATTCATTCTTTGGTGACGGTTTTTTAATGAAACGTTGACAAAACCAGAGTTGTGGAGCCAGAGTCATATTATCAAACTCCCTAGAGTGTTAAATATTAAATTCTCAGGAGTCCAAAGTCGGTATTTTAAAATTTTCATGGTGATAATCGAAGTCTCGATTAAAAAAGTGTTTTTGACAGTCCATTAAAGAAGGTCTGTCTAGCCAAATTAGCACCAAACTGGAGTCAGAAGCTGGAGTCGCTGTCCAAACGTTTTTCAACTTATAGTTGGGAGTTGATTGTAAGTTTTCTCTGACCTCCACACCCTTGGGTAGAAGAACTTCATGAGAAGTATATACTGAATCTCGCTTGCTTGGTTGAATTTACACATACGTCATCAAATACATTTATACTATGCTAATTTTCTTATTCTTGATTTTCTAGCAATGTTTGTTATATTTCGTGGAACTCCGCATGAATTTTTCAGTGACTGGTTTGAGTCTATCATGGTAATGTTTCTGATGACACTGGGCGAATTTCAAGACACTTATGAAACATTTGATACTGCAAGGAACCCGTCAGCGCCGAAGGTCAGCTACATTTTCAAAAAGTGAAAGAATAAAATAGGATTTTAAATTTATACAAAGTACTATCAAACCGAAATGCGAAACATCAACAATGGAAATAACAGTAATCGAATAGTGAACATTTAAATTCGCTGACATTACAAGTTGTTTTTGAATGCTGAAATACCTTATTTTATTATAATTGATATTATCAAGTCGGCTATTCATGCTTATACATTGAATTATCGATGTAATAAACGAGTCAATCATTTCAGATTGTGCCAATTTTGTTGAGTTATATAATTGTAATCAAGGAAAGGTCTTGTGGTGTGTCTACATGCACCTCATAATCTATAAGATCAAGTGAAAACTCTGCGCCACTTACTTTAGTTTAGATAAATGTTACGCTGTCCTACCTGCAAAAACCACGAAAAAACTTGCAAAACCACCAGAAACTGTGCAAAAACAGTGAAAAATGTAAAAAACTAAGAAAACCCTTGCAAAACCACCAAAAACCCTGCAGAAATGTGCAAAAACACGGGAAATATGCAAAATTGACCAAAAACTTTGCAAAAACGTGCAAACACAATGAAAAACCGTCATGCTTTCGAAACCATAATAATCAAAAAAAACATACAATGATCTTGATACTCGTGTTTTTTCAGGTTTTGTTCTTGTTCTACATGGTATTGGTTTATATCTTGCTGTTGAACATGTTGATTGCTATGATGGGGAATACATTCAATAGAATTGCAGAAACACAGAAGGAATGGCAGAGACAGTGGGCTAAGATTGTTTTGGTAGGACTTTTTATAGTTTATATAAAGTTTATTCTAGCCAGGAGTGATACCAGAACCAGAATGATATCGGCCCTTTCAAAATAGAGTAACTCCGAAATATATAAAAATGTTGACGTCTGTAGACGCTGAATTTATTAATGGAAATAATTATTTTTGTGGTGAAAAAATTCATAATTTCAAATATTTTTAGACATTGTTCTCTAGATGATGAGTGAATGAGTCATTCAACATTTCCTAAGATAATAATGTTCCCATACAGTGATACCTCGGTAGTCAAACGAATTGATACTAAAACAATTCATTAGTCGACCAAAAATATCTAGTCAAAAAAGCTGCGGTACTCGAAAAGAAATTCAATGCTCGAATACCCGAGCTCCTTACAGCAACTGATACAAAATTCTCAATAATTTATCTGAGTGTTTGATATTTATTGTGCACATTTGAATAATTATTGTTTTTGTTTACACAAGAACGAAAAAACAATTTATATAAACATTGTTTCTAATGGCAAAAAAGTTTCGGTAGTCGAACATCAATCCTGAACGAATTATGTTCGACTACAGTGGTATCAATGTACCTGATTCTAGGTATTGACACACAACCTGAACATTTCTTTATGCCAAACAAAACATCTGGACAATATTATTTTAAAACTTTCAGAATTTGAGTATTAATTTATTATAGTTTGGAATTTCCGATTAATTTTTTAATTCATTATCATAAACTATCATAAACTATTATGCAGGTGATGGAACAGTCAGTTTCTCCTTCAAAACGTAAAAGTAAGCAACGAAGATATTCACAGCCTACAGGTGAAGATGGAAAAGAAAGAGCCCTAGTGATAAGAACACGAACTAAGGTATTATCGACTATTGGGCGGAAATTTAGTTACTGTTTTCGTTCTTTATTATTTATTTGTTATTTGATTAAGCCGTTTTATTTACTACATTTACTTTTTACATTTAAATTTTTTTTTTTTTTTCTCATATTTTGGATTTTTTCCTATAAATTTAAATAAAATTTTATACCCATTTTATTTTTTTTTGAAGAAAGAATTTTTTGTATTTGTCGAACACCCTTTCTCTTGATTATCTTTGTCACTTGCTGGTCATTATTTTTTTATTTGTATCTTTGAGTTATAACATATCCAGCCCAAGTGTCTTGTCTTCTGCAGTACATTTGATGTAACTGGTGATACTCGGTACACTCCCTCAAAGCCCTTTTTTCAAAATTTTCCCCAAAATTGGGTGATATCGTGACTCAAAAATTATTGATCAGATTTTAAAGGTTGTATTTACCGTAATATTGATTTGTTGAAAACACAAAAATACTTCAAAATTTATCGTGGCCGAATATACTTTGTATAAATTTATAAAAATCATTATTTTATTGAATTATTCGGGGGCATCCGGGGTTCCTACAGTACAGTGCAGGGGTACTGCAAGTCTGCATTCAAATTTGAGTTTCTATATTAATATATGTATGTCACTATTATTAAACTGGCGGCACTGTAAAGCTCGTCCTCCAGGTCCTCTGTATTTTGTTTGTCCGTTTGTTGTTGTTTTGTTTCTTTCAGAGTGACCAAAATGAATTGATTGATTGATATTGTTTTGCCAGTATTAGGTTTTATTTTATATATCTTTATGGTTTATAAAATTCAGACAACAAAAGACAATTTAACTTTTGTACAGGGGTGCTTCTGGAATGTGCCATTGGGGTCCCGCTGTGCCAAAAAGGTTGAAAACCACTGATCTACTTGTTTGGAGTTTTGTGTCAACTTATTTGAAATAGGGGATGGCCATGGATTGGTAGTTTCTTTTGCAAGCCAAGTGTTTCGTCTCAAGTTGAATATGGAAAACCTAAATTATCAATTATCTTTTTATCAGGCAACTGGAGAAGAAGATGAGAATACAATGCGTCAATACATCAATAAATTTCAAAAAAATAAAAAAGTTGTTGAGTCTGAATCGAGTACGCCTTCCCCATCACCAGCGAATGAACAATCGTCAAATATGATTTGAATATTTTGAAACTTCACTTGTCACGTTTATACAAGGTGTAAGTATGCAAGTAATGAAGAAATTTTTAAGATGTTTGGAATCTTGATATTTCCTATTGTTAATTTGGAGACATTAATTATTGATAAAAAATGATACTTTCCAGCATAGTTTCTTATCATCCTTGAATAGAGTATTATGACTCCAACTGGAAGATCCAAAATTGAAAAATAGAAATTAGTATTGAATTTCAAATAGGATTGTCATGATTACTGTGATATTGGTCAATTTTTACCAATCAAAGTACAATTTAGGTTTTGTTTATGTTGTAATTATGTACACAATTATATAAAATATTTTAAAAGGGATTTTACGATGACAGTGACTATTCTATGGTCTCCGCATCATTTTATACCGTATAAGTCACCTGCCCAAAAATCTGTCCTAATATAAGTTTCATTTCATTGATCTAGGCTTCCAAGGTGTTTGGATTTTTGTATTGCACTATTTTATACACCTCATTCTTGCACAAATGTCTGTTAAATGTTTCCTGTTTTGGTTTTTTCTATGTTTACGGCCTGTGATGTGATTCAAACAGACTCTTTTTTGTATCAAACTTACTAACGAAAACTTTCCTCATTTTACAAAACCGTGCCAAACCTACGGTAAATTGCTTTAAGAACAATCAGGTTGGCTGATTATCAAAATATTCCAACAATGCGCTCAAGTGAACCCCCCAGTAAAATACAAATTCCACCTCTTCTGACAACCCACCTGAATAATTGTCTATAGTATTAGTCTATTGCAGTTATTAAAACATCCTAAAATGGTTACAAATTTCCTTTTCAATTTTTTAATGTATTATCCTTGACTTATGGTTTTCTCAGGCATTGCCTCAATTTCGTTGTAAGGTAAATCAGGTGAAAAAGTATTTCACACTTACTATATTTTTTATAATTCTTTTTAATATTTTTAGTATATTGCACTTATTAGTTACACATATGCATACACTATATTTGCACTACTTTTAAATTGTTAATGTTAGTACCATATTATGATTACTAGAGCCAGGCAATTAACGATATCTAATAAACCTTAATTCCGGAAAATAATGATTCTTTATGAATGTCATTGACTTATATTAAAGTAAAACTGTATTTCAAGGAAGAATATTTCATATTTAATTGCCAATTATTAAAGTATTTATACATAGTTTATGCTCATTACAAAATTTAATTACCACAATAAAAAAAACCTGCCCTAGAAAATTAAGCTCATAGCCTCTTCCTTGATTTATACAGCATTTTTTGAGTCGTCTGCCAATATTTCAATACTCACATATACATGAATCTTCTGTAAAAGTAGACCAGTGGTTCCCAACTTTTTATGACTCGTGGCCACCTTCCCATGGCTTTTAGGACCCATAGCCCTCTGTTTATCATCTCAGTCGTATTTATAGTTTTTTTTATGATTGGAGTATTCATAATCTTATTAGAACAATTCATGCTCAACAAAGTGAAAACACCCTGTAAAATAACCTTATCAAGCAATGAAACTAGGAAGAACCGGGAGTTTTCTTGTCAAGAGAAAGGATAAAATCATTGTTGCGCCTAGCATTGTGGACCCCTTCGACCGCGCTGTGGCCCCTTCAGGGGGGTGGGGGCATGGACTCGTGGTTTGAAACCACTGTTTTGAATGTTAAATCTTTGGTAAAACGCAATTTATTAGGATATGATGATCGGTGTTAAATATATAAAATTGTCTAATCTACTGCAATGGAATTGCAATATTGTCAAATTGCACCACAAAGTTGAGTGACCCATTGTGAAATTCTCTGATTATGCTCACACTTACTGACCCATTTATTAAGATCGTGACAAAATGTAAAGTATTATTTGTGAAATTCTATTAATCACGACAGAGAAAGCTCATCTTTTCCAACAAAAACTTTGAAAAATTCCACAAATATTTATCTGTTATACTATTACATATTTCGTAGGCATTATGCACCCTTAACGTACGAGTATTTCTTGTGAATTTTATTTTAATGCACCATCTGTTTTACAATAATATAAATTATAGTTCTTGTTCAAAGTTTGTTCGTTTTTTTTTAACTTTGATTTCGTTGTGAAGTTGCGCATTCGGTTTGGGATATCGCTTTATAAGATTTTCATATCCAAAGCTGTTTAAGAGAATAATCATCTCTTCGGTTCAGCGTCACGTCAGGAGAGGTTTAGGATGCGCCTTTCTCGTATTTTCTCTTATAATTCCCACTACTCGCTTAAGCAAACATGTTTTGTCAGTATTATGAAAAGGAATCATCGACAAAATTTTGTCTAAATATGAATACTTCTGTAGCTTAGAACATCGTTTACTTATACATGAGGACAATGCGGACAAACACGTATATGCACATATTTATTTGAGAAACTTGTGTGAGTAACAAAATTCTTTAGGAGCAGAGTGGAACCTCAAAATTGTGATTCCGGACGAGACAATAGTAACTTTGCCTTTTTGGTAACCGAGCAGCACTGACTGAAGAGTCAAATAAAAAAAATTCTACAGTCCGCTTTTCGGCGACTGAGACTTTCTGGTCTAAACGTTTTAGCGACTTTTCTGTCTCCGCACTAAATATTAGAATATCGAAGCGTGTAAATATTCAAATGAACTTCGTTTGTGATCGTGTGACAAAGATGTTTGTGTGCAGTGACATTATAATATATAATATACAAACGACCGCTCATAAGTAAGGATGCCAAGTATTCGATTCTTATCCGATTCCTAAATTTTCGATTCCGATTCTCGATTCCTCGACATAGCTTAGAAAACCTACCCATTTAAGCAATACTAAAAAATCAAACAAGAATATCGGTCAGAGACCGAAGACTTATAGATCGGAAGTTAGGGGATCCCCAAAACAGCGCTCTTACTTCATAGTGACACTTTGTGTCTCATCACTAATTAATTATTAACTCGCTAAATATACGACATAATTCATCCAAAATCAATAGCCTTCTGGTACGACATATGATGAATGCACATGCAAAATCTAGAGCAGATTCAATCTCGCTTTCGTGAGATATCGCGTGCATCTAACAGACAGACAGACAAACAGATAGACAAACACCTATCAACATACTTACCGATTGAAATCGATAAGTAACAAGTGAGCAATGTTCAAATATATGGACACGAAAGCCTAAACTAAGTGGTATGGGTTTTCAATCTGTCACAGTAGACAAAATCGCACAAAAAAAAAAAAAGAATGCCTTAGAGTCCACAAAAAATCTTGAAATATATAAACATAATAGCCTTCTAGCGGAAAATTACAATTTTCAACCACAAAATTTCCCAGCAATTCCTCCAGTAGGTAATGATAAGAGATATATTTTCATAACAAGAACAATAAAATGAATTCTAACAAAAATATAATAACACAACGATCTAAATGTTCATTTCGTGTTCAAAAAATTACTATCATGGCAAAAAAGTTCAATTCGTTCACATGTCTTCCTGTAGGCTCGATGGGAATTTGAATACGGGAAGCTCTTTGAGCTAAATTATCTTTCTGATGCAGCCAATGCTGCTGGGACATAGAGGTACATTTGGACGACAACTGCGATATTTGAATACGTCTTTTTTGTTTTGTTGCCTCCATCGCAACATTCTTCGTGGGTCGCAGATTGAAAGAGGTCTTTTGCTATTCTGGGGCGCCATTCGCTAAACTTCGTAAAAAGCCGGGTTTACGATCTCGTAACTGTGTCTCTCAGAATCGTGATAGCGAAATCTCGTTAAATGCGATTCACCAAAGACCTCGTAAGCACTTGACGCACGGTCACTAGCATTCTCTCGAAATCTTACGCACGGTCGCAGTTGAACAAAATGCACTGACTGATCACTCAGCCGTATCAGTTGTCGCCGCTTACGGTCGAGCGTCTTTCGCCTTCGCGGTAACTTATCGGCTTTCTCTGCTTCACCTTTGCAGCCTGCGTTTTGAAATTTTGTTCATATAGCAGTGGCGTAATCTATAGACTGACGGATAGGCTACATGGAATAAATGCTGAAGTTACACAGAGAGAGATTTATTGCCACAAAACAAATTACATATTGTGAACTATTTGTGTAACAGACAATAAAATCAGTGAGTTGCCAAAGCTTGTTAAGATTCCATATTTTTAATTTTTCATTGAGTCTATAGTCCTCTATTAAGGTCCTTTCATTTGCATCTAGCTAATTTTTTTCTTTCGGATACGACATGGAGAGATTGTTGGACTTTTCTTCTGCAAGCTTCAATATAGGTAGCCATTTGTGAATCTGTGTTCATAATACTGTAGGCCAGTGCTAGAATAAACAAAAAACAATGACTTCAACAACTGAACAATCTCTGAATCTCAACCCTAGTTTAATCTGTAAATGCGGCAGATATTCCATAGCTAAGTTAACGGCACTAGACTACATACACGCTTACCTGAGTAAGGCCCCTTGATACTATGCCAATTTTTACAAAGTATGCTAACGTCCCAACGAGCCTATTTTAATTTGAATCACTGCTGAGAGCAATCCGAACTGTTAACGAGGCGAAGATTGTTCTCGTTAGCTAGCGAGCTCTTCAGCGGTTAAAGAACTTTCGTGAATACCGATTCTCGATAAAATGTGAGAAGAAGGCACTTTACGAGACGTCTCATTTGGCGCCAAAAAAACTTTCTCGAATAATTTCTCTCGAATATTTACGAAGCTCTGTGAATACCATTTTTGCTTTTCACGAGAAAGTCGGTGCTTAACTAACACGTTAAGCGGTAACGAAGCTTTGTGAATGGGGCCCCTGGTCTGTTGGACTGCGGACTTTTCCATCTCTGAGGTGTAAAATTTACCACTTCAAACTGCAACAAGTTTTCTTATTTTTCGTGATGTCCCTTGGTTCAAGTAAATATGAGTAATGAACGCAATGAGTAAGATAAAATGTACTTTAAATGGTCAAAATGTGGCATGTGCCCTCACCCGCGCAAACGAGCGAGGAAGAAATTGCAGAAAAATATAGTTACGTTTTCAGCGTTGTAGCAATTCCATATACCATTTTATTCACATATGTGAAGAACTTGTCACAAAACTTTATACCTTGTTTGCAATCCAAGTTTTAACCCAAAGAATCGATTCCAATGCATCGGAATCCATTCTACTCGATTCCACGGAGATTCGATTCTGGAATCGAATCCGGAGTCGATTCCGCCAGCCCTACTCATAAGTAGGGTTACCATATTTTTTGACTTCAAAGCGGGACACCTCCGAAGACGCGACCCCTTAGCTGTGATCCTGTAACTTTACAGTGTCCGTTTTTACTACATAGGCCCACATTTAAAGCCATCCCGACTGTCTCCATTGACCATATTGTCATCGAGAGTTCATGCACATATTCTCTGTCTGAATATCGGGTTCAGTCCGAAAAACAGAAAGGAATGGACGCTAACGATACAAATGATCCGAATTTAGATATTTTTCATGTGCAGCAAAAGGAATGAAGAATAATGAAATAGTCTGCCGTTTTCAAGCATTGAGAATTTGCTGATTCGCCCAAGCATGCTTTTCTGTAGATAACACCTTCAAAAAGACATTGTTTAATGTTACATTCACGTGAACGTCCGAACAGAACCAATTGGAAATAATTTTACATTTGATACGTTCGCTAACAATGTTAGCGAGAACGAAACAAACAAAATAACGCATTCACCTTCAGTAAGTAGGCTAGCGTTGTGCTACACAGCAACAATAGTGACGAGAACATGTTCGTGTATTAGGCTGGATGGCTGAAAACCAAAGCGGGACTTTTGGCTGACTTGTCGGGACGGCGGGACAAGGCGCTAAAAAGCGGGACTATCCCGCCTGAAGCGGGACGTATGGTAAGCCTACTCATAAGCAAGGACGCGATTGCAATTTTGTGTTTTTTTCCGTTCCCCAGTTAGATTTAAAATTCCCAATCTTATGCTCTGCTAATCTATACATTCATATGAATATAAAATTCTGTCCTTGCCACTCAATCCAGAATAAAAGCAAACAGCTGGGTCTAACCGCCCAATTGCCTGATACATTTCTAACCGTATAAGAAAGGACTAGTCAATAAGCTATTTTCTTGTTCATTTACTAGCCGAAAAAAATATTAGATAGTTTCAACCGCAATTACCCAATAAATATTTGAGAAAAAGTAGTAACACCAGAAGACTAGAAAAAATAAATCTAAGAAAGATCTGAAAGGATGAGCTTTAGATTGATAGATAAATTTATGGTTTTGTAAACAAAAACAAATAAATAAAACACAATAAACAAAGACAATATTTTTTAGTAAAGACTGGATGATGCGAAACGACCATAGAGCCATCCGAGTCAGATTTTTCCATAAATGAGATTTGCGTGACGAGGCGGTTCTGACTGAAGCTTAATAAATAATTCAGACCAACAAAATTATGGCTTTGGTGCAGATGTTCACGCATTCAGTAAAATTGAAGCGGACTTTCCACTAGGGACGGCACAAACTAACATGACAGTTATTTTTACCAAGCGTCATCATTATTTACTCCGCTGTGTAGTATTTTTGATCGTAATTTTCTATGTATACTATCAGTAGCAGTCCTTATTTGCTGAAGTACACGGTTATCATTTTTATAATGCAATGAAATTTGAGGAATTGAGTTTTCAGAAGTCCAACACAACTCCGATTTTGAGTTAAATTTGATTCATTTCGTCGGCATTTAGACAAACACATATCTGCTTAGTCACATTTGTATTCACGGATCATTTGAAGAAAAAATCCTCAAAGATTTTTCGAACACTGGCATTACGTTACAATTCCAAAATGTTTCAATCTGAACCGAGCTGGTCAATGAGACGCCATAACGTCACCGCCAACGCTATTTTATGATATTTCAAAGTTTGAATATTTTTGCTGGATTGGTGGTTAAGCGTGATTCAGCGTGCTCAACGTCGAATACATTTTGTTCGACTATTTGACATTTTTAAATATAATATATATAGTATAATACAAGACACAGGAACTAGACTAGGTAGCTTTGAGTGTTTGTTGATAAGATAATTAAACTTCACAAATGGCTTGACGGTTACTATCCTGATAGTTGAATAGATAGTTGATGTCGCTGGATGGATCCTTGTTGACGTGTAAGTACACCTGGGTAAATGCCATGTCCAGTCTGGGATTATCTAATCGCCACAGAAATTTGGATTCAGATATAGCTGTTCCATTACGAAGGTAAAGTTGTCGCGCCTAAAATATATTAAAAAATACAAATTAAGACAATCAAAAAGCGGTTGAACGCGACTCTGAAATACTTTTTGGAAACTTTCTCATTCCCGCAGGTTTACTACAATACATATATATATATTTTGCAAAAATGTGGTTAACCCTTTGCTTTAAGTCCGGTGGATCCGCCACTATTGAGTTGAGTGATACAATATCAAAAAAATAGGAAAATATGCCATATCTTTTTGTATTTTTCAAATTTCATAGGAATATATTCAGATATTTACAATTACAAGACACGATTATAAATTACATTCAGGGTCTTAGAACTTAATGAATAAAAAATAGAAATTCGTTTTTTTTTTCATTCATCATTCAAGTCCTTATGAATATATAATTAATACATTATATATAAGACTCAATCTCGTCCAAATCTTAAAGGCCTTTTACTCACTGAGATGTCATAGGTCATCCCAAGGTGGAAGCGGTATACTTCGTGCAGTCTTGTTGCCTTTTTCCTGATGTATGACATAGTCTCATTCATTTGCGTTTGGTCGTAGATGTTTGCCAATGCTCCTCCTATTTCTTGGCATTTCGCTTGTGCTTCAGCTTTGTATAATAAATTATTGTCGGTTGGCTGTTGATGTATGTATATTAGTGGAATAAATGTCTTGCCGTTGTAGGAAGGTGGGATATCGGCAGTAGTGTCATCTGAGCCTGGAATGTTATGTATGATTAATTGATATATACATGATGAATCGTCTCTTTTCAGTGAAACTGATTTCTTGGATGATTTCGCGGAATTTAAATACACTTAACAATAGCATATATATATATATATATATATATATATATATATATATATCTTAGTGAATACACTGTGGATTAAAAAGATCTTTTTCTTGACTCTAACTAAGATACGAGAAAATACTTTACCATCCGTGGTACTCTGGACGGCTGTACTTGGTTGCAACGCCTTAGTTGTTTCAACGATTACGGTGCTGCTAGTGTTGTCAGAAGTTGGGCCCATTTGTGATGTTTGTTCTATTACTGTTGTTTGCGAGCTGCCATGGGTGCTGAGACTTTCCGCGTCTTAAAAACCCACAAAATAAATATAGTAATAATAACACATTACTAGACGGCTAAGAAGAAGAAATGATGCAAAATGATATTCGCTTTTATAGCCCCAATAAGAACTGAAATAAAATAAAGGGACCTGGGATTGTTGATTTTATCATCGAGGCGGCATATAAAGTACAGAAATAAACTTGCGTATACTAAACAACTCAAATTATTCACTACAATAAAACCTAAAAGGATAGATACTACTTTACACACGGAATAGTTCATACTTTTGTCGGTTGTCGTCTCCAGGGTTTTTGTGCTTTTGTCGGATGATTTAGTCGAGATTGTTGGGACGAGAGAAATGGCAATATTCTTGGTATTTTCGCTCCCTGTCGTAGTATGGCCTACAGTATCTGTTTCACAATTAATTCAAGATGAGATTGGGTAAACTTTGTACTATTCTATTTTTGATTCAGACATAATGCATTTATACTTCAATAATACGAAAATAGTTTTCGTTCTAAATTATACAGCGCGGGTTATTATTCTATTTCTCTGGCTTGCGTAATCTGCCGGGGAGTGTATAACCACAATTGAATAACATTTAGTGGGCCTAGATTGAATCTGTGTACCATGATACCTGGCCTGGTATTTGTTTACAAAACGAAATAAGATGTAGATAAAGCGACGCCGCATTTGTAATTAGCTTTCATGCAATAAGCATGAGACACTTACTTGTAACTGCTCCAGTTGCAGACGATGTTGGCGCTCCTTTGAAGCCACCCTCAAGATTTTCTATCAGTTGTGTCAGCCTGGACAAATCGTTCTCAACGTCGTCCACTTTATCTTAAATTGTGGCATATTATATCAGGATTAGAATACGTTAATTCAAATACAAGTGACTGTTAATTCAAATACAAGTGACTGTTAATTCAAAGACAAGTGACTGAAATTTTCAAGATCATATTTAGCATTTTTCAGAGAACCATACGGACTGTATGATTTTGACGGCTGAATGCATCTTTGACAATGCAAATATCAAAAATGCCGCTGATGTCGTCTTTTAGTTTTCAGTATATTACGTTCTATGCTATACCTAAAATATATTTGTTTATTCATATGAAAACAAGGTTTTATGCTTACTTTCCAGGTCTTCAAGTTCCTTCTTCCATTCTTCATCCTAAATTTTATTTGCTTTAATTATTATTAAATAAATAATTGGGTAATTATTGGGTAAATAATTATTTATTTAACAATTTAGGCAATCAGTATTCTATTGAAAGATTATTCTCATTAAGAAAATTTGCCCGAATAGAAGTACTTAGAATAGCCCGAATAGAATCTTAATCCTGCTCAACCCTATTTGTTGCCTTATAGCAGGGGTCTCCAACACGCGGCCCGCAAAACTTTTTTAACGGACTAGAGTTTGTATGCTGTACAAAGTCCAGCAAACCAACGCAAAATAAGGCCAAACATCGAGGGTCTCACTTCTACAAAACGATGCCAAATATTCAACACAAGTAAACGAATATGTTTCATGTCTGACTTGGTGTAAGATTCAAGGGTAATTTCAACAAATATATTCAGATTTACTTTGTTAATTTTTGTATAACAATTTTGTATATAATTTGATAGTTTGTGGCCCGCGTCGTCAATAAATTTCAATAAGTGGACCGCGACATATTTTGAAATGGAGACCCCTGCCTTATAGGAAGATAACCTTTTGTTTTTTAAGCAAATTTTTACCAAGGCCGAATCAATCCCAAATCAGATCATAAATGTTGCGCAACATTTGGATCATAACGCATCGTTCTGTCATTACGCACTACCTTTGCTACACCTCTTTAACCTCATTCAACATTGTGAACTGTTTTACTGGATTTATTTCAATATATCAAATTTCATTGAACAACATCCTTTGATATTTGTGGCACTGGAGGACACACTGAAGGTTGAAGTTGGATTTATCCAGCAATCAAAATGAAATGTTACTTGAAAAAAAAAAAAAAAATTGAACCAACCGCTGCGCAGCTCTGTTTATTCAACGGAAAATCCAGCCATGTCGGTTTTCCGTCGCATGTCACGGCTATTCGGCATTTTCCAAATGCTGAAAATCAATAATAATACCCTTAAGTATATTGCAATATATATTAAATCAAATGTTGCAAAATTTAACTTTAAATTACCGTGTTTTACGAACCATATGGCGCACCGGGTTATGAGGCACATGGCCAATAAATTGCTCAGATTGGGCTTTTATTCACACATGAGGCGCACCGGACTATAAGGCGCAACCGGTACTGGTACTGTTTTTTGTGTAGGCAATAAAGCACTACCTGATCCATACATTTGGGCGCACTGGCTTATAAGACTCTAGATCGATTTATGAGGGGAAAAGCTCGCCTTAAGGTCCTTAAAATACGGTATGCATAGGCCTACTTATATTAATAAAAAGATCTGAAGCCATTAAATAATAATAACCAACCTCTCGCATGCGAAGTCACTTCCACTAGAAGTAAAATAATTTAAACTAGTACTGCAGACAGTAACATTTTCTTCGACGCTATAGATCAAGATTGCAGGAACATAGAATTTTATAATCGCTACAAATTAGAAAAATATAAAGTAACATCGAATCAAATTAAACTGTAATTTTTATAGTGCCTCATCATGAGAAATGAGCAAAAAACCTTTTTTTATTTTGTTATATTATCTCTATCAAAATATACACGCAAATATTTTGTTTCTCTCTTTTTTTTAGAGAGAATATATTTCAAATTATTATTTTTAGATACAGTAATATACTAGGAAGTGTGTGAGAGGTTGATTGTATTTGGATATTTCAAAATTACGTCAACAGCTTCCTCTTTAATACTCGAAATTCCACATCATATGAAAATATGGTACTCCTGAAGTATGTGAACCAAGATGGCGGACACCGGAACGTATCATGTGTACCAGTTTAAGATTAGGCCATAATTTCAGATACAAATACTACGGTAGTCACCTGGCTAGTCGCCGAACCCGTAATAGAACTCAAATAGGGAAAATTGGAAAAAAATTATGGCCTCACCCTAACCTGGTACACCTACTACGTTCCGGTTTCCGCCATCTTGGTTCACATACATCGGGAGTACCCAATGAATTTAAATAAAAATGATTTTCTCGCTTGCAGACTATTTTGCTAAATTGCTGTCATTATCGCTGTTAGTCATACAATTTAACTAAAGCAAAGGCCACAAACTAATTGATGAGAACGCTCATCAAAACAAAACTGCGATGAGCCTTTGACATATTCAATAAATACCACCGCTAATTTCACACGTAAACAGCTTCGTTAAATAACTTGATTGTCTGTTATTTGAGATCCTCCTATTCATCAGTTAATAATTACCTTTTGTATAATATCATAGGTAACTTGGTCATAAACGCGGACGGAAGAACTCCATACCCGTGCCTCGATATAAAATCAAACAGGCAACGATGTTCGGACCTTGTAAAACAGCTTGTTTCGGAATTGCTATTGGGAAAGCCAACAAAAACTAAAGTTTCAACCACTAATCCTTAGGTGAATGTTGCTTTCCAACAAAAATTCCTGTAAATCGTCCGAAAGCACTTCACTCACATTTGTGCAAATCGATGATTGATGCCATATTTGGGATGACCTTGCGTTTACTGTTTCATATCTTTCCTGGGTAGATGAATTTTTTGTTTTTATTTTTTAAAACTTGCATCAGACGTGCAAAATAGTTCTCATTGACAAAAAGTGGTTTTCAAAATCGGACTCATGTTTCTCCCAGACTGTCCCCAAGTTGTTCTCTTGGCAATGTCATTTCCAACATCGTGCCAAGCGCTTTCTACCGCTATTTTAACGCTGGAATAAAACCTGAACCCGTCAGTCGCGCTAACAATTAGTATTAGTATTATATCCACTTTTAGTTGAGGACTCGGGACTTTGCTCAGAAAAACTTGAATGATTAAAAAAAGAACCATTAAACTTATTGACAATATGCCTCAAAAACGGGTAACCTTCTTGTCGCGATAGATCAGGGGTGGACTTATTATGGTGGATATAGGGTCGCGATGGATTAGGGGTGGATTTATAATATAGGCACCATATTTTACGGACGATAAAGCGCACTTTAAATATTTTTTTTCTCAATAATCGATCGTACCCCGAATTAACAAGAGAAATAAAATTATTAACAATCACGGAAAATACTCAACATAATTAGTGGAGTCTACCACGTAATACAGTTTAAAATGAAGGAAAAACAAATAGCAACATGTCTTTGACAAAAACATTTAATACTATGAATTTAATTGATTCAGTCTGGAGTTGCAGAACAAATTTTTCTCCAGTTTGTAATTGTGTTTAGAACAAGGTTTTCACGGAGCTTTTTTTTTATTTGTTTTTACATGGATGTGTGAATAATCATATATTGAGTTATTATGTTTGGTAAATCTGAGGCGAGTCGAAGGAAATTGATAATCATGAGGTCGCTTTGTGACTTCAATTAAATTTTTACAGAATTATGAGATGCCATGCAGATCACGTATATTTATGAAAATAAATTTATCATTTTCAGTATATATCGTTCAAATGCAATATATTGTATGGGGAATTAGGAAACGATTGTAACAGTGACCAAGCTCATTTATTTTATTCCTATTTTATGAACTAAGCTAGATGGAGCAAAGGTCATATTTATCATTAACGTATCAATATTGTGAGCGAATTTTGATATCATATTCACGCTTCCTTGTTTTTAGGAAGTAATATTAACTTTGGCACAATTTTGAAGCGCCATGATGTTTGCAGTGACGTAAATATATTAGATTTGGACAAAGTAATTTGCGCAAATAGAAATGCGTCACGGATAACGTATGACTCTGACAGATCTAATATCTGCGTTGCAAAATTAAGAATTGTTTTGAACAATCAAATGCATTGCACCTCTGACGTACTCTAATATTTGCTTTTGTTTGGTTATAATATTTGCTATGTCAAACTACACGCAATTTGACTTGTTGGAATATATTTCTCATGAATGTACTTGTCATAATATAGCACGTACGTTTGCATCCACATCATGTAGCCTCCAGAATTTTGCACAAATTTTTGAGTTATTTGCACATACCGTTTGTACCGCTGCATATTGAGTATATAATTTCATGATTATCGTTTAGTCAGGGCGCCCAATGTGAAATTGATTGCATGGGTGTCCCTATCTCGGTAGAGAATAATAAATAAATGAATAAAACAGTTGCTGGTTTTTACATATTACTACGTTCTACCTACAAAATCGTGATTAAAGCACCTTCAATACAAAAGTCTTGCTTGTACAAATGAACGTTATGGCATATCGATGATTGTAATTTATAGTGGTTAAATTTAATAACCCACGCCTAGAATTATAGCGGGACCCATAAAAGTGCTGAGCCAACCGCGGCCTCATTGATTGGCTGCAATTGGTTAGGTTCAAGTATGTGTAGTAATCAGAATCGTAACCCGTTACTAATTTTGAAAACTTATGATAGCTTTTGAATGAAACCATCCGTCTTGTTTATTGCCAGGGATATGAACGATTTAACATTTCGTATACTGACATGGTAAAATAAAACAGTCTGCACTTTCTGCTGCAGTAGAAAACAGAAGACCTGGTCAAGCGTAATTTAGTTTAGTTGAAGCAAAGTATTTAATATTAAGCAGTCAAATACATATTTGTATTTTGGAATGTTACGTGTAAATTAGTTGACTAATTTAATGTATATATATAGTATAATGTGCCAGCAATTGGTTTTCGTTTTTGTTTGTATTTTTCAACACTTCGCAATCATGCTTTGTGCGCTCGATAAAATATTTTACCACGCGAAATAAACTTACTATAGACTATATATACTTGTGCGTCACAAAATAAAAATCTTATAATCTATATACTTGTGTAGTGATCCCTTATTCACATAGTGCATAAGGGAAGTATGAAGAAGTGATTGCTCATCTATGGGAAGTTTTCAATATAATTGATAAATAGTAATTCCATTCTAATGCAATGTTGTAATGTAGACTCAAAGATTTTACTATTTTGATAACACGTACAAATTATTAAGGAAGTGATATTACCTCTAGCACAGTTTTTTAGACTAATGAGCAATATTTACATTAAACCTAAAAATAAAATTAATTAGCACAGCTCTTTTTGTGTAGTAATAAATTTGTCATTGCATATGGGTTGATTTCCGTGTAGGGAAATCAATAATAGCGCCATGTACATTTCCATTCAAATCTAGTGCTCCAATGTAAAACATTGACAGAATGATATTTTGTAATATTGACACGAACAATTATTTTAGCAGTTATTTATACAGAGCTTGTTTGTACCTTTACGCTACTAAAATAATCATATTTACTTTATCATGTAAGGTCATTGACCGTAATGGCAACTCGTATATTCACAAGTTGTGCCTCCACAATTTTAATCTGCTAGTTTTTGTGATCATTTACACCGTTCATTCATTATTTTACACAATAATTTAAATAGTCTCACGAATAGGATCTCGAATGTTGTTCCCCTAAGCTGCTGCTTTGGTACGTAATCTCAACAATGCGTGGTTTGAGTAGTTTTTTCAAAATACGATTAGAGAATTAGTGAGATCAAATTTTGTGGGTGAGGTCAAACATCAAAGTGGTTTTATGGTGCTGAGATGCATAACAAAACAACTAAAGATGAATTTGACCACGGAATGAATGCTAAAGGGGTTTTCATTTCGCTGAAACAAAATGGATTTGATATTAATTAAAGTTGGTTTTGTTGGTTGTGAAATTGAGGACAATTGCAATAGTTCCTTTAATTTATTACCGTTAGTGTAATAATCACTTCTATGGTGGCGCATCGTTGTCACGCGTAAAATTAAAAAAAAATGAAAAATAAAATAAAAAACTTAAAAAATAAGAGTAAAATAAAAAAATAGTTCTGAAAAACATTAAAAAAAAAAAATGAAAAAAAAAATAAATAAAATGCAAAAAAAAAATTAAAAATAAAAACGAAAATAAAATAAAAATGGAATAAGGAAAAACAGAAAAAAAATTTGAAAAAAAAAACGTGAATGAAAAGAAAATATAAACGGTTGACAACGATGGGCCGCCTCGTGTCACGCGTTTTTATTTTGAGAAAATTTGATTCGGCTTGGGACCAACGTTGTCATGCATAATCCTACGCGCACAAACGGTGTTCCCTGGGTTTCTAACTCATTACTGATTTTCTTGAGCAATATTCAATAAATTTAATATGCAAATGTTCTATAAATACTCCATGATACAAGTTCAACTAGAAGTAATATATATATTTAAAATATTAAGAAGAGAATATAGAATTGAATACGAAAACTCGAGAAATTTGTTTTTACGTATATATAGGAGGTAATTGAATTGGAGAATGCTACTTAAATGCTCAGTTGTCCGGACGCTCGTGCGATACCGATACCGTCTGATCGTACCCGGTACCCAGCATACAGTCACTCATGAAACGAGTGGGAGATACGGATAGTCTAGTAGAATAATATGGTGAATCGAGGGATGGATTGAAAAAAATGGTTGAGCTCGCACGATTTATCATTCGTCTGGATCGGTGCGTTACGGCTGTAAGGTATGCCGTACGGTATGCCATACCGTATGCACATGCCGACATGCACGTTCCATTGAAATCTGGTCTAACCATAATCGCCTTCCAGCCTCGTGGTTGTACGATCAGACAGTAGTGGCTAGAGTCGACGGACGAGTCTAACTAGAATACTTTATGCACACAGTCCTTTTTCTAATATTTCAAGTCTGTGCTTTGTGAATTATTCACATTTTAGTTTTGCAGTTATTACAAATTACGATTACTATACAGGTACTTATTATAATGGCTGAAAAGAGATCTTGCATGGGTACAATAGCGGTCAGACGGTACCGGTATCGTAAGAGTGTCCAGACAACTGAGCAGTTGAGCAGCATTCTCCGATTCAATTACCTTCTACACGTAAAAACAAATTTCCCGGATTTTCGTACTCAATACTATATTCTCTATTCATCATTATAAATATATTACTTCTAGTCGAACTTGTAGCATGGAGAATTTATAGAACATTTTCGTTTTGAATCTATTGAATATTGCTCAAGAAAATCAGTAGTGAGTTAGAAACCCCCAAAAAAAGGTTGGGCGCGTAGGATTATGCATGACAACGTTGGTTTCAAGCAGAATCAAATTTTCTCAAAATAAAAACGCGTGACAACGATGGGCCACGAGGCGGCCCATCGTTGTCAACCTTTCTATTTTCTTTTTATTCACGTTTTTTTTTTTTTTCTTTGCTTTTTTTTATTCCGTTTTTATTCTATTTTCGTTTTTAATTTTCTTTTTGCATTCTATTTTTATTTTTTTTTTCGATTTTTTTTAATTTTCTTAATGTTTTTTCACAATTATTTTTTATTTTACTTTTATTTTTCAATTTTACGCGTGACAACGATGGGCCACCATACACTTCTAACGAGGTATAAAACACTATGATGCCTGGATTAAAAAAAAAAAACTGACGATACGCGAGTTTTGACACTGGAGTTCGGTAGGGTTAGTGGCGTATGTTGAAATGCAACACTTTGATTTGTTTCATGGCTACGTCATTGAGCCAACGTTCGTAGTTTATAATGCCATCGAAGTGACTATAATTTGACAAAAGTTCACAATTATTTTGCTTAAATTCACCAATGGATAAACTAGAATTCGGTTGGAAACCGAAGACTTAATCGAAGGTTAGGGGATCCCCCAAAACAGTGGTCTTACTCCATAGTGACACCGTGTGTCCCATCACTAATTTATTGATAACTTGCTAATTATACGACATAATCCATCCAAAATCAATAGGCTTCTGATCCGAACTATGATGAATGTACATGCAAAATCTGCAGCAGATCCAATCTCACTTTCGTGAGATATCGCTTGCATCTAACAAACAGACATACAGACAGACAAATACCTATCAACATACTTGCCGATCAAGATCGATAAGTAAAAATACCTATCAATATACTTACCGATCAAGATCGATAAGTAACAAGATCGACAAGTAATAACGAGCATATATATATATATGGATTTCAATTCCGGGGCACAAACGGCTTATTACTACCATTGTAGTCTTGTTCGGCGTGCCTCATCATCTCGAAACCCAATAGAATGTGTATTTCTGCAATTGAACACCCAAAATTGACATGAGAATAAATTTTATTTACAAATTGCGTCATGCGCCGAGCACTTGACGTCACTCGGGTAAAAAGTTTTGTCATGATCAAGTGAAACATATAGCTGTGGTAATGATAATTCCCCCATTGAACTCTCCGACAATAAATTTCCAGATAGAATCAAGATCAAATTATGGCAACATCAAAATTAATATTCTTTATTCTTTATAATCGTGTATTTGTAAATCAAAATTCCCTTTCGCATGCGTATGGTATCGAATTGTCACAGGGATAGTCATGCACACCCCAACTAGAGATTGCTCCGCAGTCTTCAGCAACATCATTCGGTTCTCCATGGGCCCAAATGGAATCGTAATTTGTAGTGGTTCGTCCATCCGACCAAACCCATGTCCCTTCGCTTCTGATGTCATCAAGTCCTATCCACATATACGAACCACCGCTGCCCCTATGTAGTTTTGGAATTACTACACTAAAAAGAAAAAACGTAATTTTCGTTTGATGTATTTTGATCTTGGAACGGTACTCCCGAAGTATTCGTACCAGGCTGGGGTAAGGTCCTAATTTTATTCCGATTTTCCTTGTTTTACTTCTATTACGAGGTCGGGGACTGTCAATGTTAGCCAAGTAAATATCCCCCTGTGCATAGGTTTCAGTACCTTCGAATTGATGTAAAATATGCCCTCACAATTAGTTACCTCTATATTGATACTCATACTTCAGGAGCGCTCTTGGAACATTACATGGTTACAATGAAATATTCATCTATTCAACTGTGCAAACACAAAGGATTATGAGACTTGGACTGACGCCAAGTTGTTAGAGTGCTATTGAACCTGTGTGAGTTAGACATTGTCAGACTCAGGTAAAGTCGGTTCATTTTCAGCCCCTTAGTTCGTGGAGCATATGGAAAATTGGTAGGCTATACTGAAAAAATGAGGGTACGCTCCTTAGACCTTAGTCTGTTGGTATAAACACAGGGTCGCAGTAAATATGTTAAATAAATCATAAACAAATCAACTTACTTCTTAGTTCTAACTCCAGACGAAATTAAACGCGCCCCAAATTCCATGCATCTGGCCTTCGCAGTTGAGTAGGTTACATAATCAGTAAAACTTTTATACAGGTAGTTATTGCTTGCTTTAATCCATCCAGATGCCAGATACACTCTGTTAGTCTAAATCCAAAATTTGTTCACAATTATCGATTCAAAAAAAAATCTGAAATCTCTTCATGAAACGACTTGTGTTATGTCTACTATTAAACTAAGTAACTGTAGTTTAGACTCCTAATCTGATCTCTTATAATATAATAAATTAATCTAGGCTACGTGTCCGTACTACAATTAAGTGTTAATTCGATAGACCCAAAGGATACTTCTATATTGTTTTATTATCACTGTGAAAAAATATTGTATGTACAAAACAATACATTAAATAGACTTACGCCCACAAACGCAATCCTAAAATGCATGGATTGACGTACCTCACAGATTGTTGTTGATTGATAATTTGAATTATAATGATACCCCATGGTTTCGGGAATTTGTTTTTAGGCCTTCTCTACTCAGTTTAGAGCTTAGCTTTTTATTTATTTATCGAAGAGAAAAATCTTTCGTTATTACGGAGCAGCGCTTGCTTCGGCAAATTATTGCGATTTATTTCACATGAAAAAACTCAAATAAAACAAGAGGAAATTATGTATATTACTAATAATCACATTAAGTCAATTTAGTTACATCTTATGGCAAAACCCGCTTTATGATGACGATTTAGCAATATCAATTAAATAACTCGATTTGAGGTTAATTTGTCGGATAATCTGTTACATACAAAAGAAAAGGGTGCAATACACAGTATTTGTGAGCGACAGTGGGTGAGGAACTACTAAAGTTGGCGGGACGTTAATCACCAAATTTTTAAAAGTTGTAAACCAAGTTTTGGTTGTGTGTGCATTGAAACAGTTTGAATATTTGTCCAAGGCAATATTTGAATAATCAAAGATTGATAAAACAGTATGTAAACTTTATATGAATGTACAATGAAGCTTTCGACAGACAATGCCAAAATGAAAAAAATGAGCACCGTTCTTGTCATGAAAAAAATAAAAATAATCACTGTCATTGTCATTTCCTTGGTTGTATTAATCTTCAATCGACTTATTTCATTCCCGTAAAACGTTTTCAAATTCTTTATTTGCAAACCATCTGAAAAGCGAAAGAATAGACTGATTAGGGTTCAAGGTCAATGGATTTTAAGGTAAATTTTTGTTGGCTATCAAATTAATGTTAATAACCAGATTATACAATGAATTTCAACATGTTGATGTCCAAAAACGACTAAATTGTACCCTTGTATGATGTATTTATTAGATTCTATAATAGAAATTTAGATTCCTGTTTTGTATTAGACTTAAATTCATCTTATTGAGCTTAATTTCTGTTTTTAGTTTTCTCAGTATCATTCGAAATTCAGACGAAAGATGAATTTAGCTGTTTTTTCAGTCTTATTGCAACTTCCAAGAATAATGTTTCAGTCAATTTTCGTACTATTGCATATACCAGCGGTTTCCAACCGGGAGCCCTGGGCTTCCTAAAGAGGCCCGAGAGCAGTTGAAGTTGGGCCAATGCGCCAAACTGATTTTACTGTTCCCTTTACTTGAAGCAAAACTGATTTTACTTTCTTCTTTGCGAGAAGAGTATATTTCACATTGTTTAGCATGAATTGTTTGAACAGGAGGGAGGGGGGTTTGGAATCTCTCAATAAAAGAAAACACTATGAATACCACTGGTATGATGAACAGGGGGCCTCCGTAAGGGGCCATGAACCGTGGAATGTTGGGAACCACTGGCATATACAGTCTTTCTTACTTAATCTTAAAAATATTCAGATACCGTCACGCTGTTAATTAGCACAAAAGGAAACGCGAAAAAGAGGCTGCAGTTTTACACTCTATCTGGTGAAATTCAAACAACTTACTTCTCCTGGTATCGCCTGATATTCGTGTGTGGGTTGTGCTCATTAGATTTTTCAATCTTACTTCTGAAAGCCTTACCTGGCTCAAAAGCTGAAAATTTGAAAGCAGAATATTTTACACCGAGTAGAACTATGGATAGATTCATAGGTGTGGACACATTCTTCAAAATCTTAACTATTGCCCTTGGATTTGTTTCTATTTTCGACCCGGCATTTCGAATGGCTACCGTTTAAAACAACATGTGCGTAAACCCAAACACTGTATTTCGTTGTTTGGAGGTAATATTTAACAAATCGAAAATTGATAAAATAATATGTGAACTTCATAAGGATTTTCAATAAAGTTTGGGTCGGGCAATGCCAGAATAAAAATAAAATAATCACCGTTCTTGTCATTTCCTCGGATGTATTAATCTTTGATTGACTTAGTTCATTCCCGAAATACGTTTTCAAATTCTTTATTTTTAAAGTATCTGAAAAGTGAAACTACAGACTCATTGGCGTCAAAAGTTAAACTGTTTTAATATAAATGGAATGTTTAGTGATTATCAAATTAATCTGAACATCTAGCTTACATAGCGAATTCTAAAATGTTGATCATCAAAAACGACAATATTTTACACTTGTATGATGCATTCATTTGATTCAATAACAAAAAACCTCCCGATACCAAGACGTTTCAGCAGTTAAAATGGGAGGTGTATCCCAACGGATACTACTATTTCAATATTATTAGCATATTTCTGCTTGCCCCTTTTCCACCCCCTATAAGACTGTGTTGTTCAAGGTCGATCGATATTTACATGAATTAAAATGAAACCTGAAACCAATCTTACTTCGTTGCGTTTCTACTGAATTTTTTTCATAGGAACTGTTCATCTGGTCCTGCAATTTTGCTTCTGAAAGTTTCAACTTGATTTGAAACAAAAAACAGAAAAAGGTAATAATTATGAAAAACTAGAATTCAATGGACGCAATCGATGAATACATACTGTTCGGAGGCGACAATGGGTTTAATTCTGATTTTGACGTAACGCAAATTACATACCTGTTTTAAGCTATCTAATGGATCTTTTAAGTTGAAATTAAGTGATCTAATACACTTTTTATAATATATCTTTTTTGTGTTAATACGGCAAGGATGAAAAAAAGTAACTAGTGTGCTCAATCGCGATATCACCAGCCCTTTAAAAGTAGTTCGGGAGGCGCGTGTACCGCAACAGTATAGTTCGTTGTCTAAATCAATATGTACTTGATCGAAGACTGCTAAAACATTGCGTGAACTTTATAGGATTTCAAAATAAAATTGCAACGGACAATGTCAAAATTAAAAATTAGTATTCACCGTTTCTATAAATTCTTCAGATGTGTTAATCTTCAATTGAATCAGGTCATTCTCGAAATACTTTTTTAAATTCTCTATTTTCAAAGCATCTGAAAAAGGGAAGGACAGACTCATTGGAGTCGAGGGTCAAACTGTTTTAATTTAAATTATTTATTTAGTGATTATTAAGTTAATGTGAACAACTAGCTTACTCTAAAATGTTGATATTTAAAAATGACAATATTTTACACTTGTATGATGCATTTATTGGAGCCTTTAATAACAGAAAAAGCCCCAAATTCCTGTTAAAAACTTGATTTCTGTTACGTGTTACACTGAACTTCCTTGTTTTAAACCTAAACTATTTGTTCCATCCTTCGGACGACTTTCTTTACTTTGCATTGGCAAACATGGTGACATAACATTTTTCAAAATAATATATAGTTAAGTTTTTTAAGAGTCAGATACCGCCACGTTGGGAATCGGTACAAAAAGAAACGTGAAAAAGAAGCTGCAGTTTTACACTCTATCTGGCAAAATTCAATCAACTTACTTCTCCTCGTATTGCCTGATATTCGTGTGTGGGTTGAGGTCATTAGATTTTTCAATCTTACTTCTGAAAGCTTTACCTGACTCAAAAGCTGAAAATTTGAAAGCAGAATATTACACACTGAATAGAAAACTATCGAAAAATTCATAGGTGTGGACATGTTCCTCAAAATGCTATTACCCTTATATTTGTTCCTATTTTCGATGGGGACCCATTTCACCTGAATCGTTGTTGATTTGAATAAATGGCTGTTTATTCCCGTGATTTTGCTATTACACCATCAATAATAGTACGTTATGGTTAGCTGGCCAGAAAATTCTTTGTGTCAATATATATCTGGAAATTTGCTATGGGGAATGAAATGTTTTTATCGGACAAAGTGTTCGGTTGATTTTGTTGTTGAAGTTGAAGCCGATATGGCTGGTGACGTGATATACAACCACACAGACACAAATATGAATATGTAGCCATACCATATACATATACAGCCAGTTGGGCGATGTATATATACAGTCACTGTCAAATGCATATACAGTCAATTCTACAAAATATGCATTTATTTAGGCAATGTACGTAATTACTCAATGTCATACCTTCATATAGTTAACATATACACATATTGATCCAACCAAAAACATATATACGGACAATTCCATATGCATATACAGGCAAATTATATAGAGATAGAGCCAGCGAAATACACATATACAGCCAAATTATATACATATTTTGGACTAACCAAATATGCATATACAGCCAATTCATATATATGAATTAACATATTGGCTTTGCAATATAAGTTAAGCATATAACATTGGCAGTGAATGTATATTACTCGAATGGTTTAAATGTATATTGAGTTGGATGTATATGCATAAAGTATGGATTTTATATGTTTATATTTTGGCTGTATTTGTATATACGCGTCACAAACGACATTCGTTGGATTCGCTGGAAATCTGTTGCTCATATTACTGCCAGAGCCCAATAATTCACCAAACATTTTGTTGTTTTAGTTTTATTAAAGACAAACACTTTTTATTGTTTCGTGTTTGACCACCTCCATCACACTTGCATCTGCGGCCAATCATTGGAGTTTTCGGCACATATATTTAACCATTACTCCAATTACCGATTTTTTTTCTTCTGATATGTTGATCTGCAGATGATTTCTCGTAACGACAATCAATGTTTCCAAATCCATTTTTTCATTTGCTGAGTCTGAAAATAATTCAGACTGAGACTAGAGTATTTATTTTATTTATATTTCATTACATGAACGAAAATTAAATCAATCTTACTTTGTTGAGTTTCTATTAAAATTTTCTCATAGGAACTATTCATCTGGTCCTGCAACTTTACTTCAGAAAGCGTCAACTTGATTTGAAACAAAAAAAGGGAATTTTTATGGAAAACTAGAGTTCAATGGATGGAAGCGACAGTTGGCGGAGATTTGATATTGATGTGACACAAATCACACATCCGTTATAAGTTATCTAGAGAAATATTTCAAATTAAAATGAAGTGAGCCAACACATTTTTATATTATATTTCTTTGTGTCAATACTGCACTGTATTTCGTTGTTTAAAGGTAATTTTTAACAAATCGAAAAGTTACAAAACAATATGTAAACTTCATAGGAATTCACATTAAAGTTTGGGTCGGACAATGCCAAAATAAATTAAAAATAATCACCGTTTTTGTCATTTCCTCGGATGTATTAATCTTTAATTGACTTAGTTCATTCCCGAAATACGTTTTCAAATTATTTATTTTTAAATTATCTGAAAAGAGAAAAGACAGACCTTAAACTGTTTTAATATAAATGGAATTTTTAGTGATTATAAAACTAATGTGAACACCCAGCTTACATAGCAAACTCTAAAATATTGATCATCATAAACGACAATATTTTACACTTGTATGATGCATTCATTTGATTCAATACCAAAAAAGACTCCCAATCCCAAGACGTTTCCTAACGGATACTACTATTTTAATATTATTAGCATATTTCTGCTTGCCCCATTTCCACCCACCTACGAGACTGTGTTGTTCAAGGTCGATCGATATTTACACCAATAAAAATGAAACCAATCTTACTACGTTGCGTTTCCACTGAAATTTTCTCATAGGAACTGTTCATCTGGTCCTGCAATTTTGCTTCTGAAAGTTTCAACTTGATTTGAATAAAAAAAACATAAAGTTAATTTTTATAAAAAAACTAAAATTTAATGGATGCAATCGATGGAATACAAAGTGTTCGGAAGCGACAGTGGGTGTAATTCTGATTTTGACGTAACGCAAATTACATACCTGTTATAAGCTATCTAATGAATCTTTTAAATTGAGATTAAGTGATCTAATGCACTCTTCATAATATTTTTTCTTTGTTTTAAATTGCAAGGATAAAAAAAAAGATAACTAGTATTCTTAATCGCGATGTCACCAGTCAGTTTAAAAGAAGTTTGGGTTGCACGTGTACCGCAACAATATAGTTCGTTGTCTAAATCGAAGACTGATAAAACATTATGTAAACTTTATAGAATTTTAAAATAAAATTGCAACGGACAATGCCAAAATTAAAAATTAGTATTCACCGTTCTTCTAAATTCTTCAGATGTATTAATCTTCAATTGACATAGTTCATTCCCAAAATACGTTTTCAAATTCTCTATTTTCAAAGCATCTGAAAAACGAAAGGACAGACTCATTGAAGTCGAGGGTCAAACTGTTTTAATATAAATTGATTATTTAGTGATTATCAAGTTAATGTGAACAACAAACTTACTCTAAAATGTGGATATTTGAAAATGACAATATTTTACACTTGTATGATCCATTTATTTGATTCATTAATAACAGAAAAAGCCCCAAATTTCTGTTAAAAACTTGATTCCTGTTACGTGTTACACTAAGCTTCCTCCTATTAAATCTACTTTCCTTTTACTTTATCTCATTCAACTTTTTTGGTTTTGGACAGACAAACATAGATACTCAACATTTTTTGAAATAATATATAGTCTCTCATATATACTCTTAAGTTTTTAAAAGTTTTTTTTACTTAGTCTTAGACAGTAGTCAGATACAGTCATGCTGGGACTCGGCACAAGGAAGTGAAAAGTAAGCTACAGTTTGTCTTCCAATCTAGCAAAATTCAATCAACTTACTTCTCTTTGTGTTTGCTGATACTTCTGCGTTGTTTGTGCTCATTAAATTTTTCAATTTTTCTTCGGAAACCTTTACCTGGCTCAAGATCTAACAATTTGAAAGCAGAATATTACATACGAAATATGCATAAATTTAAAGGGATGGAAGTGTTCCCAAAAGACTTCATTAGACTTCCACATTTACCATAGTTCCTATTGTCGAAGTTATTGCCATTTCACCTGTAATGTTGTTGCTTTTAAAAAATGTCTCTTTTTGTTTACCCGTGGTTAATTTTGGCAATCACACGATCAGCGGTTGCATGTTAAACATGTATTTACCTGAGTGATAACTTCTTTGTGTCGATATATTTGGCACTTTTGTTATAGGAATTATAAATTATTTATTGGCCACAAAGTGTTCGGTTGATTCTGTTGTTTGAAAAATTGCTTCTTTCAAAAAAGAAACCAATCGATTTCAAAGTATCTGGAGATAATTAAAGTCGCGAGGGTTGGTAACGTGATATACAACCACACAGCCACAAATTGAATAAAGTAGCCGTCTCATATACCTTTACAGCCATATATAAAATCAATGTGATATGCGTATATAGCCAATTCAACATGTTTGCTTTTAATTGGATAATGTATAACATTTTGTTGTTTCAGTTTTATTGAATAAATTTTTTTCATTTTTCCGTGCATGACCACCTCCATGGAGCTTTGTGCACATGTATTTGACCATCAATATCTTATTTACGCTTATAATTATAAATTTCACAAATCGATAAAAATTTCATGTGATTACCAATTTTTTTTCTTCCGATATGATGTTCTGCAGATGATTTCTCGTAACGACAATCAATGTTTCCAAGTCCATTTTTTCATTTGCTGAGTCTGCAATTAATTTAGACTGAGACTAGAGTATTTATTTTATTTATATTTCATTACATAAACAAATATCAAATCAATCATACTTTGTTGAGTTTCTTTTAAAATTTTCTCATAGGAACTGTTCATCTGGTCCTTCAACTTTGCTTCAGAAAGTGTCAACTTGATTCGAAACGCAAAAAAAAGTTAATTTTTATAAAAAAGCTAGAATTCAATGGATGGAAGCGACAGTGGGTGGATTCTGATATTGATGTGACTCAAACCACACATCCGTTATAAGTTATATAATGAATTTTTTTAAATTGAAACTAAGCGAGCTGATACATTTTTATATTATATTTCTTTGTGTTATTATTCTACTGTGTTTCGTTGTAAAAGTAATATTTAACAAATCGAAAATTGACAAAACAATACGTAAACTTCATAGGAATTTACAACAAAATTTGAGACGGACAATGCCAAAAAAAATAAAATCACCGTTCTCGTCATTTCCTCAGATCTATTAATCTTCAATTGACTTAGTTCATTACCGAAATACGTTTTCAAATTATTTATTTTTAAATTATCTGAAAAGTGAAAAGACAGACTTATTGGCGTTAAAGGTTAAACTGTTTAATACAAATAAAATATTTAGTGATTATTAAATTAATGTGAACACCTAGCTTACATAGCGAACTCTAAAATATTGATCTTAATAAACGACAATATTTTACACTTGTATGATGCATTCATTTGATTCAATACCAAAAAAGACTCCCAATCCCAGGACGTTTCTTAACGGATACTACTATTTCAATATTATTAGCATATTTCTGCTTGCCCCCTTTCCACCCCCTACGAGACTGTGTTGTTCAAGGTCGATCGATATTTACACGAACAAAAATAAAACCAATCTTACTTCGTTGCGTTTTTACTGAAATTTTTTCATAGGAACTGTTCATCTGGTCCTGCAATTTTGCTTCTGAAACTTTCAACTTGATTTGAATAAAAAAAAAAGATAAAGTTAATTTTCATAAAAAACTAAAATTCAAAGGATGCAATCGATGGGATACATAGTGTTTGGAAACGACAGTCGGTTTAATTCTGATTTTTATGTAACGCAAATTACATACCTGTTATAAGCTATCTATTGGATCTTTTAAATTGAAATCAGGTGAGATAATACACTTTTTATAATATTTTTTTTGTGTTGATACAGCAAGGATGAAATAAAAGTAACTAGTATGCTTAATCGCGGTGTCACCAGTCCTTTAAAAGAAGTTCGGGATGTGCGTGTACCGCAACAGTATAGTTCGTTGTCTAAATCAATATGTGATTGATCGAAGTTTGATAAAACATGCAAACTTTTTAGGATTTCAAAATAAAATTGCAAAGGATAATGTCAAAATTAGAAATTATTATTCACCGTTCTTATGAATTCTTCAGATGTATTAATCTTCAATTGACTGAGGTCATTCTCGAAATAACTTTTTAAATTCTTAATTTTCAAAGCGTCTGAAAAAGGAAAGGACGCACTCATTGGAGTCGAGGGTCAAACTGTTTTAATATAATTTGATTATTTAGTAATTATCAAGTTAAAGGGAACAACAAGCTTACTCTAAATTTTGATATTTAAAAATGACAATATATCACACTTGTATGATGCATTCATTTGTTTCAATACCAAAAAAGACTCCCAATACCAAGACGTTTTCTAACGGATGCTACTATTTTAATATTATTAGCATATTTCTTCTTGCCCCATTTTCACCCACCTACGAGACTGTGTTGTTCAAGGTCGATCGATATTTACACAAATAAAAATAAAACCAATCTTACTTCGTTGCGTTTCTACTGAAATTTTTTCATAGGAACTGTTCATCTGGTACTGCAATTTTGCTTCTGAAAGTTTCAACTTGATTTGAATAAAAAAAAAAATATAAAGTTAATTTTTATAAAAAACTAAAATTCAATGGATACAATCGATGGAATACATAGTGTTTGAAAACGACAGTCGGTTTAATTCTGATTTTGACGTAACGTAAATCACATACCTTTTATAAGCTATCTAATGGATCTTTTAAATTGAAATCAAGTGAGGTAATACACTTTTTATAATAATTTGTCTGTGTTGATACGACAAGGATGAAAAAAAAAGTGACTAGTATGCTTAATCGCGGTGTCATCAGCCCTTCAAAAGAAGTTCGGGATGTGCGTGTACCGCAACAGTATAGTTCGTTGTCTAAATCAATATGTAATTGATCAAAGTTTGATGAAACATTATGTAAACTTTATAGTATTCAAAAATAAAATTGCAACGGATAATGTCAAAATTAGAAATTATTATTCACCGTTCTTATAAATTCTTCAGATGTGTTAATCTTCAATTGACTTAGGTCATTCCCGAAATACGTTTTCAAATTCTTTATTTTCAAAGCATCTGAAAAAGGGAAGAACAGACTCTTGGCAGTCGAGAGTCAAACTGTTTTAATATAAATTAATTATTTTGTGATTACCAAGTTAATGTGAACAACTAGCTTACTCTAATATGAGGATATTTAAAACTTACAAAATTTGACAATTGTATGATGCATTTGTTGGATTCTTTAAAAACAGAAAAAGCCCCAAATTTCTGTTAAAAACTTGATTTATGTTACGTGTTACACTAAACTTCCTTATTTTGAACCTCATTTATTTGTTCCATCCGTTGAACGAAATTCTTAGCTTTGCATTGACGAACTTAGTGACACAACATCAATCAAATACCGTCACGTTGGTAATCAGTACAAATGAAAAAGTGAGGAAGAAACTACAGTTTTACACTCTATCTGGCAAAAGTCAATCAACTTACTTCTCCTCGTATCGCCTGATATTCGTGTGTGGGTTGTGCTCATTAGATTTTTCAATCTTACTTCTGAAATCCTTACCTGGCTCAAAAGCTGAAAATTTGAAAGCAGAATAATACACACGAAGTAGAACTATGGATATATTCAAAAGAATGAAGGTATTTTCCAAAAGGGTATTACTTTTACATTTGTTCCTAGTGTCGACGGAGCCCGCCATTTCACTTGGAATGTTGTTGATTTTGTCAATCTCACGATCAGCAGCAGAACGTTCTACCGGTATTTTCTTGAGCGATGACTTCTTTGTTTCCGTATATTTGGCAATTTAGATATGAATAATGAAAAGTATTTATTGGACACAATGTGTGTATTTGTTTGATATTTGGTATTAGAAATAGTCGACTATATGTAAGATTTGGCTGTATATATAAAGTTCCTTAGCTGTATATATGCATATGACATTGACTTTTGTGTGTACATCACATAAATAAATGTATATGTATATCGGGTTGACAATATATGCATAAAGTCGCCGTGTGACTTGACTCATAGTCGCCGACTTGAATGGGTACTTAATATATTGTCTTTGCTGTATAGGTTAAGCATATGACATTAGCAGTGTATGTATATCAATTGAATGAATATATATATACATATATTAAGTTGGCTATATATGCATATGGCATTAGCTACATATGTATCATGTATCTCAGTCGTCTTAATATGCATATTTTTCGCTATATTTGTATACCACGTCACCAACCACTCTTGTTGAATACAACGGAGAGCTATTCCTTTTGTTTCTGTCAGGGCCCAATATTTCACCAAACGTTTTGTTGTTTTAATTTTATAAACGACAAACCTTTTAATTTTTTCGTGCTTGACCATCTCCATCACGCTTGTACCTACGGTTAATCATTGACGTTTTGACCAATATTCTGTTATTCATTCTAATAATTATAAATTTCACCAAACGAATAAAACTTAATGTGATTACCGATTTTTTTTCTTCTGATATGCTGTTCTGCAGATGATTTCTCGTAACGACAATCAATGTTTCCAAGTCCATTTTGTCGTTGGCTAAGTCTGCAATTAGTTTAGACTAATGATGCAAGTCAAAATCAATCACGTGGCACATTGTATACAATACTATGACGTTTCTGCAGTTAAAAATGGGGATGTATTTCAAAGAATACAATTTTATTAATGTTAGCATATTTCTGCTCGTCTCCCAAGCAGTGTTCCCTCTAAGAAACTTTCACACATGCAGCTTAGAGGGAACCTTGCTCCCAGGCAACTGTGTTGATTCAGATGGAGCTGGGCAAAACATTTCACTCCGTATTTGTATTTTACCTCGTCCTAGTATATTCTATCGAAAGTTTCAACTATTTTTCTATTTATGTTTCATTACATTATAAAAATCACACTAAACTTACTTCGTTGCGTTTCTCCTAAAATTTCCTTATAGGAACTATTCATCTGGTCCTGCAATTTTGCTTCAGAAAGTTTCAACTTGATTTGAAAACATGAAGACAATTGTTAAAAAAACTAGAATGCGTGTAGAGCATGAATCACATACCCATTATAGGTTTTCTAATGAATTTTATAAATTGAAATTGAGTGAGCTAATACATACTTATACTATATTTCTTTGTGTTGATATTGCAACATGGGAAAAAAGATACTAATATACTTAATCGCGGTGTCATAAGCCCGTCTAGAAAAAGTTGTAAAACTTGTTTGGGTTGCGCGTGTACCGCAACAGTATAGTTCGTTGTCTGAAAGTGGTAATTAACTAATTGAAGAGTGATAAAACATTAAGCAAACTTTTCAGGAATTTACACTAAAGTTTGGATCCGACAATGCCAAAATGAAAAAATAAATAAATAACTACCGTTCTTGTCATTTCCTCGGATGTATTAATTTTCAGTTGACCTAGTTCATTCCCGAAAAACATTTTCAAATTATTTATTTTCAAAGCATCTGTAAAGCGAAAGGACAGATTCATGTAATTGAAAATTTGACTATTTTCCTATTTTTATCTCATTATATAAATAGAAACTAAATAAATCTTACTTTGCTGCGTTTCCATTAAAATTTTGTCATATGAACTGTTTATCTGGTCCTGCAATTTTGCTTCAGTAAGATTCAACTTTATTTGAAATTTGAAAACAAAAAGAACATTGAAAATTGTGTATGCAGTGCAGTAATGAAAATTCAATTACCAATTACCAATTCCTTGTTTTCTTGTGATACGTTATTTTTCATTTCTCCCGTAGAGTTCTCCATTAACATTTTTAGGTTGATCTCACTCTCTAACGTCCCTGAAATCGATAAACATAGTCAGACTCGATTGAAACATGTTATGCACAGCAACTTGGATATAAAAGCGTCATTCTATTTATGTACATACTAGATGAGTAAAAATGAAATAACAAAAAATATTAATTTTTTCCTATTCTTCGGATCCTTTTAATAAAGCATTACATAAATTGGTATGGTGGGCGATGGCATAGTTGTTTAACATTACATCAAGATAACTCACTTTCTCTTGTGATTTTCATCAATTCCTCATAGGAGATATTTAAATGTTTCCTGAATTTTTCCTCTGTCAGATTCAGCTCGCTTTGAAGCTGTGAAAATGAAGTTGGTGTCCTTATTATATACAAACACATTTGTAAAGATAATTGAAGAAACAACCTATAAATGAATTATTTATGAATTAGTTACCAATTTCCTATTTTCTTCTAACACATCAAGCTTTAGTTCACCAGTTACATTCGTAACTAACGTTTTCAAATCACTCTTGATCTTTAATGAATCTATTTAAAAATAAAGAATGATAATTGTATTTCAGAAGTTTTTTTTTATAATATTCCATAAGCTCAATGAATTGTGACTAAAACTACACCTCAACAATTATATAGGATCAGAATCTGGCATCTCCACCTTTTATATAACTCCAAATATAACCCATATGGTCCAGCGGATAAAACCTCAAATATGATGGAATTGTGCACTTTTGGATGCAAGCATGAAACTTGGCACACGTGTACAGTAGCATCCCCTGATCAATTTTGGATATGGTGCCATCTATGAAAATACCTCGTCGCCATGGAAACGAGGCATCATTCGTATTGCTATTAAAGGGAAATATACATTACTTTAGGAAAGGATATTTTCAAGATAAGTAAACCGATGTGTATATAAGAAGTGAAGAATATGATCAGAAGTGCATTTTGACAAATTCCCTTGTAAACAGATGATGTCGTAGCTCATTAACCTGAAGGGAAATGAAAAATAATTATCCGAGAGGTAAGCTACTGCTTCTGAAGTTTGTTCAATATCCGAAAAGTCTAAATTATGTTTTGGCTTACCTAGCTGGCACATGTCGATAGATAGAGGTCAAAATGTTGTCGATTCTAGTCATCAATTAGGATTCAACCGTATTTCAACATATATCTAACATCTGGGTAACTGCTAAGCTAACGACATCATCTGTTTACAAAGAAATGGAGAATGCCAGAGAACATCCCCCCTACATCAAATTCTTTGCTGCAACACATACGTAGAGCAATCTTTCAAGGTGTGTTTATTTGGAGCAAAGCAACGAAGGTTTCACAAAAGTTACCCGATGCACAGAGATGGGGATGGGAAAAAGTAGGAGACAAATTTTTACCAAGATGGATGACTATCCCTAAAGCAGCAAAAAATTGCACAGAGCTGATTCATTGGGGCTGCAAGAAAGATTGTGCTGCTCGCTGCAAATGTTTCCGTGTTGATTTAGCATGTACACCACTATGTATCTCTGGTGGGGATTGCGGAAATAACGACTGACATTGCAAAATTGATCGGGCGATGCTACTGTACATTTGTGCCAAGTTTCATGCTTGCATCCAAAAGTGCAGGAGTACTCGTATATATCTAAATAGTAAAATTTCCCCCACTAGTTATTGGGGAATCTTTGTGGAATATATTTTTGGAAAATATAATTATTTCAATCGTTTTTCTATTTATTTCTTTTTTTAGCACTTACATAAGGTGACGTTAGATATAGATAAGAATTATCAACGATTCCAGCCGAGTTTGAGCTGAAATGTAATGCAAGTTTTCCGTTTTTATCTGACTGAGATACTAATGCCAGAGTTAAGAGCATGAATTTATCTTTAATAATATATATGATATGATAGCTGCAAGATAACAGTAATCCGTCAGTTATGAGATATATATTTTATATTTTCACCAGATTTACGTGGCTATGAGTTTGAAAGTATACCATTGGCGATGGCAGTTGATTGAGTGCAAAAGGAATTACATTCTGAAAGTGAATGTAGTTAACTTGTAATCCATGACAATAACAGAAAATACAGGTTATGCGACTTATAATCGTGTTTGGTCGATAACGATACCTCATTTCCGTGGTAACAGGTATTCTGTTATCAAGGGAAATTGTCAAAATGCACTTCTGATCATATTCGTTACTTCTTATATACACATCGGTTTACTTATCTTGAAAATATCCTTTCCCCAATTAATGTTTATTTCCCTTTAATATCAATACGGATGATGCCTCGTTTCCATGACAACGAGGTATTTTCTTGGATGGCACCATATCCAAAATTGATCAGGGGAAGCTACTGTACACGTGTGCCAAGTTTCAGGCTTGCATCCAAAAGTGCATGATTTAAACTCTTATCCGCTGGTCTAATAATCATTCAAGAGTGACAGCGAGGAGGATATGTAAATTTTACTAAAAAACAATTTAAAACATTTTGCAACCATTTTCTTCATGTTCTTTAATTATCAAAACAGCTCTTATGACGTTTTGAATGAGCTCAAATCACTGAATAAGGATGGATAAATAAAATTGACTAAATATGATTGAAAGTTTTTTCCCAACCATTCTCATGTTTTATTAGCTTTCAATAACACCTCTGTAATGTTTGTATTTATCTAAAATCACTGAAGCGTAGCTGGGGTAGAATGACTTATAATTAACACGAATTCCCTGTCCTTCATCTCCTAATTATATCTCTCAGATGCCTACAATAATCCAAAATCGCTGGAGCGTAAATGGGCAGGATGAAAAATTTGTTTGTAAACATGAAAACAAAAAAACTTACTTTGCTGCGTTTCGTTCAATATTTTCTCATCGGATCTGTTCATCTGGTCCTTTAATTTGGCTTCAGAAAGTTTCCTCTTGATTTGAAACGTGAAAATAAAGAACATTTTTATAAAAAAACTAGAATTCAGAATAGTAACTGCAAATAACAACTCAATTACCAATTTAATGTTTTCTTGTGATATGTTATTTTTCATTTCTCCTGTTATATTTTCCATCAACACTTTTAGGTCATTCTCACTCTTGAACGTCTCTGTAATCAATAAAAATAGTTAGACTTGATTGAAACTACTTTGATGTGAACTGCAATTTGAACATAAAGTCGCCAATCTATCTATGTAAATACTGAATAAAAACTATGAAATAATATTTATATCCCACTTCAAATATATTATATAATTTGGTAATGAGCACGATGGCTTAGTTATTTATGCTTTGCTCGTTAGTAGTATCGCAGGTTAACGGTAAAAACCGAGGCCAACCACTATAACACAGTGTAATAAATTGAATGGCGATACCGATACCTGTAATGCTCGTAAACAGCAATTCGATTTTAAATATTTTCTGAAACTATTTAATTGAAAAGTTTCATGTCTATATTTCCATGAACTAAAAATAAAACATTTTGATAAACTCACTGCTTTCTGTTTCTTGCAACAACTTTTCATAAGTCATATTTAACTGTTTCTCAAATTGCTTCTTTGTCAGATTCAATTCGCTATGAAACTGTGATAATTAAGATGGCGCTATTGTTATTTACAAATATATTTGTTTAGATAATTGAATAATAATTGAAAATAATTTATAAAATTATTTACCAATAGTTTATTTTCTTCTAATACATCAATCTTCAATTGACCAGTCACATTCATAATTAAAGTTTCCAAAGCACTCTTCATCTTTAAAGAATCTTATTAAAGATAGGATGTGATAATCTTATTTTACAACCATGTTCGATATTTTAAAGACTCGCTCTGAATTATCTTTGAGTGCCAAATATCGAGTCCATCTGGTGTATTTACTTTGCCGCGGCAATTTACATTTTTCAAATTTCAAAAAATTGTCGCAATAAATGGCGATTTGGTTGGTTTACGTGTTGATATATTTTTACAACGCGTTCTTATTCCATCTGACTGGCCGTTTATACTTTGTTAATGGAAGCATATTTATTGTCTGTAAATAATGATTTGGTATAGGGCATTATATTTGGATATGACACAAGAAACTTTGACAAAAGTTGTATCATATACTTTAACTCGTCCTGGTTTATTCATTTAAAAATTTGACTTTTTTCAATTAAAATTTTATCAAACAAATAAACATTAATTAAATCAATCTCACTTTGTACCGTTTCTTTTGATATGTTCGCATTTGAAGTGTCAATCTGGTTCTTCAACTTTGCTTCAGAAAGTTTCAACTTGATTCGAAGAGTGAAAATGAAAAGAGAATTTTTATAAATAACTTTTAATGTAGTCTAGTAGGTAGTAGCTACAAATTACAACTTAATTACCAATTTAATGTTTTCTTGGGATATGTTGTTTTTCGATTCTCCAGTTATATTCGCCATTAATAATTTTAGATAATTTGTACTTTTTAACGTCGCTGAAATGAATACATATAGTTTTACTTGATTGAAACTACACCTTGGTGGGAACTGGAATTTGGAGATTGCAATCTATCTATATAAATACTAAATAAGTAACTTATTTTCAACTTTTCAACCCCACCCATCAGATATATTATATAATTGGGTAAAGAGCGTTATTGTTAAGTTATTTATGCGTTGGACGTTAGTGGTATCGAAAGTTGAAATTTCGCGTTGAATCATGATGCCTACCACCTTAAAACCCTTTTCATGTAATTTTTATTTTTTACTAAATAATCGTATTTGCTACGTCGATTTTATGCATTTGTACCCCCACAACTAATCAATAGACTAATGAAAAACTAATGATCTTCTGCTGCCCATTGACGGCTTGTTGGAAAGCCTATTTAAAAAGATTGCAATTAGCGATTAAAGGAAAAGTTTTCTAAAAAGTGGTGGTCTGAGTCACGAACCGGATAGAAAAAATGCATTTTTTTTCTTGAGAGTTGAAACTTCAAACTGTGATGAAAAATAGAGATATTCGCTAAATCCTTTATTGTTACCACTTCTTTATTGGCAAACAATAGCATAATGTTGCTGTAAAAAACTCAAAATATTCTTGTAGATGGAAGGGCTAATACTTCTTGTATTACCACCCGAAAAACGCCAAAATTTGCATAAATTTCAAAACTTTTGTAACGTTTCCAATTGCTTCTTAGACGCTTATAATACGCCACATGAGGATGTCAGAGAGTCACCTACTCAACCAAGAATCTAACTATCACCAGAAATCATACAGCCTTACAGCCTCATCGTGTGCACTCCAATGCTTTTCCCCACCTATATGTTCAACACAAACTTTGGAAAAATGCTGCAAACTTTAATAAAATGGAACAGAAAGGCAAAAAATTAGCGTCGCTTATGTTAATCTCGATGATGACTTCTTATGAATAGACTAACACGCGGAAAAACTAGACCAACAGTTTGCGACTGAATGCCAAATGAAACGGTGGAGTACATTAACGTACCCGCCGCAATCTAGCGACTTTTGCCCTTGGTACGTTTACGTACCTACCGCATAATAAGGGAATTGGCGATTTCGATACCTGTAATATCTGTAAACAGCAATTCAATTTAAAACATATTCTAAAACTGTTTAATCATTAAGTTTTATGTTTATATTTTCATAAAATGAGAAAATAATACATTTTGATAAACTCACTGCTTTCTGCTTCTTGCAACAATTTTTCGTAGATCATATTTAACTAATTCTTAAATTGCTTATTCGTCAGATTCAACTCGCTAGCAAGCTATGAAAATTAAGATGACGCTATTGGTATATACAAACACATTTGTGTAGATAATTGAATAAACAACTTTCGAAATATTTATAAAGTTATTTACCAATAGTTTATTTTCTTCTAATACATCGGTCTTTAATTGACCAGTCACATTCATAATTAAAGTTTCAAAAACACTCTTGGTGTTTAATGAAGCTAAATAAAGAAAAGTAATGGTAATCTTATTTTACAACCTTCTACTCCATATCAAAGACTCGCTCAAAATTAATTTCGAGTGTCAAATATCGTGTCTGAGTAGTACGTATGTCCTAAAATGGACATAACAGTTTTTATTAGGTATTGTTTGTCAGTTCAATCAACCATGATTTTCCCATTAAATCATGAACTTTATTGCCTTTTTTTCGCTCGCTCAGGCAAATTATATTTTTCAGATTTGAAAATAATTGTCGCAATATGTGTCGATTGGGTCTACGTGTTTATATATGTTTTGCAACACTTTCTTGTTTATCTTGTTTATAAAGAAATATTTGGTATTTTACATTGGATTTGGGAATAGTTTTACAAAAGTTGTTCCATGCTTTTAACTCGTTCGGGTGCATTTTTTTGAAAACTTGACTATTTTTTTTTTTAAATATTATTACACAAATAAATATTAAAACAAACAAACTTACCTCGTTGCGTTTCTTCCAATATTTCCTCATTGGATTTGTTAATCTGGTCCTTAAATTTGGCTTCGACAAGTTCCATCTTGATTTGATACGTATAAATAAAAAGAATTATTTATATAAAAATAAATTGAATTTAGAATAGTAGCTGCAAATATCAACTCAATTACCAGTTCATTGTTTTCTTGTGATATGTTCTTTTTCATTTCTCCCATTAGATTCTCCATTAAAATTGTCAGGTCGGTCTCACTTTCCAACGTCCCTGAAATCGGTAAATATAGTTAAACTTGATTGAAATTGGTCATGAACAGCAATTTGGATACACCGGTGTGAATAATTTTACGTAAATACTTGATAAGTAAAACTGAATAAACAAAATGTTAATATTTTCTTTAACTACACTCATAAAACATGTTATATAAATGGCTAAGAGGCGCGATGACATAGTTGTTTAATAATAGATTAAGATGAACTGCCTTCTGCGACTTGCAACATTTCCTCATAAGACATATTTAATTGTTTCTTGAATTTCTCCTCTGTCAGATTCCGTTCGCTTTGAAGCTGTAACAATTGAGTTGGTGTCATCATAAAATGCAAATACTTTTGTAAAGGTAATTGAAGAAACAACTTCTGAATGAATTATTTATAAATTATTTATGAATTAGTTACCAATTTCTTAGTTTCTTCTAACACATCAATCTTTAGTTGACCAGTCACAGTCATAACTAACGTTTCCAAATCACTCTTGATCATTAATGAACCTAAATAAAGATAAGTAACGGTAATCTTATTTTACCAATTTCTTTTATATCATAAAGACTCGCTCAATATAATCTTCGATTTCTCGAGTTCCTCTGGCCGCCAGTATAGTCAGAGTTTGAGTCTCTTTAGATGTCTCGGGTATTTGAAAAATTCGAGGAGAACGTATGTACCCAAGTAGGCATAACAGTATTTATTAGATTCCATTCAAATTTTATTGCACAAATAAACATTAAAACAAAAAATTACTTTGTTGCGTTTCTTTCAATATTTCCTCGTTGGATTTGTTTATATGGTCCTTTAATTTGGCTTCAGAAACTTTCATCTTGATTTGAAACGTAAAAATAAAAAGAATTTATTATATATAAAAACTAGAATTCAAAATATTGGATGCAAATAACAACTCAATTACCATTTCATTGTTTTCTTGTGATATGTTATTTTTTATTTCTCTCGTTAGATTCTCCATTAGCATTTTTAGGTCATTCTCACTCTTCAACGTCCCTGAAATAGACAAATATGGTTAGACATGATTTAAATTTGTACATAAAGGCGTCAATATATTCATTTATGTACAAACTAGATAAACAAAAATAAAATAACAAAAAATATTAATTTTTCTCACTCTTCAACCACACTCAAAAAAACCTTTAATGAATCTAGTTAGAGATAAAGAATTATAACTGCTCTTCACTAGCAATGTATGATATTCCATAGGCTCGATCGATAATTTTTGTCACAAACTACAACCCGTACCTTTTGTTAAATTTGTAATATAAACTATTTTTATTCAAGAGTGACAGCGAGTAAGATAAATAAATTTTATGAAAACGATTAAAAACATTTCCCAAGCATTTTCATGTTCTTTAATTCTCAATACAGCCATTTTGATGTTTGGAATAAGTTTAAAGTACTAAATATGGAGGGGAAATAAAATTAACTAAAAAGGATTAAAAAATTTTCCCATCCACTTTCATGTTTTCTTAATTCCTAATAACACCTCTGTGATGTTTGTAATTATCTAAAATCACTGGAGGGTAACCGGGGAAGAATGAATTATTTTTTAACGCATTTCCCGTCCTTCATCTCGTAATTATACTTTTCAGAGGCCTACAATAATTCAAAATTACTGTAGCGTGATTGGGGAGAAGGAAAAACAATTTTGTCAAAAAATTATTTAACCCAATATTATATCTCGATATTTTTTATTTATTACTTTAGTTCAATTACATACTACATTTCTTTTACGCATCAAATATGTTACTAACGTATCAACTCACTTTTTTGCGTTTCTTCTGAAAGTTTAGCAAGTGAAACATTCAATTGTTCTCTCAAAGTTTTCTTTGTTACTTTCAAATCTTTTTTGAACTTTAAAAAAATACAAAATTAGAGAAATTTCTAATCATTTTGAAGAATATAATAAGCCACCAATAACTAACCAGTTTGTAGTTTTCGTTAATGTTTCTTTTCATTTGCCTTGTCACATTGACTCTTGTCATTTCCAAACTCTTTTTAATTTGCAAGGATTCTTGAAAACAAACAAAAACACAATACTAGTGAACTATTTAAGTAAATTGTAATATGTAGTAAGCTAATACAATTTGTATTTATCTGACTGTTATCTAATTTTTACAAGTCGGAGTCAAGTTATTTTCAACCAGTAGCCGAATTCGAATGTAATTTTTTTTCGACTTCCAGTCACAACGCAAAACAAATTGCTATTTTTGGATTTAAAATAAAATTTAATTAAGATAGAATCATTGAAATTTTTTTTCTCTTCTATATAAAACACTCAAACCTCAAATTACCTGTTTGTGTATCTTTCAAAACTGTTTTGTAAGCTTCGCTCAACTTATCAAAATTTTCTTGCATAGTCTTTAATTCGACATGAAGCTATAAATGGATATTAAGAAAATAATTCTGCGGATTGATAAGTTGTATTATTTAGGCTTAGGTTGTATCAGTTAGGACCTAAATAAATCAATAAACTATGTCTTTTTTTACCAAAGATATAACTAACGCTGTTCGAATTGGTATCTTATTCAACCTTTCCTGCAACATTTAAAAGTTTCCTGCAACATTTAAATTAATTCTGGACTAAAGGAGGAGAATATTTCTGTTTTTAGTGTGAAGCAGTGGCATCTATAGGATAAAGCAATATGTATATGTTTTATAGTAATATATTAGCTTTTTTCAACAAACAATTTTTAATATGAATATAGTTTACCAGTAGTCACTAATCACCGTATGAAGTTATCGGTTACTAGATGAGAAAGTTATTGGATAGAAAACGAAAGATGTTGTCCACTTGAAATTGTAATTGATAAGCAGAAAATAATGCAAATTGGTTACAATATCCAAGTGAACTCTCAAATTCATCATTCAATACATATAAATATACCTAAATAATATACTATCTGTATTGTTTTGTACCTTTAATGCGTTTTTGTTTTGCTCGTTTATATTTCCCATAATCAGAGTCTTCAAGTCCTGTTTGATTTGTAATGAATCTGGAGATTTAGAGACAAATTATGACTAGTTTGAAAGTTGCCTTTTTAAAATTTGAAAATTTGTTAGGTATTGTAAATCAGTGCAATCAAACCGCTTAGGGCAAGGGGTGCGCAACAGGCGACTATCGGGCCACAATCCGGTCAGCCAAGCCATTTAGTGTGGCCCGTGTCAACACTCAGATTTTGCCCCAGAAAGCATAATATTCTAATCCAGGCGTCACCAAACTTTTTGACCGCGGGCCGGGTATGACTCAAACTGTGTTGAGACGGGCCGGACAAATATTTTAGTGTGGCCCTTGTCACCACTCAGATTTTGCCCCATCAAGCATAAAATCCGACAGTTTATGTTGAGAAAGAGGATCACATGGATAAAAATACATTTTGATTTTTGCTTTTGTCGCTGCGATACTGTTTTTGCCGATCTTCACGGTTCGTTGTCTTACTGTGAAGGGAAGCGATAATCGCATTCTCTTTTCTTGCCTTTTCCGTAGTGCACTGGTTGTCGCTATTTTTTTTTGTTTGGGTGTGTACGTTTTGTGGGGCCCAGCTTGATTTATGAAGTAGACATATGGCCACCGACGAAAAATGTTGCCCACCTTTGGCTTAAGGTAATTTGATTTAGCTTCATTTACTAATTATTGAACAAACTGAATCATTATTGTAAAATAATTGTCCTGCATGAAAGTTAATTTAAGACTGAGAATTCAAAATAAAAATACTAAAAACTTAAAAGTAAGCACTCAGGTTTAATTAATTTTTCAGGACATCGATTGGCAAGCATGCAAGTATTTTAAACTAAAAAACGAAATTTAACTAGATATAGAGAAAGAGATCTGATATATTCCACTCATATAAAGAAAAAATATGTGTGAGAGATTATTGAGAAACCACGTCATGTATTGCATTTTTAATCATCAGTTTTATCCATTTTAATACCCTACTTCTCTGGTTGTCGCTGAATACTTCTATTCGGGAATTGTTGAACAGATTTTCCAATTTCTCTTCAGTAAGTTTTAATTCACTTTGAATCTTTGAAAGAGTTTAATATTGATTAAAATCGAAAATTTTTGGTATTAATAGATTAAATACTGATGATGGAATGAAAAGATTTGATTAAATAACAAAAACAAAAAATTAAACATACTCGCGGGCCAATGAAAAACCAGCATTGGCCGGTATCGGTTTGCGGACCGGCGCTTGGGAACCCCTAATCTAGTTAAGCTATCACAATGATGATAGTCTTCAAAATACCTTCACCAGGAATTATTTTACACAACGTCATGAATTTAGTTATTAAAAACAGTTTTTAAATAAAACCTTATGAAACAACAAATGAAATAAGCATTTTGTGGACGATTGTTTTGCTGAACTCTTCGTTAACTCTTAATTAAAACAAGATTTCTAATTACTCACTTGGTAAATCAGAATAAAAGCAAAAATCAGAGCTATGGAAAAAACCACTGAAGAAATTACATTGAAAACCAGAAGTTTCTTGCTTGTTACCCGACTTTTACCTGAATAAAATAGCGAGTATATAAAGACAGAAGCAGAAATATTCTAAAGTCAAAATCAGAACATTTGAATTTTTTTGTGAAAATCGTTCAACCGACTTTAAATTATTAGGGATAACACCATTATGCTTGCAATGCTAAAATCTTACATATGTGAATGTGAGTAAGAATTGAAATTTTATACAAGAATAATGTAACAACTGCAAAATGGTTAAATTAACTAAAATCGATATGTTAACAACTATAATACAGATTCAAATTGACCTTAAATCAATTTATTTGCTATATATATATTATGTTCTTTGGCCACGCTGAAATTAATCTTGACGATTTTTTTTAAGTATCCATATCAATTGGGCAGGGTATGCAACGATGGGAAATAATAACAGGAAAATAATGGGCAATCAACTAAAAATTTAAACTTTTTAAGTTTATTTTATTTCAATGACATTTTAAGATGTTTTTCTGTACATTCTAATAATAATACAAACTCAGTTTGGATTCACTGCAACGAATTTATCCTTCTCAGTATCGGAGCTTTCAACTAATCCAGAACAACTTTCATTTTGAATATTTGAAAAATATTGCATTTCCATTTTGTACTTCTTAACGAATATTCCAATTTTGAATCTTAGTGCAGTGTGCGGTGGCGAGTAACATCAGAGAATTTTTAAATAATATAACGATATATAAACTGTAATTATACAATTTGATGCACTCTCAATACGTGTCGGATTCACATTGAATCCCAAATTAAATTAGTTTCTTTTTCTGATGATAAGCATTGTACGAATATCTTAAAAATATTGGATGTAGTCCTATAATTAATCATATTAAAACACATATCCAGGTAAATATGTACAGTCAATTTGCTAACAGAATTAAAATTTTTAGAACTAATCTACAATTGTAGCACCACTCAATTATTTTGTCGGAATAAAAGTTCTGTCTTATTCTTCATTCTGTCAGTAAATGTTAGAATAAATTAGACCTGTATTAACAACAGTAACTGTTCTAGACTTTAAGTCAGTTTTATTATCGAAATATATTTTTACAAAATTACAGGAAAATAATGGGCAATCAACTAAAAATTAAACTTTTTAAGTTTATTTATTTCAATGACATTTAGATGTTTTTCTGTACATTCTAATAATAAATACAAAACTCAGTTTTGGATTCACTGCAACGAATTTATCCTTCTCAGTATCGGAGCTTTCAACTAATCCAGAACAACTTTCATTTTGAATATTTGAAAAATATTGCATTTCCATTTTGTACTTCTTAACGAATATTCCAATTTTGAATCTTAGTGCAGTGTGCGGTGGCGAGTAACATCAGAGAATTTTTTAAATAATATAACGATATATGAACTGTAATTATACAATTTGATGCACTCTCAATACGTGTCGGATTCACATTGAATCCAAATTAAATTAGTTTTTTTTTTCTGATGATAAGCATTGTACGAATATCTTAAAATATTGGATGTAGTCCTATAATTAATCATATTAAAACACATATCCAGGTAAATATGTACAGTCAATTTGCTAACAGAATTAAAATTTTTAGAATCTAATCTACAATTGTAGCACCACTCAAATTTTTTTGTCGGAATAAAAGTTCTGTCCTTATTCTTCATTCTGTCAGTAAATGTTGAATAAATTAGACCTGTATTAACAACAGTAACTGTTCTAGACTTTAAGTCAGTTTTATTATCGAAATATATTTTTACAAAATTAATCTGACACCAATCTGCGATTTGGATTGTGCTTTCCAAAAGCTAATTCAAACAGAGCAAGACAGTTTTTAAACCTAAATATAGTCTTATGATCCAGTCTGAATGGTTAAAATATTGAATCGCGAATGGAATTTTTTTCCAATTACTTCCTTACCTATGAAATAAATACTGTTTCGGGCATGGCTCACAGCTTGAATAATCCTATGTTCGTGCTCAATTAAGAAGTATATTTACCATTACTTCCTTTCTATCGAGATTGTGATTGAGCAATCTATCAATCAATGCAGAAATAGAAGGGATATTCGCATGGGAAGAATATTCGCATAGTTTGGTACAAACGGTACGATTAGTTTGTGAATATGATTACATTCTTTAAAAAGACTCGCCCTGGTCTCTCTCAAGGTAGTCAGATATATCCTTCAAGCTGAACTGGATTTAATTTCCGATCTCGAAAACTTGTAATAGTCTGCCGATACTCTGGTGGTCTGACATTAGGGCATTCCAGTTCAAAGATACTGTTATCAAAATATTTGTAAAACTATTACAGATAGTTAATGAGGTAAGGTGATCTCAACATTTTCAAGTCTGAAAATTACTTGTTTTGAGTCAAAGTCATGCTTATATTTTGATATACGTCTATCTCCATTGATCTCATGACAAAAAAATGTATTGTAAGATTGCATGTGCTACGGGCTTTTTGTACATCACACTTTGGCTGTGGTGAAATTCATTTGAAAGATATAAACATTCATATTTGTTTGGCGCCTGAAAACATGATTCTTATTACGTACCGCTAACCGATTAGCAACTTGAATTGACAGTCTATGTTGGGTAGGACTAAGTAGCAATCTAACAAAAGACGGTTTTGATAATTTTAGTAATCTTGAATAATTGAATTGACAAGAAAGATTTAATGATTTTGCTAGCAGCATACCACGCACGGAGTGTGAAATTCAAAATATTTATGTCTTCGCTTTGACCCGAACCTAACGGGGATTGACGTTTATTGAAGTAATTAAGATTGCATAACAAGTACGTTACATAGTCAACCTGCACACGGACTAAATCGAATTATATTTTATAAAATAACAACAATGAAACTATAATATAAAATGTCGACGTTATTCGTATTTGTAAGCATGGTATGATCTCTAGATCGCGCATGGGTGTTTGTTCTCAATCAAAACTCAGGTTTTGCAACCACAGTTCCATTAGTTCATGAGTATGATTTACATTCTCTAAAAATCGCTCCCTGGCATCTCAATGTAATGCAATGTAGTCATATGTTCCCCAAGCTCGAACTAAATTGAACTGTCGATCTCGATCCCGAGATTATGTAAGAAAGAATAGTCTGCTATTAGGGCATTGCAGTTTAAGTTTATATTTGAGGAACTTAAACATCATCCCTTCATTTTTCCAACTCTAAATAAATTCTTGTTGTGAATCAAAGTCATTCTTATATATTGATATACCTAGTCCAACTCAATTGAACTATGAGCTTGATGACATAAAAATTAATTGACTTCATAGGGTAGCATATGCTACGATTTTGTTGTAGATGCTTTTGATAATTTTAATAACTTGCTGCTTGATGCTTGATGCTGACCAGAAAAACCTAATCATTATACTAGAACTATACCACGCACGGAGAGTGAATTCAAAATATTTATTTTTTGCCGTTACCATAATCTGACGGTGATTAACGTTTATTGAAGTAATTAGAGATTGCATAACAAGTACGTTCCATAGTCAACCGGCCCACAGGCCTATTTGTAATTATATTGTATAAAATACCAATCAAAAAAATAGAATTGAAGATGTATACAATATTCGTATTTGTAATTATAAGTTCCATTACATTTGAACCTACGTACATTTGAACCCATACTAACCCTAACCCATGGATTTTAGCACCCGCATATAGATTGAAGCCGGGGATATACACATGGGTTCAAATGTACGTGGGTTCAATTGTACGGTCACCGTAATTATAATATGTCTTTTGGATGGGTCACAGCTCGGACAATGCTATGTTCGTGTTCAATCGAAACTCATGTTTTTCAATACTTCCTCTTTCTCAAGATTGTGCGATAAGGTTTGGCAAACACTGTTCCACAAGTCTTCCACTATTGCCCCGGTGTCTCAGCAAGGTAGTCAGATGTTCCCTAAGTTTGAACTAAATTTAATTTGCGATCCGTTCTCGAGGATCTGGAAAAATTATATATCTTAATTTCTCCAACTACAAACAATTACATTAGTTTTGAATCAAAGCCATACTCATATTTTGTTATACGCCTAGCTTCATTGAACTCCATGACAAAAATGTATTGTATGATAGCATAAGCTACGGGCTTTTTCGTACATCACACTTTGGCTTTGATTCATTCGAAAGACATAAACGACATAAACATTCACATTTGTTTGGGGCCTGAATACGCTGGTAATGATTATTATTACGCATCAGTAACCGATAAGCAACTAGAATTGGCAGTCTGGGTTGGGTAGGACTAAGTAGCAATCTATCAAGAGATAATTTAAATAATATTAGTAATCTTGAATACCTGAGTTGACCAGAAAAATTTAATGATTTTGCAAGCAGTATACCACGCACGGAAAGTGAAATTCAAAATATTTATTTTTTTGCTGTGACCCGAACCTAAAGGTGATTGACGTTTATTGAAGTAATTAAAAATTGCATAACAAGCACGTCGTGTGGTCAACCGACACAAATCTATTTGTAATTATATTGTATAAAAAACAATCATAAAAATAGAATTTGAGATGCCTACGCTATTCGTATTTGTAATCATGATATGCGTTTTGGATCGCGCATGGGTCATAGCTCGGACAATTCTATGTTCGTGCTCAATCGAAACTCATATTTTGCAATACTTCCTCTCCCTCAAGATTATTAGGTTTTTTCAACAAATGTTCCACTAGTTCATGGGGATGGTTTGAATTATCTAAAACATGCGCCCTGGCATCTCTGCAAGGTATTCAGATGTTCCCCAAGCTTGAACGGAATTTAATTGCCGTCTCGATCACGGGATTTTTAAGGAAAGAAATATCTGCTCTGCTAATAGTCGTGATCAATCGAAACTCACATTTTTTGATACTTGCTCTTTTTCAAGATTGTGAATAACACTATCCGACAATCTTGAAAAGATGAGAGTCACATTTACGTGAAAAATTAAGATCAGATTTGGCAACAACTGTACCATTTGTACAGATCAAGATTATGATTTAGATTCTCTGAAAGACGTTCTCGGCGTCTCTGCAAGGTGCCTCGAGCTTGAATTATATTTAATTCTCGAGAATCTGAAAAAAAAGATATTCTGCTTTCAGGGCATTTCAGTTCAAAATATTATTATTAAAATATCTTTGTAAACCTTTACAGATAGTTGATGAACCTCATTTTTTTACACGCTTAGCTCAGTTGAACTTGAAGACATAAAATTTATTTGAGTTTGTAGAATAGCATGTGTTACGGGAATTTTATGTGCACTGCACTTCCACTTTGATGAAATTTATTCTAAGGTAAACACTTGGAAACCATTAAAAATTCACAATATTTGCATCCTCGCTAGAAAACACTAGACATGTTTCTTGTCAAGCATTAGCAATTGAAATAGCATTCGAGATCACGTAGCACTAAATAGCAATTTATCGAAGATGATTTTGATAATTTTAATAATCTTGCAAAGCTGAGTAGGTCAAAATGATTCAATTATTTTATTAGCAGTATACCACGCACGGAGAGTGAAATTTAAAATATTTATTTTCTCGCTCTGACACCTTATCTGACCGGTGACCGAACTTAACGGGGATAGACGTTTATTGAAATAATTGAGAATTGCATAACGAGTAAGTTACATAGTTAACTGGCACACCGTCTAAATCTAATTATACTTTATAAAATAACAATCATGAAAATACAATGGGAACGTCTATGCTATTTGTGTTTGTGGCCAGGATAAGCTTTTGTATCAATTTAAACATCAAGGAAGAAAATTGTCATATATTCCATCACTAGTTTTTATGGATTATTGCATAACATTTGATGTCTTAATTATCTGGACTTTTAATTTGAAATCAATTAAGTAGTGTGACATATGTAAGGTCATATATTCTGGAATAAATATTGTTTATCATGGTTTCGAAACCCACTGATAATAATATTACAATTATGATGAATGTTATTTCACTAAACGTTTACGTGTTAGCTCAGATGCTGCTAATTCTCTATAAAATGGTTAATGAAACCAATACTTTGTGCATCTGAGAAGCGGAACATTCCACAAAGCGTCGATATGGAGATGGTATGTTATGAAAATGTCCAAAGTTCTAACGCATATACAACCGTCCAGGCCGATTCTAGATTACCTACAATTCCTAAAGGTTTGATTTTCATTTGATTTACTAAAATACATAATATGCGATATCACAGTGAGTTAAAAATAAAAAGATATATAGGGAGAGAAAAAAAAACGAATAGTAACATTCCTGGACGTGTACATAATACGAGTAGGAAATTTAACAGAGAAAGCAGCAATGTATTGAGCATTGGAGTTGAAAATGGGATTGCTTTATTATTGTATAATGAGACACGAGTAGGTTTTTATTATCTGTGTGTAATATCTTTTTTAAGATGTCCAATACCACCACATGTCCTACATATATTCTCTTTTTATAGACAACACTCAAGGCACGAACAAGAAAACTCTGATTGTTCTCGCGATATCTTTAGGAATCTGCTTCTCAGTGTCTGTTGCTGCATTTATCCTGATCATGCAAGTTAGTTTCAATATAATTTATTATTGATTTATTTCTAGAAATTAAATTTAGCCTAATGTACTACATAATAAAATAACCAGATAGCGATCGGAGACTGACGACTTATCGATCCGCGGTTTCGATTCCTTCGCTCTGACACCGCGTGTCCCATCACTAATTAAATAAATACTCGCTAATTAAAGGACATAATTTATCCAAAATCAATAGGCTTCTGGTCCGAGATATAATGAATGCACATGCAATTTGGAGCGGATTCGACCTCGCTTTCGTGAGATATCGCGTAACATACGAAACAAACAAACAAAGAGACTAACAGACAAATACCTATTAACATACTTGTCGATCAAGATCGATAAGTATTGATAAAAACATATATTATGTAAGAAGCTGTTTGTTTACTGTTTAAGTATTTCTTTAATTAAATTTTATTTCAAGCTTCCAAACGAGATCAAACATCTGAGGCAAAAATTGAAAAGAATGAGTGAGATTAATTTCATCTTTCGTCAAAATAATAAACGACACTCAAAAACGTGCGATATTTTTTATTTTTCAAAACGTGCCTGTTGTAGATCTATAAAGTTTGATGTTTGTTTTAAAACTTTGGAAAAAGTAGAAATAACTGAAAAAGATAGTTAATACTGAACTTATTGTGTAGCTTCGTAGAAAACCTCATTACATCAAATCTAGAGTTCTTACTCTTTTGCCTTCAGTTACCTAAGTTTAAGCAATATGTACACTTCTAGTCTTCTTGAGAATGAAACATAATTTGTGAGCTATCAGAAAGGATGTACGTCAACTTGAATCTAAAATCTTCATGGCGAATAACAAATTGGTGAGTATATGCATAGTAAAGCAACATATTTTGTTAAAATGGCTTATTACAACAAAACAGCAGTATATAGACCAAATTTGAAGGTATTTATATTAATGTCATTATTATATTTAGTAAACTCCAAAATATTTTTTTTAAATGAACTGTTGCTTTTATTGTTTTTATTTAATTGTATCACAGTATTATCACTTAGTGTTTATTTTTCAGAATGCAAGCCTAACTGAAGCAAATTCGAGGATTACCGAAATGTCCAGATGGTTCAGAGCAAGCAATGATTTCACTTACAAACGTTTCACTGATTCTGTCAACTACGCAACTGCAAAGGCTCGGTGTGAAGTAATGGGAGCTCGCCTGGTTTCGACTGTAATTAGGAACAACCAAGTGAAAAAGTACGTTAGTTGGTCGCGTTTTTTATTGTTGAAAAAAGCTAAATATGTTTGTTATTCGGACCTATGAAAATGTAGTATTAAGGCAAAAATAGTTTTACTATAAAAACTTAATATCTCAAAATGTGACTACTTTCCGAAAGCTATTATTTTTTGATTTTAAAATATCACGGCACAATGGCTCATTTTGACGAGCGTTAACAGACACAAGTTCAAGTTAATCTGTGTTCCTGTTTCTTGGTTAAAGAAAATTGTAATTTATAGAAGATGCGGTTTATGATTATTAAATGTTTTCATTTAGTGAAATATTCCCGGAACATTTCCTGACCGGATCTCGAGCATGTATAGGATTGGATGACATCAGCAATGAAGGAATTTGGGTTTGGTCGGACGGAATGAATGATTCATCAAGCGCAATATGAGGAACGGGAGAACCGAACGGCGGTAGAAACGAAAACTGCGCAATCATCAGAATCTATAACTCAAAAATTGGTGTTGGTGATGTTCTCTGTTCCCAACTTCTTCGATTTGTCTGCGAAAAAAATTTGAATGATGTTGCCGACCTTTCGTTTTACTAAGACATTGTTTGATTTGATTTCTAAGATCGTGTTCAATTTTGCTATTCGATTTATTGACTGTTCAGGAATGAAGTAAAAAAATAAATATGGATTGCTGTTTGAGTTGTATAATGCCCCCTTTGAAATATTTTATAATTGTTCTTCAATTTTTTTTATTTTCAGTATCGACATTCAAGATCGAAATTCTTTATTGCATATTTAAAGTATTATGGAAAATGTTATCATTTAGTACAAAGCTAATATGAGTGAAATAAACCTCAGTTTTTCTTTCTGAATTTATCATATTTAAAGGTATTTCATTATCGAACAAACATTGATTTTGAATTCGAATAACGATGAACCAATTTTTTTTGCGTTGACATTCTTGGACATTCGTTCCACAAAAATATCGTTCGATTTGACCTGTTGTTTCCATATTCTCAATTCTTGACATTTACAGCATGATACAAAAACGAAACTTGATATTGCAAAGAAGCTTCGAATTAAAATGAATATTTGCCCATCGCTAAGGTTTGAATTGCATGATTGGAATTGTTCTCATTGAATACCAAGCCAATACGAAAATAAGAATTTTTTGGGTGTAGTTTCGATATTTTCATATTTTATGAATTTCAACTTTCAACATGTCAATACTGATCAAACATTGAA